CTCTGTCTGCTAGGGGAGGTCGCCTTGGGGGCAGCGAGTGGGAGCGTGAGAACGGCTTAGCCATGGCGTCCTCCTCGGCCTCAAACCAGCAGAGACAAAAAGCCCTGCCAGGTGAGGCCGGCTACATCCCGGGGCCGCTTCGCACGTGGTGCCAGGTTTGCTGCATTGCCAATCTGGGTTCCGCAGGCTTCACTGCTGTTGATGATTGGGTTGTAACTCTGTTACAGGAACTCAGGGAAACCAGGACGAGGAGCAGAACCACCACAGAGGCGTGGAGGCCAGCACCGTGGCAAGCAGAAGGTGAGTGCACACAGGCCACGCTGGCATCTCAGACCACGGTCCCACTGCTCTGCCTGTGGGCCAGCCCCTTCCACAGATGGCCCACGTAGGTCCCTGCCACGCATGTGGGAGACCCAGCCCAGCCGGGCTGGCCATCTGGGGAGGGGGCCTCCCTTCTGCTTTTCACATAAATCAAATAGTTTTTCTTTGATATGTATTTATCTTTATTGTAAAGTCAGATATACAGAGAGGAGGAGAGACAGAGAGGAAGACCTTCAGTCCGATGATTCACTCTCCAAGTGACTGTAACAGCTGGAGCTGAGCTGATTTGAAGCTAGGAGCCAGGCGCCTCCTCTCCCACACAGGTGCAGGGTCCCGTGGCTTTGGGTTGTCCTTGACTGCTTTCCGAGGCCACAGGCAAGGAGCTGGATGGGAAGTGGAACAGCCGGGGGTATGAACAGCACCCATACGGAATCCCGGCGTGAGGACTTTGGCTGCTAGACTACTGCGCCGGATCTTAAATCTTTTTAAAAAAAAAAAAAATCTAATAACAAGAAAGCAAATAGCCCAGTTTTACAAATGAGTACGAGAGAGAGAGAGAGAGAACAGCCAAATACCAAAGAAGAGACACAGATGGCAAAGCCATGAAAACAAGTGCAACGTGGCCAGTCATTAGGGAAATGCAAATTAAACTCACGTTGGGGCAGCTGCTGGAATGGTGCAAGTTAAAACGTGCCAAAGGTGAGGCCTGCACGCCCAGCACTGCCAGGCTGCCTCGGCATCCGCTCCTCCTTTGCCTGGGTGCTTGGTCAAGACCAGGGAAAGTGTGTTTGCACCAAGATCCCTGGCAAAAGTTTCATAAAAGCTTCATCCAGAACAACTCAACATGAGAAACAGCATAGATGTCTGTCAGCTGACAGTTGGGGTGCAACTGTTCTTCGTGGTGACAACAGACTGCCTGGGCAGACCCAGAGGCAGAGAGCTGGCCCTTAAGGAGTGCTCACCGGGCTGGGAGGGCCAGGCCTGGAGGCAGGGAGCCGTCCAGGAGAGGCCGGGAGCCATCCGGGCTGGGAGGGCCGGGCCTGGAGGCAGGGAGCCGTCCAGGGGAGGCCAGGAGCCATCCGGGCTGGGAGGGCCGGGCACGGAGGCCACCTCCCGTGTGATTTCATGTGAGAGCTTTTTGCTCATGAGAAAGTGATCAGACAGGAGGCCAAGGGGGCAGGGAGAGCGGGGGTCTGGGGTGATGAAGGTGCTTTGAGCCCGGACATCCCATCACACACAGCGACACCGGCTCCGTGCACCTCGCGGTGCACATGTGACAGGCAGCATTACACCTGCTGCCTGGTGGGTGAACGCAGTTTTCCAAACTCACCAAAGGGGGCAAGCCTTACTTCTGGGAATTCACCCCAAACCGCAGCCTTGATGGGGTCTCAGGGGAACTAGCCTTCCAGATCTCAGAGTGTCTCACCAACATCTCTTTCATATATATATAGCCAATTTTGAAAATACATTTAAGGTGTCCTGTACTCCTACAAGTTAGACTCTTTTTGAAAACTTGGTTAGGGCCCAGCACCGTACCCTAGCAGCTAAAATCCTTGCCTTGCATGGTCCAGGATCCCATATGGGCACCAGCTCTAATCCTGGCGGCCCTGCTTCCCATCCAGCTCCCTGCTTGCGGCCTGGGAGAACAGTTGAGGACGGCCCAAAGCCTGGGGATCCTGCACCTGCGTGGGAGACCCAGAAGACCTCCTGGCTCCTGGCTTCAGACCAGCAAAGCTCCAGCCATTGTGACCACTTGGGGAGTGAATCATCAGACAGAAGATCTTTCCCTCTGTCTCTCCTACGCTTTGTATATCTGACTTTCCAATAAAATGAATCTTAAAAATAAAATAAAAACTTGTTTATTTGGAAGGTAGAGTAACAGAGGAAGATCTTCTGTCTGCTGGCTCACTCCCCAGATGGCCGTGACAGCTGGAGTTGGGCCAGGCTGGAGACTGGGACCAATAAAGTAGGTATGGCCCACTGCCAGCTTTTATAAATAAAGTTTTATTGAAGCGCAGCCATGCCCATTGGTGTGATGCCTGTTAGTGTGTTGGTCAGTTGCCATGGAGACCATCAGGCCAGCAGAGCCCTTCGTAGGAAGTGTTCTGACCTCCACCACCTGGGAGTTGGTGTGAACCTCGGGGAAGAAGTGTTTCTAAAACAAACAAACAAAAAGCAAACAATGCCCCGGGAAGAGGCCCCGCCCAGCCCTGCTTGCTGGAAGCCACCCCCACCTAAGTCAGGGGGACTGGCCAGGTTACAGTCATGAAAATGCCAAGTGCTGGGAAGACCTCTATCCTAGGCAGGCGGGTGGCCCTGAGCTCGGGCTGCAAGGGCACGCAGGCTCAGCTGCAGCCCGGGAGGCTGCCTGCCTCCCTCCCGGCTGCAGGAGGCCAGCCCTGCCCAGGGGGGACCGTGGGATGGCACCACAGGGTTGAACGTCCCCTGACACCGTGGGGTGGGGGTGTGCCTCAGCCACTACTTCGCTTCAACCATAGTTTGAAGCCCTGGATTTTCTTTTTTTTAAGATTTATTTATTTTATGTTGAAAGTCAGAGTTATATAGAGAGAGATAGAGAGATATTCCATTCACTTCCCAAATGGTCACAATGGCCAGAGCTGGGACACTCTGAAACCAGGAGCCTCTTCCGGGTCTCCCACGTGGGTGCAGGGTCCCAAGGCTTTGGGCTGTCCTCCATTGCTTTCCCAGGCCAGAGGCAGGGAGCTGGAGGGGAAGTGGAGCTGTTGGGTCTCAAACTGGTGCCCATATGGGATGCCAGTATCACCCTACGAGTCTTTACCCTGCTCTTACGGGCGCCCCCGTACATGCATCTTACAAACACCGTGTCCTTGTTGTCAGCTGACATCTATCACTGCGCCATCCAGGTGCCCTAGCAGGTACAAGTTGGCAAGTGTTCCCTGCTGTTCTGTGCACGCCGTCTTTCCTCGGAAGCAGGCTCGAGGTCAAACGCGGCGTGGTCACTTGGCTGCGGGGTCCCACGTGCGTGACCACTGCCTTCTCCGGGGTGTGCTCTCCCCGCAGCTTCCCTTCATCAATTCTGCGTTGTTTGTGGCTGGAAGGAGGTCCTGATGCCAGTGTAGGAAGGACTCAGCTTCCCCTGGCAGCCCTGGCTAAAATTGGGTGCTGTGGGCACTGCAGCCCGTCCTGGAGTGCCTGGGATTCCTGGAGATGGCTTGGGTGCCTGGACTCCTGCCAGCCGCCTGGGAGCCCTGGTGGCCAGGCCCGGGAGAAGGACCGAGAGTGGCCGAGCCTCCTCCCCTGCCCTCATCGCAATCCCTCTTTAACAGTCCTAACTGAAGCAACGGCAGACTGGTGTGTGGTCACTCCGAGCTGCCCAGCCCTGGGTGCTGTCCCCTTGGTGTGTCCTGTCCCCTTGGTGTGTCCTGTCCCCTTGGCGTGTCCTGTCCCCATGGCGTGTCCTGTCCCCTGCTGCCCACTGCTTGGTCCTCACTTTGGGCAGGACAGCAGCAGGGACTGAGTCCATAGCTGGGCAAGCCAGCAGGTGCCCAGAGGCAGAGCCCAGGCCCCACCAGCTCGCTCACACCAGCCAGCTCATGACCCAAGGATGCACTGGCTGCCCGGCAGAGGCAGGGTGTGTAAAGGGGAATCAAAAGGCACTGCCATCCCACAGCCCTGCAGGCATCGCCGTGGCTGGCCGGTTCCTCACTGGCTGCAGCTCCCACCCCTGGGGACCGGAGCCCGGGGAGAAGATTCCGGCCGTCCCAGAGGCCCCAAGGAGCCTCCTGGGGTTCTGTGGCAGTTGGAGCCCCCACTAGGAAGGGAGCCATTTCCCCTCCTGCTCTAGGTCGGGCTGCCTTTCTTCTGGCCTACAGGGACACGAGTGGACATTTGCCTAAAACCGGTGAGCAGCTGGACCTGTGCCAGGCAGTGCAGGGGCTGAGCGGGGACCCACCCAGGGAAGGAGCAAGCCCACCTCGCAAATGCCTCTGCCCATTGCATGCAGCCCACTGGGGCTCTAGGGCCCACCCCAGGGCCGTCCTCCGAAGCAAAGCCACAACACCGGTGAACCTGAGGCTGTTCACTTATATGCCTATGGTGGCAGCTGCAGCCGCTGGGCAAGACAGATGGGCGGGGCTTTCCTCTCTTCAGGGTCCATGGTGGTCCCGGGCCCAGCTATGAATGAGGCTGTGATGCTTGTCTAAGGGAGCCCAGGCAAGGTGCGTCCGTTGGCCCCGGGTGCCTGCGTGTGTCCCCTCACGCAGCGGCGCTTGGCTGCGTTTGCGGTGCGCTCATGGGTCGGGGAGGGGTTAGGGGCTGCTGAACCGGCCACTAACAGCTCGCGGGACGCCTGTCAGTTTCTCAGAGGTTTCGACTACAAGCGGGCCCCAGACTGCCTGAGTGACACACAGGGTGCAGCTGCCCCCCAAAGGGCTGTCCTGTCCGCAGCGGCCTTGGTGAAACACGAAGACCTGCGGACCTGTGAGTGCCCCATCCCCGAGAAACACACAGCCACGCGGCTCGCAGCTCGGGGTTAAGAGCCGGGGTCAGCCCGGTCTACTCCTGGACAGGTGCGGGATAGTTCATAGCCTCCTGGGCCCTCTGTCCATCTTGTGCTATCACCATCCGAGGACCTGTTGAGCCTCCTCCCCTCTTGCTCACGCTCCACAGGCACACGCCTCCGTTCTCTCGGCGGCACCCCCACAGCTGACCCGGGTCTGGTATTCATCCAGAACATGTGAAAGTGACCTTGGCCCCCAACACACCCTGCACTCGCCCATCGCACGAGGCCAGCTGCTCTCCGGGGCCTTCCTTAGGCTGGGGAGCCATCTGGCACCTGGGTCTCCGTCCATCTCAGCAGGTGGCTGCGGTGTGATTGGTCAGGATGACAGTGGCGCCGGACGTCAGGATGGAGTACCTGGAGGAGGTGGCCAGCATGGTGCTGAGGTTTAAGCCGGACAAGTGGAGCAAGCTGGTGGGCGCGGAGGAGAACATGGCCCTGTTCACAGAGTTCCTGGAGAAGGCCGACGTGCGGGTCCTTGTGCTCACCCTCAACCCGGCCGGCTTCATTGTGCCCTGTCTGGGCTTCCCCGAATCCCTCAAGTCCAAGGGCGTCTACTTCATCAAGACAGAGCCCGAGAGCGTCACCAAGACCAACTACAAGACGCACCTGCTGTACGGGGACCTCAGCCCCACGCCCGTGGAGCAGCTGATGGCCATCGTGGAGGAGGTGGGCAGGGCGGCAGCCCCCGAGGGGTGCTTGGAACCCAGAGGCTGGCAGGCCCTGGCCCGGCCTTGCACCCATGTAGACAGTCCCTGCCCGTGCCCCCGGACGGTGTGGACCACCTTGGGACCAGCGATAAGCTTCCCCAACTAGGAGGAAAGAGTGGGCGCCCCAGCCCCAGACCCCCTCAGTGGCATGGGACCATCCTGGGCACAGCAGAGGGTCCTCAGCCTTTGTCGTCATGCTGCTTGTCTGAGACGGGTCCTGGTCCCCGTGCATGTACCACAGGAAGCACGTGGCCCGAGGTCCACTCTTAGGGACACAGGTGGCTTGCGGAGAGGAGGGCGCCTGCTGTGGCAGAGGCGCGGCTCTGGCTGCCTCAGCCCTGGTGGCCTGCAGATCGTGTCCCCCTGGGGTGTCCTCTGTGTGTGGAGCCCAGGTCCTAGCTTTCCTACAAGGAATCCGTGCAGCAGGACCTCAGGTTTTTAAAAATGTCATTCACTTATTTAAAAGGCAAAGAGACAAAAATCTTGCATCTGCTGGCTCACTTGCCTGAGTCTGTGCGAAGGTGGGAGAGCCAGGAGCTTCTTCCAGATGCGGACTGTCCTCTGCTGCCTTCCCGGGGCATTAATAGTGAGCTGGACTGGAAGCAGAGCAGCCGGGACTTGAACCAGCACCCGTATGGGATGCCGGCACTGCAGCTGGTGGTCTCACCTGCTACGAGGGCCTCACTTGAATGTGCTTATCTCCTTGGTCCTGTTCCCAAAGACAGTGCATTCTGTGGGAGGGGGAGGCAGGCTAAGGCCTCCTCATGGAGGTCTGGGAGGGACACCTGTCAGCCGGCCGTTGCCATTCTCCCGCATGGTGCCCGGCATCTGCTCACAGCAAGGACTGTGGCGGGCTGGCCCCAGGTGGGGCCTCCCTCAGTGCAGGGGGCAGTGCCACCACAAGGAAAGGACTGGGCTCAGCACCCTGCGGGCTTCCTGCTTCTGGGTGGGGTAATGAGCGCTTGGAGGTGACACAGGCCAAGCTCGGGCCTTCCCCTTCCAGGTCCTCTACTCCCTGCTGAACCAGCGTGAGAACATGGACGGGTGGCCCCAGGTGGTCACGGAGGACATAGTGAAACAAGCACACAAGCTCAAGAATGAGATGTTTGTAATGGGGGGCAAGATCAAAGGCAGGACACTGCTGCCCATCCCGGAGCACCTGGGCAGCCTGGACGGCACGCTGGAGTCCATGGAGAGGTGGGCGGCCCCGCCTCCTGCCCACCCCATCCCAGCCACCTGCGGGGTGGAACAGAGCCCTCAGCGGATGGCACAGGGCTGGAAGAGGAGGCTGCCGAGCCGAAGGCTTCCAGGCCGTAGCTGGGCTCCAGGCTCTCCTCACGCACACCCTGGGTTAGAAGTGCAGTGCAGCGGGAAGGGTCTGCACAGAGGCTGTGGCATCCCAGAGCTGTCCTGTGGCGCCTGCAGCTGCCCTGCTGTGTGAGCCGGGGAAGGGTTATTCCTGCGGCTCATACTGGAGGGGGCCTGCTCCCGGGGTGCCCCGCCGGGCAAGGCTCAGGATTCCCTTGGTCCAGCAGGATCCCTGCCTCTCTGGACAACTCACTGTTACACGCCATTGAGACCATCATCATCGACTGGTCCCACCAGATCCGGGACGTGTTGAGCAAAGACTCAGCCCAAGCCCTGCTGGACGGGCTGCACCCACTACCCCGGGTGGAGTTCGAGTTCTGGGAGGCCCGGCTGATGAACCTCAAATGCATCGATGAGCAGGTGAGCCTGCCCTGCCCCGGTCAGCGGCCTCGAGTCCTGCGAATGAGCCTGCCCAGCACCAGTCCGCGGCCTCAGGTCCCTCCACGTCGGGCTCCAGGGGAGACCACCCTGCCCCGGTCGGCGGCCACAGGTCCCTCCATGTGTGAGCCTGTCTGACCCATGTCAATGGCCTCAGATCCCTCCACGTGGGGCTCAAGGCAAGGCCACCGTCTCCTACCCGCCCCCCCTTCCCCTCTCCTCCTCAGCTGAACCGGCCCAAAGTGAACAAGATGGTTGAGGTTCTGGAGAAAGCCAAGAGCTGCTACTGGCCAGCCCTGCAGAATGTCTACAGGAACGTGAGCGAGGGTGAGCGCCTTGGGAAGGGGGCAGCGGGCCGCAGGGACCCCACAGCCGCACCCTCGGGACTGAACAGGGCCCGTCCTCCCCAGGCCTGAAGGAAGCCGATGACATAGTCCTGCACCTGCGGCCCCTGCAGATCCTGCTGGAGGAGATGGAACAGGCTGACTTCACGGCTGTACGGCGTGGGGCGCGCCGGGGACATGCAGCGCCAGGGAGACTCTCTCCTGGCTGGGCCTGGGGGTGTTGGGGTGCCACAGCCTGGTTACACCCCCTCCCATCCCCACCTGCCAGCTGCCAACCTTCATCGCCAAGGTGCTGGACACAATCGCCTTCGTCTGGGCTACGTCCAAGCACTACAACACGCCCTCTCGAATCATCGTCATCCTGCAGGAGTTCAGTAACCAGCTCATCGAGATGGTAACTCCACCTGTGCCCCTGGCCCTGGCAGGCCAAGACTTGGTGGTGACCATTTGGCAGCACCCTTGTCTTCTGCCAGGGGCCCGGGCAGTGCCCTGTCCAGCTGGTTCCCCAGCAGGAGGGAGGAGAACAGGAAGACAGAAGGAGGGACTTGGCAACCAGGCCTCGGCCCGATGCTTTCGGGGGTCATGGGCCCCTTCTGGCTCCCTGGACGGAGCCCTCCTTCTCTCCCTCCTTCCTCACCTGAGGTCATTTGGCTATCCAGCGGCCCACCTGCAATTGTGCAAACAGTGCCAGCAGCCCTGATGTGGGACAGGAGGGGACCGTGCATCCTGTACCCTGGAGGGCCCACATCACCATACACAAAATCCAGCCTGGGGTGAGGGCCGAGCAAGGGGGACCCTGGCGTCCCCATCCCCTAACAGCACAGCTGCTGATGGGCAGGTGGGACACTGGCCTGAGTGATCAAGAAAGCCAGGGGACAGCGTGCCTGGAGGCCAGGGACAGCGCCTGGAAGCCAGGGGACAGCGCGCCTGGAGGCCAGGGACAGCGCCTGGTGGGGCCTCGGGCGGCTGGATGGGCTTCAGCTCTGACCGCCCTCTCTCCCTGGCTCAGACGCGGAGCTACCTGGGCCCGGAGGAGGTGCTGAAGGGCTTGCAGGGGGAAATCGAAGAGGTATTGAACGGCATCTCGCTGTCGGTGAATGTGCTGCGGGAGCTGTACCGCGCCTACGACTTCTGCTGCAACAACATGCAGCGTTTCTTCAAGGTGCGCGGGCCGCGGTCCCCTGCGCGGAGTGGCCAGGAGGCAGGGGGCGTCCCGCGGTCCCCTGCGCGGAGTGGCCGGGAGGCAGGGGGCGTCCCGCGGTCCCCTGCGCGGAGTGGCCGGGAGGCAGGGGGCGTCCCGCGGTCCCCTGCGCGGAGTGGCCGGGAGGCAGGGGGCGTCCACCGCACACGCGCCCGCCTCCCCCTCCTCCAGGACAGGCAGCCTGTGCTCTGGGAGTTCCCCTCCTCTCTGGCGTTTTCCAGGATGAACGCCTTCTTCCGCCGCATCCAGACCATTGAGGTGAGGACGGGACCTCGGGCCATGTACCCTCCACAGCGTGGCCTGCCCCTGGCCTTGTGTGGGGCCTGTGGCACAGTGGGGCACAGTGTCCTCCAAGCCTGGTACTGTCAACTGAGAGTGCAGACGAACCTCCACCCCTCACCCCCCCACCCCCGGCTGGGTGTGCAAGCAGGTTGCCGCTGGAAGCTGGGCGCCTAAGCCGAGGGAGCTAGTGGGGCCACACTGTCCCCAGTGAGCACCTGGCCCCAGGGTGGCCGCTCGGAGGGACAGGGAGCAGATGAAAGCCAAGAAGGCTCAAGGTGGCCCTCACTGGAGGGAAGAGGCGAGGGGAGGCAGCGAGAGGTGGCCACAAAGCTGGGGTTTTTTGTTTCGAAGGAGTTAACAGAGGAGAGAGGAGGGGGGCCTTCCGTCCACTGCTGGACTCCCCACATGGCACAGTTGGGCAGCGCTGGGCCAGGCAAAGTCCAGCAGCTTCGTTGGGGTCACCCATGGGTGGCAGTGGCCCAAGCACTCAGGCATCTCCCACTGCTTCAGCGGGCACAGGGTCGGAAGCAGAGCCGCTGGGACACAAATCGGTGCCCGCCTGGGACGCAGTGTCACAGGCAATGCCTTGACCCGCTGAGTTGTAACACAGACTCTGAAACGCCATGTAGAAAAAGGCAAGGGGTCACCGTGAGCGTCAGTAGGGCGCGTTCTGGGAGAGGCCCCACGGGCCCGCACCGCATCCTCTAAGGACAGGGAGGCCCTCGGGGGGCCTCTGCAGGACGCTGTGTTTGTCCTGTAGCAGTCCCCGGGGGGAAGAGCAGGTCTTGGAGGTGAGGACGTGGTGCTGGCTGCACGCCTGCTACGCATCATGGCTTGCTGAGGTGGTCCCAGTCGCAACCTGGGCCCGGAATGTGTGCTGGTGGGGACAGGAGGGGGTGTGGGGGTTCACTGGGGGAAATGAGCCCCCTACACTCACACATAGGAGCTGCTCACGGAGCAGGGGGTGGCAGAAGTGGCTGCAGGAAGGGAAGGCAGCAGGAGAAGCCGCTGAGCCGCTTTCCTTGGGCCCAGAGCCCTTCCAGCCCCGTGCCCTCTGCCTCCGGCACGCTGGCCACCTGAAGGAGCCCGGGCTGAGTGGGACCTGTGGGCTTTCCTCCCATCTGGCACCAGGACCTTTACAAGACGGCCATCGAGTTCCTCAAGCTGGAGAAGATCGAGCTGGGAGGCGTGCGGGGCAACACCCTGGGGAACCTGGTGGCCCAGATCTATGAGGAGGTGTTTGAGTTGGTGCGGGTGTTTGCTGACTGCAAGTACGATCCGCTGGACCCGGGGGACGCGGTGAGTGCCGGGGCCACACGCAGGGGCCCGGGGGATTGTGGGCGAGGGACACCCACGCTGTGCGCTCAGTGGGCACTGCCGTGGGCCAGGAGGCGGGTGGCGCCACCCCACCGCACACACAGGTTCCAACGTCGTGGGTCCACACCCTCCTAGAGTTTTGACAACGATTACGCCGACTTTGAGACCAAGATTCAGGATCTGGACCGCAGACTGGCGACCATCTTCTGCCAGGCGCTGGGCGACTGCAATTGCATGGAGACCTCCGCAAAGGCAAGCGCCAGGCAGGAGCTCACGGCTGCTGGGTAGGCCGGCTGCCACCTAGGCGTCCCCCGGGGCCCCTGGGGCAGTGCCTGGTGCTGCTTCTGGGCCTGCAGGCGGGGAGGAGGGGGCCAGGCACGAGGCGGCAGGCACTGAGCCACAACACACCTGTCCTGTGATACGGTTTTGCTGACTTCTTGAAGGGGGTGGGCTCTCCCGGAGTGGTCTGGCTGCTGGGAAAGCTACTGCCCGGGCCCGGCGTGTGCTGGTGGGCTCGAGGCAAATGTTTCATTTCTCACCGTTCCTCTTCTCTTTGATGAAGATTTCCCACACAAGTGGTGGGGGTCCGGGCAGTCGGGGCCGTCCTTGGCTGCCTTCCCACATGTGTTAGCAGGGAACTGGACTGGAAGTAGAGCAGCCGGGACTCAAACGCAGGCGCTCTGGATGGAGTAGCCCACTTGAACACGCACCAGTGGGCTCTCTGAGCCTGCAGCCTGCTCTGGTCCTCTGTGTGAGCTGGGGTCTTGGGGTCTGGGTGACTCAGGACGTAGAGGCAGGCGCTGGGTCTAGACTCACCCCGAACAGCCTAGCTCGTGGCAGCCGAGAGATTTGGGGACCCGCTCGGCTGTGGGGGTACCACATCAGAGGCCCGTGCTGGAATGCCAGCATCAACACTGTCACATCTCTAGACTGGCAGGGGACGAGGAAATGGGAGACCTGGCTCCCCAGCCCTGTCTGTGTGTACGCAGCTCTCAGCTCCCACACATGACAACCCTGTTCCCTGCCCCACAATGAGGACATGCCCCTGGGCTCCCCACGCCCGGGCCCCTCCTGTGCCCAGGCTGCCAGGCGCCAGCCCACACAGCCGGCAGTTTACACGCAGCCAAGGAAGTGCTAGGGCGGCTTTCCACACGACTGCCTCCTGGCAGAAGGCAAAGTGTGCGAATATCAGAAGTAGGGCAGGGGGCGTCGGCAAGGTCATAAGCTTGTAGCAAGAGGATTTTCTTGCCTTTCCAGTGCCCGCCCTGCTGCCCTGCAGGTGGTGGGACAGAGGTGTGTCCAGCCGGGGTGTCCTCACCGCTCTCCTCTGAGCCACAGGCTGTCCCCTTCTGGGGACATGGAAAGCACTGTGTGATTCTGTACAGTCATGCTGTGGTCTCCTCTGAAGACCATTTCCTGGGTCAAGGGTCGCAGTGTTCATACCCGAATCTCGAGCAGATGCAGCTGGGCCAGGCACTGGTGGGCTCCCCACCAGCCCAGTGAGTTCAGACACTGGGGGGTCCCAAGTGTGTCCCTGAGGGGGCTGGTGCTTGACCTACAGGGAGTAATTACTGCCGAAACAATCGTTCTTTATTCAGGGCAGTGTTGTGGCGCGAAGGTCAAGACCCGTATCCAAGCACTTGCCGGTTTGCATCCCAGCTGACCCGCCTCCGGCCCAGTTCCTGGATGGCCTGGGAAGCAGCAGAGAATGGTCCTGGTGCTTGGGCCCTGCGCCCACGTAGGAGACTTGGGTGAAATTTTTGTCTTCAGCCTGGCTCAGCCTGGGCTATCGCAGCCGGCTGGGAAATCAACCAACGAGCTGTGTGTGTGTAATTCTGAGATATAGCCTCACCTCTGAGACCACTGCACCCGTCTCGGAGCACCCGGGTCCCCCTCTGCAGGTCCCACAGATGCAGACCTGGGAGGCAGCACGCTGGTGGCTCAAGTGAGTTGGGTCCCTGCCGCCCGGCCGTGAGGTGTGGACTGGCTTTCCTCCCCTGCCTGGGCACATAGAGCCTGAAGCAGCAGCTAGGGGAGCTTTCCAACTGTTTCGAAGTTCTCCGTCTGGCCTCTGGGCCACGGCACTGGCAGGGCTGCCCCGGCAGCGAGAGGCCGGCCCTGTGCCGTGACAGTTTGGGCCCTCTGCCTGTTTTCTACAGAGCTGCTCGCTCAGCCCCAGGTCCCACTGGCCACTGCTAAGGCAGCCAAGTGCTCCGGGAATCACACAGCCCAGTGCTACTCAGGACAAAGGTTCTAATGAGATTTGCAAAATGTTTATTTTCATCTACTGAAGAGAGAGGGAGAGAGCACACTTTATCTTGTGATTCACTCCCTAAATGCCTGTGACGGCCAGGGCTGGCGCCCAGCACCCCTGCACATTTCCCCATGTGAGGCACCCAGCACCCCTGCGTGTCTCCCCCATGAGGCACCCAGCACCCCTGCGCGTCTCCCCGTGTGAGGCACCCAGCACCCCTGCGCGTCTCCCCATGTGAGGCAGAGGCCTAAGCACTCAACCTGTCATCCACTGCCTCCCAGGTGTGCACACGTCGGCAGCCAGATCGGACTCTGAGGAGCCAGGACTCCAGCCAGGCACCCCTGGGGTACAGCACCGCAGGCAGCCAGGACTCCAGCCAGGCACCCCTGGGGTACAGCGCCGCAGGCAGCAGCTTGACCTGCTGGCCACAACCCTGCAGCCTGGCATGCACCGTGTTTCTGTCTTGATGTTCCACCCATCTTGTCCACAGCTGCTGTCCGGGATTCCCAATGATCCCTGTCCGTGACGCCTCCTCCCCGTGTCCCCTCGCCCACACAGCTCCTGTACATGTGCGGGAGCCTCCTGGAGCGGCCGCTGATCCTGGCCCAAGTGGTGCCTCGATACTCGGTGATGCTACAGCTGCTGGACACCGAGCTGGACAATGCCAAGCTCCTGTACGACGCCCAGATGGCGGCCTCCGCAGACGGCAGCATCCCCCCGATCCACAAGAACCTGCCGCCCGTGGCTGGACAGCTCAAGTGGAGCCTGGAGCTGCAGGAGCGGCTGGAGGCATCCATGAAATACATCAAGCACATTGAGCACCCGTGAGTCCCTTAGCCTGAAGGAGCTGCACCTCCCTGCCCTGCCCAGCTCCTCCCTGCCCTGCCCCGCCCCTGCCCTGGGGAGACCGAGGAGTGTCCATCTGCCCTTCTCGGGGTCCTAAGCAGGAAGGGAAGGAAGAATGGAGCCTCAGCTGGGCCAGGCCAGGCGCCTGGGCTCCCAGGCCAGCTGCTGCCAGCGGTGGTCAGGGTTTGGTTTTGACGTAGGGTATCTGCCCGTTGCCTCCAAGGAGAGTACTAAAGCCATTAGGGGTGCAGGGAGCAGGGTGGGGTACTGCCTGCGATGTGAGTGAGGAGCCGGGGGATTCTGGCTCCAGGGTCACGTCCAGCGAAGAGGCCCAGCTCACCTACCGCAAGTACGACGAGATGGTGGAGTTGCTCAGGGGCTGCCGACACAAGGTCTACCAGCAGTGGGTGGGCACCGTGGACCAGGACTGCCACTTCAACCTGCGGCAGCCGCTGATCCAGCGCGACCCTGACACCGGCCTCATCCAGGTCAACTTCAGCAAAGCGGTGAGTGCTGGGCCGGTGGGCCGGGGACACCGAGCACCAGAGCCGGGCCGGTGGGCCAGGGACACCAAGCACCAGAGCCGGGCTGGTGGGCCAGGCCTCTGCGAGCACCAGAGCCGGGCCGGTGGGCCAGGGGCACCAAGCACCAGAGCCGGGCTGGTGGGCCAGGCCTCTGCGAGCACCAGAGCCGGGCTGGTGGGCCAGGGGCACCGAGCACCAGAGCCGGGCCGGTGGGCCGGGGACACCAAGCACCAGAGCCGGGCCGGTGGGCCGGGGACACCAAGCACCAGAGCCGGGCTGGTGGGCCAGGCCTCCGCGGGCACCAGAGCCTGGCTGGTGGGCCAGGGACACTGACCACCAGAGCCGGGCCGGTGGGCCAGGGACACCAAGCACCAGAGCCGGGCTGGTGGGCCAGGCCTCCACGGGCACCAGAGCCGGGCTGGTGGACCAGGCCTCTGCAGAGGGAGGCTGAGCTCCCTGGGCTGCACCCTTCTGTGCCCACGCATGCTATTGCCTGTCAGGAGCTGGGCAGCCCGGGAGAGAGAGGGCAGCTAGTAAGCCATGCAGCCAGAGCCCAGGTGCAGGGGGCCGGTGGGCGGGATGACTGGGAGAAGGAGCAGGGAGGGAAGGTGGTCCAGAGGGCTTGGGCATCACGGTGTGCAGGTATGGTTAACTCTGGCAGGGTTCTGGCCAGAGGGACGCCTTGGGGTGGTGTGTCTGAAGGCCCTGTGCTGAGATCCAGGCCGTGGGTCCAGCAGCCGCCCCCCGCCCCGTGGAGGAGGCTCCAATGCCGGCCCCTTGGGGCGTGGGGGTCATGCCCCATCCGAACCAAGTGGTCCTGGAGGAGCACCTGGCTCTGCCCAGGAGTGCTGGACTGACCATGTGAGAGGGCCAGTGTGGTGTCCCAGCAGCCCTGCGAGTGCCAGTGGCTGGCTGCTGGGAGGGGACCGTCCGCCTGGCCCGGTTGGACACCCAGAGGAGACCCAGCCACCTGGAGGGTGGTGGGAGAGGGAGGGGCCAGACATGAGACGAGATGACGTCACCCAGTGCAGTGCTGTCAGTGGGGCAGATAGGATGGGGTCACCTGCCTACAATGAGGCGGGCACCCCACGCACCTGGTGCCAAGGTGTGCCCTACCTGACCTTGGTTCCCGCCCAGCTGGTGGCCGTCCTGAGAGAGGTGAAGTATCTAAACTTCCAGCAGCAGAAGGCAATTCCAAGCAACGCCGAGAGCCTCTTCTCCGAAAACGAGACCTTCCGCAAGTTTGTGGGCAACCTGGAGCTCATCGTGGGCTGGTACAACGAGGTGGGCGGCACCTGCTCTGCCAGGCTTCCAGCTTTGTGCCAGGGCGCGGGGTGTGGGCAGGTTCCCGCATCCATGGCGACTCTGGCCTCTCCTGGCAGTTACTGCCCTAGAAGACACTGGGCACTCCAGAGCTGGCAACCCTCCAATGCACGGGGGCACACGCCCTGCAGCTCCTCCCTACCAGTGGGGATGGGGGACCTTACAGGGGGACAGACGGGCTCCTTGTCCGTGGGGAAGCCTAGAGTGAGGTATCTGTAGGCGTGGGGGTGAGGGCCGCGGGTCGGTTCCTTGGCCCCTAACCCCACAGCCATTGATGTTCTGACTCCTGACGCCCGCAAACCAGAGGCCTAGGGGAGGGTGGGCCAGCCTTGGGGACGGTCCCTGTCGGCTCAGAGCTAGTTGGCTCGGCCCGCGAGGCAGGGCTGCGAGAGAAGGGGGTTGGGGATGGCACACTGAAGCAAGTCCTCCATCTACTGGCTAACTCTCCAGCTAGCCACAATGACCAGGGCTAGGCCAGGCTGAAGGCAGGAGCCAGGAGTGTCAACCACACGTATAGGCCAACCCATAGCTTTTACAGGCCACCAGCAGCAGGGAGCAGCCAGATGACAAACTGGCAGCCTGTTGGCAGCAGCCTCACAGAGGCTTCACCCACTCACCATGCCACAACACCAGCCCTTTTACATAGATTCTTCGTGATAAAAGTCTTGGAAGTTTGGGTCTGGTGCTGTGCATAGTGGCTAAGCTTGTCACACTGGCACACCACATGAGCACTGGTTCAAGTCCCGGCTGCTGTGGTTCCAATCCAGCTCCCTGCTGATGTGCCCGGGAAAGCACATCAGAGGATGGCCCAGGTCCCTTGGCTCCCACACTCAGTGTGGCAGACGTGGAGGAAGTTCCTGGCTTCATGTTGACCCAGCTGTGGTCATGGCAGCCGTCTGGGGAGTGAGCCAGCGGAAGGAAGATCCCTGTGTCTCCTCGCCTTCTGTTCCCCTCTGTTCCTCTGCCACTCAAATCAAATCTTAAAAAAAGGAAAAAAAAAAAAAAACACCTCCAAAGTAAGACTTACACATAATTCTGGCACTAACAAGTGGCACTGGTTTGCTTGGCATGGAGTGGTTAAAGATCTTCAGACAGAACACCTTGCGACCCGGTGGGATCTGGGAAGGCGGGGACATGGCAGCCCGTGTTTCGTAGATCAAGACGACCATGATGGAGGTGGAGTTTCCACTGATAAAGGCAGAGCTGGAAGCGATAGATGTGAAGTTGCTGAGTGCTGAGACAACGCTGTTTTGGAATAGCACAGGTACCAGGCCCCCGTCGCCACCGCCTGGGGTGCACGCCGCGTCCGGTCCCGAGCGGTCACCGTCCCCAGCTGGCAGTGGGATCGTGCTGAAGGCCCCGGGGGGATTCCACCTGCTGACCCCACCCCAGAGGAGCCCTCGTGTGTCCCTTACCAGTGGCTTCCTTGGGGGGGACCAAGGGAGACCCCAGAGTATCCAAACTGGGCTTGCTGGGGACCTGGCATTCAGGGCATGAGAGCCAGCACCCAACTCTACTGACCCAGGCCAGCAGGCGTGGGGCACGTGGCCAGGAGCCCCAGCTCTCCTCCTGGCCCCACCCTGCTGCCCTGCACCCCCCCAGTCAGTGGGAGGGGGACTGCATGTCACCGTGCATGTCCCTGAAGCTGCGGTCTGCCCTGAGAGGGTCCTCCTGTCTCTGCATCTGTCTCTCTTGCAGCTGCCCCTCCCCGCTGTGTTGTAGGCTGTACCGTGCTCCTGGGGGGCTGGGCCCTGCAGCTCCTCAGGGGAACAAGGGGGCCACGCACTTGGGAGCCTGTCTCTGGCCCAAGGGACATCACCCTTTGGTGTTGCAGCCTCCCCTTCCCCCGCAGCCGCTGGGAAACTCAGGTGGAATTCTCCAATTCCTCACCTTAGCGGGTAAGGCCCACGCAAGAAGTGTCTTCCCGGGCAGGTGCGGTCCCTCAGCCACCTGCTCTTTGCAGACGTATTCCAGTATATTCAGGAGATGCGGGAAATCCTGTGCAACCTGCAGAACCGCATCCAGAAAGCCAAGCAGAACGTGGAGGGCATCAGCCAGGTCATGAAGGTATGCGGGTCGGGGGGCCGGGGGGCCAGGGGGCCGGGGGGCCGGGGAGACCAAGGGACAGGGCTGGGAGGCTGGGAGGCTGGGGGGCTGGAGGGCTGGGGCTGGGAAGATCAAAGGACAGGGCTGGGAGGCTGGGAGGCTGGGGAGACCAAGGGACAGGGCTGGGGAGCTGGGGGGCTGGGGAGACCAAGGGACAGGGCTGGGGGGCTGGGTAGCTGGGGAGACCAAGGAACAGGGCTGGGGGGCTAGGGGGCTAGGAGGCTGGGGAGACCAAAGGACAGGGCTGAGGGGCTGGAGCTGGGGGGCTGGGGTTGGGGGGCTGGGGTTGGGGGGCTGGGGAGACCAAAGGACAGGGCTGGGAGGCTGGGGGGCTGGAGTTGGGGGGCTGGGGAGACCAAGGGACAGGACTGGGGGGCTGGGAGGCTGGGGCTGGGGGGCTGGGGGCTAGGGGGCTGGGGAGACCAAGGGACAGGACTGGGGGGCTGGGAGGCTGGGGCTGGGGGGCTGGGGGCTAGGGGGCTGGGGAGACCAAGGGACAGGGCTGGGGGGCTGGGTGCCAGGGACAGGGAGCTTGCCATTGGCTTACAGTCACTTGGACACAGGAGACCCTGGCCAGGGAGGGCTCCTGGCAATGTGCTCCCCACTTACCCCAGCATTTTCCGTCCAGGACTGGTCGTCCAACCCCCTATTTGAGAGAAAGGATGGCAAGAAGGAGGCCCTGCTGGACCTGGATGGGAGGATGGCCGACCTCAACAAGCGCTACACGGCCGTCAAGGAGGCCGGCGTCAAGGTCCAGGGCATGCTGGCGGTAAGGGCAGAGGAAGGGGGAGGTGGGCCGGCCAGGATGCCAGTCCCAGCATCCCTCCCTCCGAAGGCTCCAGAAGAGGCGTGTCTCAGAGCGGCAGCCAGCCTCACTGCTGCCTCCGAGCCCGGGTCTCTCCTGCCTAGAATGGTCCAGCCAGTTGGCAGTCATACGTGCGCCCAAGCCGAGCAGTGGCACCAGCCTGTGCAGGCCACCATCATGGGTGCCCCACTTCACGGGTGCCCATCAGCAGCCCAGGGCAGGTGTGCAGGTGGCACATCCTTGCCTGCCTGCAGGTGCCTATGCTGGGGTGAGGCTGCCCCCAGGGTAGGTGCTCACCTTTGTTGGGGGGGTCGCCATGGGACCCCTAGGCTCTGGGGGAAGATGTGGGCATCCTTGGGGGTCCGACCCCAACGCCTGATCCTGTAGGGGCTTCCGACCCGCCTCCCCTGGAGCTTCCTCATATGGCTTGTGTTCCAGTTTATTCTGAGCAGAATATAAGCAACAGAACCGGGCAGGAATTCTTCCTTGGTCTTGGGACGTCCTGCAGGGGGACTTGGCTGGGGTTTCCCCAGGCAGGTGCAGAGGGAGGGTGGGGAACTAAGGCCAGATCTCAGCCCTGGTCGGGGAGGTGGGAGATCTGTGGTCAACTGGCCTGCGGTGGCGTCATCGCTTTGGTGGCGTCACCCTAAGGGGCGAGTGGCGGCCGCACGGCATGTCTGCCTCCTCTGCCACGGGCCCCGCAGGCCCCGCAAGATACAACACTGAGGTGCAGACACGTGGGTGCACTGACCTGTCCACTTGTGAGCGTGACAGGCAGCACAGGCCTGGCTCACAGTCAGGAAAGCTTCCGGGCACTCAGGCCCAGCGAGGGGGCCGGGGAGGAGCCGCAATGAGCAGGACCCCCCAGAGGGAGGAGAGCAGCATCCTGCAACAGCCAGGCCAGGACCAGGCTAAAGCACCACCCACCCCAGCACTGCTTTCTTATCCTCATTTAAAAATATATATATATATATGTTGAAAAAAGTGACAGAGGAAGAGGCGGAGAGAGGGCAGTGTTCCGGGTGTGGCCGCAGCAGCCCCAGGGCTCAGTCCATCTGAAACCAGGAGCCAGGAGCTTCTTCCAGGTCTCCTCTGTGAGTGCAGGAGCCCAAGCATTTGGGCCATCCTCCATTGCCTGCCCCAATGCATCAGCAAGGAGCAGGATGGGAAGTGGAGCAGCCAGGACTTGAATCAGTGCCCGTAAGGGATGGTGGTGTCTCCAAGAGTGGCCCTGCCAGCATGGTTGGCTGTGCAGGGTTCTGTTACCACGCACACCTGCTCTCCCTGCCATCCCGGGAACCTCCTCATTCTGTCTACAGCCGGCGGCTCCTCGTCTCTGTTAGCACAGGACTGCCTACAGGCACAGTGGGTCGCAATCACCCTGGAGTGCTATGTAATGTCTTGTTGACTCACTCACTCACCCATCGGCACACCCAGCCACCCTCTGCTCGTCCTCCCACCCCTCCCTCCCTCCATCCAGGTCTGTGCATCCGTCTGACCTCCCCGCTATCCGCCTGCTCATCATCTGGACCAGGCGTGGGCTGCGGCTTCCTTGGTGCAGGGCAAGGGCTCCGGGCCCGGAGGGGGATACAGACTGTTGAGTCACTCAGCGGGTACCTGTCACCAACGGGGACCCACCCTGGGATGACAGAGCCTGGGGCTTTGGAGAAGCCACCCCGGGCAGGAGTGGGAGGCAACAGGCTGAGCAGACACCAGAGCCGGGCACACTCGGGACACAGAGGCAGGCCTGCATTTCTGGAGCCACCTCGGGGCCACCACGGGGCCACCATGGGGCCACCATAGGGCCACCACCAGGCCACCACGGGGCCACCATGGAGCTACCACAGGGCCACCACAGGTTGGTGGAATAAATAGTGAACACGTGGAGGCCAGTGTCATGGGAGCTTAGTGTCACTGCCATCTGTGACACCGACATTCCGTGCGTGTCCTGCTGCCTGTCTCAGCGGCTCCACTTCCCATCCAGCTCCCTGCTAATATGCCTGGGCAAGCAGCCAGGATGGCCCAAGGGCTCAGGCCTCTGCACCCACGTGGGAAACCTGGATGAGGCTCCAGCTTCCGCCCAGTCCTGGCTGCCGCAGGGAGCCAGTGCTGAAGGGAGCCAGTGGAGGGAGGAGCCGTCTCTCGCTCTGTGGGTCTAAGTGGAGAACAGCACACAGCAGAGCCAGTGAGCGGGCAGCGGCCAAGGCTGGGCTTGTGCCGGCAGGAGAACGCGGAGCTGTTCAAGGCGGACGTGACCAGCCTGCCCTGGAAGGATTACATCAGCTACGTCGACAACCTGGTATTGGACGAGTTCAAAACCTTCATCCGCAAGTCCCTGACCTACCTGACAGACAACATGGTGATGGACGTGAGTCAGACAGCAGGGTGCTCGTGGCGCCACAGCCCAGGCTGGCACCTCACAGATGTGCCCTCGGGCCAGGCCAGCTGGTCGCTGCAAACCTGCTGAGATTGCCGGGAGTGGGGGGCAGGCACCGCCGACCCCTGTTCAGGCTTAGTGGGGGGGCTGGGAGGTGCCGTCCTGTCGGCAACAACACCCTGAGACCACGGGACCCTCCGTGACCGGGCCTCCAGGGGCTTGCCTTGTTCTCGGGGAGTGACCCTCGCCACCTGATGCTTTGTTTGGGCAAGGCTTCCCAGGAAGGCGGGCAGAGGTGAGCCTCATCCAAGCCGTGTGATGGCTGGCTGGGTGGGTTAGTGCGGCCAGCACAGAATGCCGCGGGTGGCCAGCAGGGGCAGCTTCTTGGCCCTAGACAGCTGCTTCCGGAGACGCGCAGACAGCTCCCCTGGCGCTCACGGGCTCCGGGGGCAGTTGAAGTTGGGGTAGCAATGAGGCCCATGCCGTGGACCCCACGCTGAGAGCCTCCCATGTGATGGGAAGGGCTCCAGGGTGGCCTCAATCCCAGAGCCTCACGTGGGGCCAGCGTGGGCCACCTCACAGCCCCATGCAGGCTGCGGTCACGCGTGTGCTGGTCCTTGTCTGCAATGCTCTGATGGTTCACCACAGCCCAGAGACCACGAGTGTTCATCCCTCAGTGAAGCTTTTGGGGGACACGGGGGGCACAGGATTCGCCCAAGACTGGTGGGTGGCAGCTTCAAGCTTCGAGGCCCAGGCAGCAGGTCCCACGACCTGTGTACCTGCCTTGGCCCACTTCTACATGGCCAGCCTGGGGGAGGGCCAGGGAAGGCCAAAGTCCCTCAGAAGCCACAGGGCCAGCGGGAGCCAGCGGCCTTGACCACGTGCTGCCCTGTGCAGGAGAACGTGGCGCCCCTGCTGGAGATCCGCATGGAGCTGGAGGACGCAGGGCTGACCTTCAACCCGTCCCTGGAGATGGGCGCCGAGCACGGCTTCCTGGCACTCATTGAAGGGCTCGTCAATGACATCTACAACGTGGCCAGGCTCATCCCCCGGCTGGCCAAGGGCAAACTCAACTACAAGGTCAGTCACTCGTCCCCGCCTGCTGCTGGACACAGCCAGTGACTGTTCCCGGGGAGCTGTCGGCTGTCGCTTGGCTGCGGGGCCACCACATCCTGTTCCCTGCCTCCTTGTCCCTTCCGGGCCCCAGAGTGGCTGCTCCTTGTCGGCCTGTCTGGACTGACCTCCCCAGTGTCCTTCAGTCCCCACCACCTGCCCGGGACCCCGTGTGGCCCGGTCTGAGGGCCGACTGCGCTCCGTGATTGTACCACGACCATCTCTGTGCATTGACACATGCCGAGCCGGGTCACAGATTGGGTTAAGCGGCAGAACGGGGGGTGGGTGTGTGTGGAGCGTGGAGGCAGGGAAAGGGCAGCAGGCTCTTTGTCTCCAATGTTTGTGAGTCATCGCGATCTCGTCAAAGGGCAGCTGTGATTGGGGGGTAAATGTGGGGCAGACTGTGTGCACGTGTGGGTCTACACGTAGGTGTGTGGGTTTCTGTCCAGGTGTGCACGTTTGAATTTGTGTGAACATGTGCATTGGGGCATGTGAGCATGCGTGCAGGTCTGCCCGTGTGTGTGTCTGCCGGGGGAGGTGGAGGGTGGGTTAGCAGGGGAGCAGCTCCCTGCCTGGAACGGTCAAGGCTGGCCTCTGAGCGGAGCCGACATGGGCGCTGCTGACCCACACAGGACAGCGGAGTGTTCAGGCTGTGAGGGGCAGAAGCAGTGACTCGGAGCCACCTGAAGCCGATAGGCTGGGCCGGCACCCACAGCCGCGCGCGGCGAGGGCCCCTGTGGTGCAGACTGCCAGCTAGGCTCCTGCCCACGGCCTCCACCCCCGCCACGTCCCCACAGCAGGCTGAGCTCAGGCACTAACAGGCACCTGATCTGGCTCTCCCAGCACACACTGGCTGGGGACCCTCATGGTGGAAGCTCTGCAGCCTGTCCGAGCCCACAGTAGGCAGAGGGCTGGGCAGGCCCATGGAGGGTACCGCGAAGGAGGAGGCTCAGTGGCAAGCCCTGCCTACCTCACATGGGGTCGGGCCCAAGCCAGGGACTCCATTTAGGGTCCCCATGTGGGTGGCAGGGACCAAATGGCTTGAACCATCCCCACTGCCCTGTGCCCAGGGGTCTGCCTTTGAGGGAGCTGGGTACTCAGTCCAAGGGCTATGGCACAGGCTGGGGCCGTCCTGGGCGGCAGCCGATGCTGAGCCCGACACCCACACCACACCAGGCACCTGCCTAAGCCATGATGGAGCTTCAGACTTCCCGCCCAGGCAGCTGCACTGGGCAAGGTCTGGGTGACACGCAGGATGGGAGCTGTCCCCACCCGCTTCCAGTCCCAGCCCCGTCTGTCACCTTCCAGGTGATCCCAGCCCTGGGGTCTGCTCACCTGGAATGTAAGCCCTGTGCGGCCCTGTGGTGTCTGCCCACCACGGCAGGCGAGTCCAGAGAGGACAGCTCAACCTTGAGTCTAGAGCCACACTCGGCGTGGGAGCCAGCGCGTCCCCAGCTCCCCGCTGCGGCGGCTCTGCCTGGCGGGGCTGGGCTTGGAGAGCAGCCAGCGCCTCCTCAGCCTGCCCGTGCCCGCTCCCCTTGCAGACAGACCTGGAGGATATCACGGACCTCATCGAGATGAGGGAGGAGCTGTCCACGTTGGTCATCAACGCCATGAAGGAGGCCGAGGAGTACCAGGAGTCCATCGAAAGGTTCTCCTACCTCTGGACCGACGACCCCCAGGAGTTCATGCGCAACTTCCTCTTCTTCGGCCACGTGCCCACCCAGGAGGAGCTGGACACGCGCACGGACGACATGGTGCCCAAGGCCCAGCCCACCCTCGCTCAGTTCCAGCAGCAGGTGCGTCCGGCCCTGCGTCCCTCGGGACAGAGCCCGTCTGCCCGTTGTTGCTGTTACAGCTCCCCAGTGGATGGGCTAGAGATGTGCCCAGCACGCAGGGGGCAGTGGGCTTAGAACCCCAAGGAGCCAGCAGGGTCTGCTACCCAGGGCTGGGAGTGAGCAGACTGGAGGGTCTGACCCCCGGGGAGATTACAGCAGCCGGGGTGAGTGGGCGATGGCCAGAGGGAAGCCGCCGGTGGGTGGTGAAGGGGTATTCCCCTATTCCCTGTCGGGACCCCAGTACCGGGAACCTGGGGTGTCAGCCAGCGGGTGGGGACGGGCGGTGACAGCAGCTGGCGGCCGCGCCTCCCAGATCGACTCCTATGAGAAGCTCTACGAGGAGGTGGCCAAGTGCGAGAACAGCAGGGTGTTCCACGGCTGGCTGCAGTGCGACTGCCGGCCCTTCAAGCAGGCCCTGCTCAACACCATCAAGCGCTGGAGCCTCATGTTCAAGAGGCACCTGAGCAACCATGTGGTCAACAGGTGGGCGCTGGGCCAGCCCGCAGCCCGCCCGGGGCGGAGCCACCAGCAGCCTGGCGGCCTTTGGCGGGGGAGAGAGCAGACAGGCCCCTCACGGTGGCACCCTTGTCCCGCAGCCTCGCCGACCTGGAGGCCTTCATGAAGGTGGCCAGGACGGGCTTGACGAAGCCGCTCAAGGAGGGAGACTACGACGGGCTCGTGGAGGTGATGGGTCACTTGATGAAGGTCAAGGAGAGGCAGGTGGCCACCGACAACCTGTTTGAGCCCCTGAAGCAGACGATCGAGCTGCTCAAGAGCTACGGGGAGGAGCTGCCGGAGGAGATCCACCTCAAGCTGCAGGTGCCGGGGGCGGGCTGCGGTGTGGCGGGGCGGTGTGGCGGGGCGGTGTGGCGGGACGGGCTGGGGCGGAGCACCTTGTGGGAGGAGCAGGAGGGTGCGGGGTGCTGGAGGGCGCTTGAGTGACTCAGCCCTTCTCCCTAGCCCCTCCCCTCCCCCATAGTCCTTCCCCTCCCTGCAGCCCTTCCCCTCCCCTGCAGCCCCTCCCCTCTCCTGCAGCTCCTCCCCTCCCTGCAGCCCCTCCCCTCCCTGCAGCCCCTCTGCTGCAGCCCCTCCCCTCCCTGCAGCCCTTCCCCTCTCCTGCAGCCCCTCCCCTCCCCTGCAGCCCTTCCCCTCTCCTGCAGCCCCTCCCCTCCCTGCAGCCCCTCTCCTGCAGCCCCTCCCCTCCCTGCAGCCCCTCCCCTCTCCTGCAGCCCCTCCCCTCCCCTGCAGCCCCTCCCCTCCCTGCAGCCCCTCCCCTCCCTGCAGCCCCTCTGCTGCAGCCCCTCCCCTCCCTGCAGCTCCTCTTCGCACTCCCTTCTGCTTCTGCTCTGTGGGTCCAGTCACCCCAGAACCCAGCCCACTGCCCATACATGCAGGTCTCAGGCCTCAGCCAGGCCAGGGGAGCTTGCAGGCCCCCAGCCCCCCAGTGGGGGTGCCATGCTGCACAGGGCCATGCCTGCCCTGCGCCAAGCTCACAGTGGCAGCTGGTGGCACTGCTGGCATAAATCACTGCCTGGACTGAAAGTGCATGGAGTTGTGGACACACGCACCTGCTCACACAGGGCACTGAAGTCCGCACACCCCACTTGTCCCCAACTTGGCTCACTGTGCACTATGCGTGTAGTTGACAGGGGACCCCATTGCCTTCCTGGTTCCTCGTTGAGAAGAGAGGCTGGGGGTGGCACTACGGTTCTGCTGATTTCCCTGGTGCCTTAGCAGGGAGCTGGAGGGGAAGCAGAGTAGCCGGAACCCTGCTGTGCACTGTTGGCCTTGCCTCGGGGTCAGCCAGCTGCAAGGTTATTCCAAAGAGAAGTCCAGGAGCCCCAACTGGCTTCCGTCTCCCGCAGGAGCTGCCCGAGCAGTGGACCAACACCAAGAAGCTGGCCATACAGGTGAAGCAGAACGTGGCACCCTTGCAGGCCAACGAGGTCAGCATCCTGCGACGCAGGTGCCAGCAATTCGAGGTATGGAGAAGGACCCCCCCAAGTGGGGTGGTGACAGGAGGTGGGGACGGAGCTGCAGAGCCGGGCTGGGTGGCCTCCTTGGGCCACCTCCGCAGCTGACCAGCCCACGGGGCTCTGCCACTGCCCCTCGCAGCTCAAGCAGCACGAGTTCAGGGAGAAGTTCCGGCGAGAGGCCCCATTCTCCTTCAGCGACCCTGAGCCCTACAAGTCCCTGAATAAGGTAGGTTTGCATGAGGGTGAGTGCTGCTGGGACCCTGCACACCCCCGTAGCGGCCATGGCCTGGCTCAACACACCCAGTGTGGAAGTGTGAGTGTCTACACGAGTGTCTCATGAACGTGCCAGCTCTGCTCCAGACCCACCTGGGCATCTGGTGACGGACAGACCTGCCCTGCCCCTCACCCCTGGCTCCACCCTATTTGTCTCCAGTTTGGCTCACAGTCCCCAATTCCTGCCCCGGGATATTAACCCTCAGCCACCCTCTCTGAGTCCTTCCTCTCCCCACGCACCATATCTGACTGACAGCCAAGCTTGCTGTAGATCACCACTCTGTCCCCACTGCCCGAATCATGTCCAGCATCCACTGAGCAGCCCCACCAGCCCTGGGCCTGTGGGTCCACACTGCAGCCTGCGCCCCAGGGACTCTCGTAGGCTGGGAACAGGGCAGTGATGAGGCAGCCAGGAGCCGGGGGCGTGGGAGGCGTAAGGGTGGCTGCAGGGCTCCGGGGCTGAGTGCCAGCCAAGCTGTGAGTGGTTGAGGAGGTGCATCCCACTGACATTCCCGGTGTCCCCGTCACCCACAGCAACAGAAGAGCATCGCGGCCATGGAGGCCCTCATGGAGTCACTGTGCAAGTCGGGCAGCCTGTTTGAGGTGACCGTCCCCGATTACAAGCAACTCAAGGCGTGCCACCGGGAGGTGCGGCTGCTAAAGGAACTCTGGGACATGATCTTCACGGTGAGGACACTGGGGGCGGGTGCCAGGGCCCCTGCATGGCTGGCCAGCCTTGGGAGGCGGCTCTGCACGCAGCTGTCCCCCACCTGTCACAAGCCCTGCTCTAGCTCCTCCTGCCCCCTCCTCTCCCACATCTCACTGCTCAGGCATTGGTTTAAAGCCGGGAATGTGGCTTGTCTTGGTTGAGTGGGGCGTCACTTGCTGAGTGCTTGGAGGACAAGAGTCATTTCCTTCCCTGGTTTCTGGACCGCCAGGCCAAGGCTGAGGCCAACTGGGAGGTCATGACTGTCACTTGCCGACACCCCCCTGCTAGATGCGCTCATGCGGTGACGACGGGTCTTCCAGGCTCTCTTTGAAAAGGGCGCTACCCCACTCAAGATAGCCCTGTCCCTGCTCCCTGGCTGAAGACCCCTGGTCCCTACACCAGGGCTCCTTGGGGATACGCTCCTGCTCGCCCCCGGCCACACTAGGAGGCACACCCAACTTTAGCAGGTGCAGAGCTCAGCTGCACACGTGGGTCTCACTGGCCGTGGTGTGGCTTAGCCTCCACACTCGCTTCTTACCCGGCGGGGTGGGGCCATGCAGGGAGTCACTGTCCCTCCCTGACCAGCTCCCCTGCCCCGTGTGGCTACACGCAGCACACCTCTGGCTTCCCTGGGTTGCTCTAAGTGCGAAGTAGAGCAGCTGAGTCTTGAACCAGTGCCCTTATGGGATGGTACTCCCTGATTCCCACAGTGACTAGCCTTTGGGGTCACAGTCGTTCTTCACGCTGGGTTGTTTGTACGATTTGTTTCCTGTTAACATGAAGGGGCTTTTTCAGTCATCATGAGCAGGGTTACAGCTCAGCAGCAAAAGCCCAGCTCAGCTCTGAGTGGGAAACTCCCCGGTGTTCACACAAGGCCATGCGCAGGCCTGCCCCACGCTGCAGCTATGTGGGTGGCTGTCCACCAGGGGGCACATCCAGGCCGCTGTACCAACAGCTGTCCACCAGGGGGCGTGTCCAGGCCGCTGTACCAACAGCTGTCCACCAGGGGGCGTGTCCTGGACGCTGTACCAACAACTGTCCACCAGGGGGCTTGTCCAGGGCGCTGTACAGATAGCTGTCCACCAGAGGGCGTGTCCAGGCCGCTGTATGGACAGCTGTCCACCAGGGGGCACATGCAGGCCGCTGTACCAACAGCTGTCCACCAGAGGGCGTGTCCTGGACGCTGTACCAACAGCTGTCCACCAGGGGGCTTGTCCAGGGCGCTGTACAGACAGCTGTCCACCAGGGGGCTTGTCCAAGGCACTGTACAGACAGCTGTCCACCAGGGGGCTCGTCCAGGGCGCTGTACTGACAGCTGTTCACCAGGGGGCGTGTCCTCACTGCTGTACCAACAGCTGTCCACCAGGGGGCTCGTCCAGGGCGCTGTACAGACAGCTGTCCACCAGGGAGCGTGTCCTAGACGCTGTACCAACAGCTGGCCAGCAGGGGGGCGTGTCGAGGCTGCTGTACCAACAGCTGTCCACCAGGGGGCGTGTCCTGGACGCTGTACAGACAGCTGGCCAGCAGGGGGGCGTGTCCTGCATGCTGTACAGACAGCTGTCCACCAGGGGGCGTGTCCTGGACACCAAGGCCAGGTCAACAGTCATGTCAGAAAGTAAGAACTGGACCCTGCTTTGACTCAAAATATCTTTTTAAAACTTATTGATTTATTTGAAAGTCCAAGGGCCTTCTGTCTGTTGGTTGACCTGTCCTTCCCAGGCTCCCACATGGTCCAGGGGCCCAAGCACTGGGTCATCTTCTGCTGCGTTCTCAGGTGCTTCAGCAGGGAGCTGGGTGGGAAGTGCAGCAGCTGGTACATAAACGTGGTGCCCACAGGGGATGTCTACATCTCAGGCAGAGGATTAGCTCGCTGTGCCACTCATTTCCGCCTTCCTCAAGCTTTCTGACTGACTTTGATCCTTGTGCAACAGCTGGCTTTCCTGGAATTAGAGCACTGTAGGGACCTCGAGGGATTCTGGGGTGGGGGTCCCCATGGCAAGGGGTGCTGAGTGGGACTGTGCGGCCTCAGGTGAACACCAGCATCGACGACTGGAAGACCACCAAATGGAAGGACATCAACGTGGAGCAGATGGACATCGACTGCAAGAAGTTCGCCAAGGACGTGCGGTCCCTGGACAAGGAGATGAAGACCTGGGACGCCTTCGTGGGGCTGGACAACACGGTCAAGAACACCATCACCTCGCTGCGAGCCGTGAGCGAACTCCAGAACCCCGCCATCCGCGACCGCCACTGGCAGCAGCTCATGCAGGCCACGCAGGTGCCCGGGAAGCACCGCGGGCGGTGGGGCTCCAAGCTCAGCGTGCCCAGGCTGTCACCCCACTGTCACCATCACGAAACCCGGCAGTTTCCGAGCAGGGCTGAGGAGGGGAGGGTCGCGGGCTGCGGTTCTGCACTGGGCGCTGCCAGGGCGAGCACCAGCCCTGCGGTCGACCACTCGCTGGGCTCGACACCCCACCGTCTGGCCAAGGTGGCCGCGCCCGCACACCCGGGGTGTCCTCAAGGGCTCGGCACTGTCTCTGTGCTCCCGGGCCCAGCAGCTTTTCAGCTGAGGCCCCACGTGGAAGCCAGGCTGCACAGAGGCAGCGGCTCCCAAGCTCGTGGCTCCCAATTTCATGAGGAATTTAAATACTCGAAGAAGCCATGTTTGTGTGAGCCACGCACGGCCTTCTCTTCCTCCAGAGAACATGGTCTCCGTGCAGACACCCCACAATTTCATCCAGGGGCCCTGCAGATCCCAGGGGACAAAATGCACATGGTGGCATGGGGGAGCAGACAGGGGTCTTGCCACCTACTCCCCCCCAGGGCTCCTGCAGCTCAGGCTGACCCGAGTCAGGGTACAGGGTGTCAGGGTCACAGGGTACAGGGTCACAGGGTCATAGGGTACAGGGTCACAGGGTCACAGATTGGGGCCTAGAACCGACAGGGATGCTTAGAGCTCAGGCTTGTGTCTCTCCCATGCCGCCCCCATCCCGAGGGAGGAGACAGCCGCTGTGCCTGTAGGGTGGCAGGTACGGGAAAGTGAGTGGATGGCAGAGGCAGGCAAGCCTCAGCCAGGTGTGTGCCAGGCCCAGGAGAGCAGAGGTGAACTCCCACCTGTGCCCGCTTCTCGGGGATGTGCCTGGCAGTGCCCAGCGAGCTCAGAGACTGCCCGTGTCCCTCCCCAGGTGAAGTTTGAAATGTCGGACAAGACCACGCTGGCCGACCTGCTGCAGCTGAACCTGCACAAATACGAGGACGAGGTTCGCAACATCGTGGACAAGGCCGTGAAGGAGTCGGGGACGGAGAAGGTGTGCCCGCCGGCCCAGCGCACAGGCTCCCGACCCGCTCGGGCTCTGGGTCACCTCTCGCCGGGCGGCTGCGACAGCTGTATTTAATAGTAACCTGAGCTCTGGCCTCCTGGCTGGCCAGCCCGTGCCTGGGGCTGCGGGGCGCGGGCGGGGAGGGGCACTGGGCCAGGCCCCCTCTCTGCTCAGGCTCCCGCCTCGCCTGCTTTGACACTTGGGTCCCACGTTGGCCTCTGTTGTTGTTGAGATGCGTTTACTTAGTTGAAAGGTGGAGTTACACAGACATCTGGTTCACTCCCCAAACAGCCTCAATGCCAGAGCTGGGCCAGTCCAGAGCCAGGAGCCAGGAGCCTCCTCCAGGTCTCCCACACGGGCGCGGGGGCCCAAGGACTTGGGCCGTCCTCCACTGGTTTCCCAGGCCACAGGCAGGGAGCTGGATGGGAAGTGGAGCCACCGGGATTAGAACCGGCGCCCATGTGGGATCCTGTCATGACTGCCGTGCCACAGCGCCAGTCCCGGCCATCCTTTCAATTTAGTCTTGTTTTGGGACGATCTCCCTGAGATCCAGCTCACACACTGCACCATTCAGCCTTTCTAACATACACGATCGGTGGCATCTGGTGTGCCCTTGTAATCATGGTATTTAGGGTTACTCCATGCTGCAGCTGTGCCCGCCCCTGGCCTCTCCAACCCCCTCCCTGGCTCGAAGCAGCGCTCACCAGCCGGCTGTCCCCATCAGCCGGCTGTCCCTGGGGTGTGTTTTCTCTGCTGGTTTGAGAATCGAGCAGACGGGCAGCTCGGCAGGGAGGCAGCGTGCCAAGTGTGCAAGTGGTGAGGAGAAGCCTCTGGGTCCAGGCCCCTCATCCCCGCTGCCCACCGGGGCTTCAGGTGCTGTAGTCTCCGCCCCTTCGCACACAGCACCTAGCATCCGAGCAGCCCCTCTCACGGGTGCCAGAGTGGGATCACGGCCTCCTTGCTGTGTGTGGCTTGTCCAGGGTGTCGGTCCTGCCTCCACACCCCCACCAGGCATGGGTGGACATCCCCGCGCCTCTGCCTTGGGCAGCGTGCGTAGTGCAGGTGTGAACACCCCGGCTGTGTGCCGGCCTTTTCCTGGTGCCCCCCTGTGCCCCACATGCCAGACCCGTGATGGCCTGGTTCCCAGGGGTCCCCCCGCCCCGGCAGGTCCTGAAGACCCTGGACAGCACCTGGACCACCATGGAGTTCGAGCACGAACCGCACCCCCGCACGGGCACCGTGATGCTCAAGGCGGACGAGGCGCTGGTGGAGACGCTGGAGGACAACCAGGTGCAGCTGCAGAACCTCATGATGTCCAAGTACCTGTCACACTTCCTGAAGGAGGTGACGAGCTGGCAGCAGAAGCTCTCCACGGCCGACTCGGTCATCTCCATCTGGTTCGAGGTCCAGAGGACCTGGAGCCACCTGGAGAGCATCTTCATCGGCTCCGAGGACATCCGCAAGCAGCTGCCCGAGGACTCGCGGCGTTTTGACGACATTGACCTCGAGTTCAAGGTGTGCCCACGGCTCCCGCGCTGGCGGGCCGGCAGATGGGTGGGTGTCCCACTGGCCTCCCCGGGGAGCACCCCGCACCCCGGCGTCCTGGCAGCCCGTTCCCCACCTCAGGCGCTGATGGCAGACGCCGTGAAAACGCCCAACGTGGTGGAAGCCACCAACAAGCCAGGCCTCTACGACAAACTCGAGGTCCTGAAGAAGAGGTGGGTGCCACGCCCATCCGTGTGTGCCCGTTGGCCGGAGGCTGTCACACACGGGCCGCAGGGGCCTTCGCCCCGCCCTGCAGGGTCAGAGTGCCGGGTTCAAGCCCCAGCTCCACTCACGACTCCAGCTCTGGCAAGAGCACCTCCCGGGAGGCAGCAGTGACTGGTCCCTTGGGTCCCTGCCCGCCAGGGGGAGCCCCGGGTGGAGGTCGTGCGGCCACGCCGGTGTGGTCCAGCCTGGGCTGTTAAAATTGGGAAGTGAACAGGTGGGTGGGGGCACGTCTCCCCCCTCTCACTCCCCCTTCCAAATAAAAAGAAATGTTCCTCAAATAAAGAACAGGTGGGCCAGTGGACACGGACTGGCCACTTCCAGGCCGGCGGTCCAGCAGGCTGGGAGGGTGGCAGGGGGCCCGTGGGGGCACCACGCTCACAGTCCCCCACCCCCTCAGCCTGGCCATGTGCGAGAAGGCGCTGGCGGAATACCTGGAGACGAAAAGGCTGGCCTTCCCAAGATTCTATTTCGTGTCCTCGGCCGACCTGCTGGACATCCTGTCCAATGGCAATGACCCCGTGGAGGTAGGGGGTCCCTGGCGTCCCGAAGGACGGGCTGACCCTGCACCCCACACTCGGGGCTCACACCCCACGTGACTGGACAGCCCCGGGCGGGGAAGCCGTGTCGGCCGCTGTCCTGGCGTCACCTCCAGCAGGTCCCTCGGGCCAGCAACCGCCCAGGGGTCACGGGCCACAGTGACACCCCCCTCCCCTCCCCAGCAAGTCCCAGGCCCCACGCTGCACGCACTCAGCTTCCCTTGCTGGGCCTCCTCCTGGCCTGCTCGGTGAGTCACCCTGACTAAAGGCACGGCTGCCCGCTGTCCTCTTCTTGTCCTCGTCGGTCACGGGGCCCCGGCACAGGGACAGGCACCGCGGCTGCCTGAGAGTGGACATCAGCGAGGGGGCCGCGTGATCGGATGGCAACTGTGAAGTCCCAGGGCCATGCAGGGTGACGGGGGCATGGCATAGTGGGTGAAGCCACCACCTGCAGTGCCGGCATCTCATGTGGCGCTGGTTTGAGTCCTGGTGGCTCCACTTCCAGTCCCGCTCCCTGCTAACAGCCTGGGATTTCAGCGGAGGACGCCTAGGCGCTCAGGATTCCAAAGTCACACGGAAGAACCGGGAGATGCTGCTGACCTCAGCCTAACTCAGCCCTGGTCACCGCGGCCATCCGGGGCGTGAACCGGGCGGGGGGGGAAGACCTCTCCCTCGCGCTGCTTCTGCTCCTCATGACCGTTTCCTTCAAGCCCACCCGTCTGTACCCCTGCAGGTGAGCCGCCACCTGTCCAAGCTCTTTGATAGCCTGTGCAAGCTCAAGTTCCAGCTGGACGCCAACGAGAAGCCGCTCAAGGTCGGCCTGGGCATGTACAGCAAGGAGGACGAGTACGTGGACTTCGACCAGGACTGCGACCTCTCGGGGCAGGTGAGCCCGGCATGGCTGCCCGCTGGGCCGCGCTCAGCCCCCGGCACGGCTGCCCGCTGGGCCGCGCCTGGCTGTCCTGGCTGCTGAGCCGGGCCCTGTCCCTCACGGAAGCCAGCCATGGGGGTCGCGGGGCTGGCCTCTGCTGCACCTGCCCTTCTGGAGTCTTCTCTGGCCCCCTTCCTGTCTCTGACGTGGAATCTTGGCGGGTGTCCCTCTGTGCCTAGCGGGTGTGGGAACATTTATCCTGCCAGAGGTTGGTGACGATCCACTTCAACATGAGCCCGCGTGGACGTTGTCCACCGTGGCAGGCCCAGGCCTTGCGGGCTGTGCGCTACAGGCTGCGTGTTCCCCAGCCCTGAGGCACTGGCGTTGCCCAGGTGGGGCGGCTGTGGTCTTCAGGCAGGTCCTTCTCTGGCCCTACAACACCTGGACACTCCTGCCGCGGGCCCAGGAAGGCGAGTCCTGCACGGGCAGACACGCCGAGGCCCCACGAGGTCAGAGCGGCTCCGTCCCCAGGTGGAAGTCTGGCTGAACCGCGTGCTGGACCGCATGTGCGCCACGCTGCGCCACGAGATCCCGGAGGCCGTGGTGACCTACGAGGAGAAGCCCAGGGAACAGTGGATCTTCGATTACCCAGCGCAGGTGTGGGGTCACACGTGGCCGCGGGAGGGGGCGCGGCTCCTGGCTCCTGCTCCTGGCTCCTGGCTGCCCGGCTCCGGGTGCCCCCTGCTGCTGTGGGGCTGCCTGGCTCCGGGCGCCCCCTGCTGCTGTGGGGCTGCCTGGCTCCGGGCGCCCCCTGCTGCTGTGGGGCTGCCTGGCTCGGGTGCCCCCCTGCTGGTGTGGACAGCAGCCGACCCGGTCCCCCGTTGGCAGGTGGCACTGACATGCACTCAGATCTGGTGGACCACCGAGGTGGGCATGGCGTTCGCGCGGCTGGAGGAAGGTTACGAGAACGCCATCAAGGACTACAACAAGAAGCAGGTGTGTGGATGACGCATGGGCGGGGCGCCTTCCCGGCTCCTCGGCTCGAGCTCGGTCGCTGCCATCAGCCGTGTCTCTCCGTCTCCATGGGCTAGAGGGGCTGCAGCGCGGCGCAGTCCACCCGAGCGGGGGCTCCCCGGAAGACCCCCGCAGCCCAGGCTCCCGTGGCGGGCCTCAGCGCAGGCGCCTGTCCCCACAGATCAGTCAGCTGAACGCGCTCATCACGCTGCTCATCGGGAACCTCAGCCCTGGCGACCGGATGAAGATCATGACCATCTGCACCATCGACGTGCACGCCCGGGACGTGGTGGCCAAGATGATAACCGCCAAGGCATGTCGGGGTGCACGGCGGTGGGGGGCCGGGGGAGCAGCTCCAGCCCTTCCAGCCACCCCCACTGCCCACCCCCAGACCCTCACAGACGCCCACCCGGGGAAACAGCGGCCGAAAGGAGCTGCTGCCGATTCCCGAGTGGTAGATGTGGAAGCCGGAGCCGGAGGCCAGGGCTGGGCGGGCCAGCTGGTCTCCCCGGGCCGCACGCTCAGGCTCTGGCTGTGCAGGTGGAGAGCTCTCAGGCCTTCACCTGGCAGTCCCAGCTGCGGCACCGCTGGGACGACGAGAAGCAGCACTGCTTTGCCAACATCTGCGACGCCCAAATCCAGTACTCGTATGAGTACCTGGGCAACACTCCGCGGCTGGTCATCACCCCACTCACGGACAGGTGGGAGCTGCGGCAGGCCTGGGGGCTCCCCTCACACACACACACCAGCCACAGGCCCTGGGGGACCCCCCTCAAACACACACACACACACACACACACACACACACACACACACACACACACACACACACACACACACACACACACACACACACACACACACACTCACACACACCCACACACACACACACACACCCACACCCACACACACACACACACACACACACACCAGCCATAGGCCCCACACACAAACACATGTACTGTGGGATGCCCCCCCAACACACACACACTTAACCGCGGGCCCTCAGGGGATCCCCCAACACACACACACCTCCCACTTGGGACCCGGCCCACAGCGGCCGAGGAACTAAAGAACTCAGCACGGGGTGAGTCGGGACCACATCCACGTGCAGCGAGCTGGCCTGGGGCCTCCCTGGAGCCCCTCCTCCGAGGCCCAGCAGGTGTGGTCGGCACACAGCTGCCCAGCCCCGCCGTGACCCAAGTCCCCTTGCAGGTGCTACATCACGCTGACCCAGTCCCTCCACCTGATCATGGGGGGCGCTCCTGCGGGCCCCGCGGGCACGGGCAAGACGGAGACAACCAAGGACCTGGGCCGGGCACTGGGCACCATGGTGTATGTCTTCAACTGCTCAGAGCAAATGGACTACAAGGTGGGCACTAAGGCCTGGACACGGACAGCCGTCCCGTCCCCTGCACCTGCTGACAGGACACGGGGGGCGGAGTCCCTGCCCAGCCCTTTGGGGCCTCGGAGGCAATGGAGGGACCACGGGGTGAGTCGGGACCCTGGCCCGCGCGCGTGGGTCTCTCCCTCCTGTCGCAGAACCCCACTCTGCCCTGAGGCGAGGACCGGCCACCTGGGGTCCCCTCTGCCTGGCCTGCCCGTCGCCCACTCCTCCCTCTGACACGCTCCCCTCGGCTCCCACCCGTCCTAGTCCTGCGGGAACATCTACAAGGGCTTGGCCCAGACCGGCGCCTGGGGCTGCTTCGACGAGTTCAACCGCATCTCTGTGGAAGTCCTGTCTGTGATCGCTGTACAGGTGTGTCATGCTGTCGGCCCCACCCATCCCTGTGTGGCCCCATGAAGTGCAGGGCACATCAGCAGAGTTCCCTCCACACCCCAGAGTCAAAGGAAGAGCCACAGGTGAACCCCAAGATCCCATCCGTGGTCTTGGGCGCCCTCCGGAGGTGATCCGGAGATTTGCAGTGCCTTGTGCAGGTCAGACAAGGTCCTTGGAGGTGGCAGGCGGCCTCAGGGACCATGGGCCTTTGAGCCAGGACAGGCACCCACACCCTCCAGGACCACTGTGTGAGGACGCTCGGGGGCATGGGGGAGAGATACACACACCACACCCCCCCCCAAGCGGGGCAGCACGTCCCTGGGGTGCGGGAGAGGCTGGACGGAGCCAACGCCAGGTGCCATCAAGTCACGCTGTGGTCATACGCGGTGTTGTGGGAAGGCGGGCTGGAGGTCACACGGGATCCATCCTGGGTGGGAGTTCTGGGCCACGCGCCTGGGCACGGACGTCGCTGGCGCTGATGTCTGTGCGACGGCCGCTCAGGTGAAGTGCGTGCAGGACGCCATCCGGGCCAGGAAGAAGACGTTCAACTTCCTGGGGGAGGTGATCAGCCTCATCCCCACCGTCGGCATCTTCATCACCATGAACCCCGGCTACGCCGGCCGCACCGAGCTGCCCGAGAACTTGAAGGCCTTGTTCAGGTGCGTGGCCCGGGCCCAGGAGTGGGGAGAGGCCCCTGCTGACCGGGTTCCCGAGATGTGCGGGTGGCGGGCGGGCGGGCAGGCGAGTGCCTCTCCCCAAAGCTCCCAGGAGGCAGGAGGCCCGTCTGCCCAGTGCATGCACCCCAAGTGGAGGCGGGGAGGCTGGGGCAGGACCCCGGCTCCCTAGCCCTGGGGTAGCAGGTGCGGTGGCGAGGGGCAGCGGGAGGAGGCTGAGGCTGCCCTCCGCCCAGGCCCTGCGCCATGGTCGTTCCTGACTTCGAGCTGATTTGTGAAATCATGCTGGTGGCCGAGGGCTTCCTGGAAGCTCGGCTGCTGGCCCGGAAGTTCATCACGCTCTACACCCTGTGCAAGGAGCTGCTCTCGAAGCAGGTGCGTCTGGCAGGGAGGGGCGGGCAGGGGCAGGAAGGGGCGGCCGATCTCGGGGAGGAGGCACCCTGACCCCGCACCCGTGCCCCTGCCCTGGCCCCAGGACCACTACGACTGGGGCCTGCGCGCCATCAAGTCGGTGCTGGTGGTCGCCGGCTCCCTGAAGAGAGGCGACCCAACCCGCGCCGAGGACCAGGTGCTCATGCGGGCACTGAGAGACTTCAACATCCCCAAGATTGTGACCGACGACCTGCCCGTGTTCATGGGGCTCATCGGGGACCTCTTCCCGGCCCTAGACGTGCCCCGGAAGCGGGACCCCAACTTTGAGAAGGTAGCGCTGGCCCTCCCGCCCAGGGCTCCTCCTCGAGGCCCCCAGCCCCGGGGTCACGGCAGGCCGCGTGTGCGCCCGGCCAGGTCATCAAGCAGAGCATCCTGGAGCTGCGGCTGCAGGCCGAGGACAGCTTCGTGCTCAAGGTGGTGCAGCTGGAGGAACTGCTGCAGGTGCGACATTCCGTATTTGTCATCGGCAACGCGGGCAGTGGCAAGTCCCAGGTAGGCGGGCTCGGGCTGGGGAGGGGGCGTGAAGGGTCACCCAGCCCCTGCAGGTCCCGGTCCTCGCCCTTTTCCACCTGCCAGCCCCTGTGCCTCGCCCTGCTCTCGCCAGAGGCCAGTTCCCGGGTCTAGGACATCAGGTGCCCCCAGCAAGCTGTCCTCTCAGACAGACAGTCCAGGGTGCTAGCAGCGAGCACACGTGAGGTTCTCAGAGAGTTCCAGGGAAGGTGGGATGAAAGATAAGTTCGTCTCACAGAGCCCACGAGGGTGTGTCTTCCGTGGACACACGCTGAGGCCCCCCAGGGTCCTCATCCTGGCCCTTCCCCGGGAGGGCGCCAGGACTCGGGGTACCACCCTGCCTGCCCTCCCCTGCTCTCCTAGGAGCTAGGTGACCTGCCGAGTGAGGGAGCACCGAGGGTCAGCGGGGCCCTCCTGACCTTGGCCTGGCCCTGGCGGGTGGCCCAGGGCGTGGGCGCAGGGCCAGGGGAGGGGGAGCCACACCGGTGCCCACTCCCATGCCAGGTCCTCAGGTCCCTCAACAAGACCTACCAGAACCTGAAGCGGAAGCCAGTGGCCATAGACCTGGACCCCAAGGCCGTCACCTGTGACGAGCTCTTCGGGATCATCAACCCGGCCACCCGGGAGTGGAAGGACGGTAAAAACCGGGGCTCCGCGCTGGCGGTGGGGTCACAGCGTCACACCTGCCAGGCACCGGCTCTGTGTGTGGGCATGGTGGACACTGGGCCGGGGCCGGAGGTGACGCACCTGCCCCTTCCAGGCCTGTTCTCCACCATCATGCGAGACCTGGCCAATATCACACACGACGGCCCCAAGTGGATCGTGCTGGACGGAGACATAGACCCCATGTGGATCGAGTCGCTCAATACCGTCATGGACGACAACAAGGTTTGAGGGCGCCCCCTGGAGGGCTCTTCCTGAAAGGGCAGGGGGAAGGAGAGCCGCTTATTTCCCGCCCGGACAGACCCGCTGCGGCCAGGGCCAAGCCAGGGCCAAGCCAGGGCCAAGCCAGGAACAAGCCAGGGCCAAGCCAAGGCCAAGCCAGGGCCAAGCCAGGAACAAGCCAGGGCCAAGCCAGGGCCAAGCCAGGGCCAAGCCAGGAGCTCCTCTGGATCTCCCACGTGGGCAGTGGGGTCCCAAGCACTCGAGCCCTCACCTGCCACTGCCCAGGGAGCTGGGAAGCGGGGAAGCCAGGACCCCACCCGCTGTGGGATGCTGGTGTCCCCGGAGCATCAGCTATCTTAGAGGCAGCACCAGAAGCCTGCCCCTTCCAAGGTCCTGGTGAGGGGCAGCCACCTTCTCCAGGGCCTCTGGGAGTTCCCGTGGCCGACAGTCACCACTCTGCCCGCGCCCGCCAGGTCCTCACCCTGGCCAGCAACGAGCGAATCCCCTTGAACCGCACGATGAGGCTGGTGTTTGAGATCAGTCACCTGAGGACCGCCACCCCGGCCACCGTGTCCAGGGCCGGCATCCTCTACATCAACCCAGCCGACCTGGGCTGGAACCCGTGCGTCCTGGGGCCGGGGCCCTGGGTGGCACAGGAGGCTCATCCATCCCCGTGGTGCACCTAGAGAGGCCTGGGCACCAGGACCGTGTGCTGTGGGCGTGGGGAGGGGGAGCTGAGGGCAGGCTGCACAGGCCAGGGCCAGCATCTACAGCGGGCACGGATGGACCCCATTCTCTTCCCCGCCCGTCCCGGGGTCTCTGGGACGCTGTGAGAGCGTCTCCCCTTGTGCAGCACTGGCTTCGTTTGGGGCGGTTGCCTCCCACCTCACAGCGAGGGGCGGCTCCCGGCTCCCCCTCGGAGGCAGGGCACAGCTCCTATAGACCCGGGCCCACGCGCAGTGCCCCCTCCTGCCCCGCTGCCAGGGTGGTGAGCAGCTGGATCGAACGGCGCAAGGTGCAGTCGGAAAAGGCCAACCTCATGATCCTCTTCGACAAGTACCTGCCCACGTGCCTGGACAAGCTGCGTTTCGGCTTCAAGAGGATCACGCCGGTGCCCGAGGTCACCATCATCCAGACCATCCTGTACCTGCTGGAGTGCCTGCTGACCGAGCGCACGGCGCCGCCCGACTCCCCCAAGGAGCTCTATGAACTGTACTTCGTGTTCGCCTGCCTCTGGGCCTTCGGCGGCGCCATGTTCCAGGACCAGGCAAGGAGCGCCAGGGCACGGCCGGGGCACCCCCGCACGCCACACGCAGCAAAGCCCCCAGTGCGCCCTTGACTCATGTCCCCCACAGCTGGTGGACTACCGCGTGGAGTTCAGCAGGTGGTGGGTCAATGAGTTCAAGACCATCAAGTTCCCCTCCCAGGGCACCATCTTCGACTACTACATCGACCCCGACACCAAGAAGTTCCTGCCCTGGACGGACAAAGTGCCCGCCTTCGAGCTGGACCCCGACGTGCCCCTGCAGGTGCACCCCCTGCCCCCACCCCATGGCGTGGCCGCAGCCGAGGTGGGGAGGGGAGGAGAGGAGGGGTGGACGCTGACCCGTCGTCTCGCTCCACCCCTGCAGGCCTCGCTGGTGCACACCATGGAGACGGCACGCATCCGCTACTTCATGGACCTGCTCATGGAGAAGTCGTGGCCCGTGATGCTGGTGGGCAACGCGGGCACAGGCAAGTCGGTGCTGATGAGCGACAAGCTGGACAGCCTGAGCACTGATGACTACCTGGTCCAAGCCGTGCCCTTCAACTTCTATACCACCTCGGCCATGCTGCAGGGTGCGCTGGTGGGCCCTTCCCACCGAGGGGGGCACCTGGGTGGTGGCCAGGACCCACCCCAGCACCCCCCCAGAGCCTGCCTCCCCAGCTAGGCAGGTGCCCTTGGTGCACCTGGACCTGTCCTGGGACAGCGGCGGGGCCCAGCTCACACACAGGAGCAGGCGGACTGTAACCCCGCCCTCCGCAGCGGTGCTGGAGAAGCCGCTGGAGAAGAAATCGGGGCGGAACTACGGGCCCCCAGGCACCAAGAAGCTCATCTACTTCATCGACGACATGAACATGCCCGAAGTGGACAAGTACGGCACGGTGGCCCCGCACACCCTCATCCGGCAGCACATGGACCATGGGCACTGGTGAGGCATGCTGTGGGGCGGAGCCTTGTGTGCAGGGGTGGGGCTTGTGAGTGCAGGGGAGGAGCCTGTGGGTGCAGGGGTAGGGCTCGTGGGTGTGGTGGGCAGAGCCTGTGGTGGCAGGGGCGGGGCCTGCGGGCTGTGGGGCGGAGCCTGTGGTGGCAGGGGCGGGGCCTGCGGGCTGTGGGGCGGAGCCTGTGGTGGCAGGGGCGGGGCCTGCAGCCTCCAGGGCGGAGCCTGTGGTGGCAGGGGCGGGGCCTGCAGGGTGCAGGGCGGGGCCTGTGGTGGCAGGGGCGGGGCCTGCAGGCTGTGGGGCAGAGCCTGTGGTGGCAGGGGCGGGGCCTGCAGGCTGTGGGGCGGAGCCTGTGGTGGCAGGGGCGGGGCCTGCAGGCTGTGGGCGGGGCCTGGGGCAGCACAGGTCATCAGCTGTGGCCGCCAGCTGGGGTTGTGTCAAGGGGTGCCACCTCAGCCCTGCTCCTGCCCCGCCCGCACACAGGTACGACAGGCAGAAGCTGACGCTGAAGGACGTTCACAACTGTCAGTACGTGGCCTGCATGAACCCCACCTCGGGGTCGTTCACCATCGACCCCAGGCTGCAGGTGAGCCGGACGCGCCCACACCCCACACCCCACAACCCTCCCAGCTGTTCAGACTCCTGTCCCCGCCCACCCGGCCTGCTTCCTGAACCCGTGCTAGCTTCTGTTGAGTTTTTTTTCTTGAAAGCTTGAAGTAAATGTGGCAGTTATCAGCACACAGGGGCTTCAGAAGGTTCTAGAAGGTGGAAATAAAATACTGGGGTGGTGGGGTGGGGAGCGTTGTGGCACTGTGGGCTAAGCTGTGGGAGTGCGGAATGCAAGGCCCGGGTAGTCGACACGTCCCGTTCAGCTCCCTGCTGTGCGCCCTTGGTTCATGTTATGCCTTTGTGTCGTCAGCATTCAATGCAGTTAGCTCTGTGAGTGCCTTGGCATTAACCACGCTCAAAGCACAGGGACCCCCTGGAGGCGGCGGCCGCTCCCCTGCAGCTGACCCGGCCGGGCTTGCCCCACAGCGACACTTCTGCGTGTTCGCTGTGAGCTTCCCCGGCCAGGAGGCCCTGACGGCCATCTACAGCACCATCCTGGCACAGCACCTCGCCTTCCGCTCCGTCCCCCTGGTGGTCCAGAGGATGGGCAACCAGCTAGTGGCAGCAGCGCTGGGTAAGCTCCTGGGACGCCCTGCGGTGAGCCCTTCCCTGGCTCGGCCTCCAGGGCACGGGCGCGTCATTGGCGGCGTGTCCGTCCGCTCTGATAGCCCTGCACCAGAAGGTCACGGCCACGTTCCTTCCCACCGCCATCAAGTTCCACTACGTCTTCAACCTCCGGGACCTCTCCAACATCTTCCAGGTGCAGCTCCTGGTGGGAGGGGGGGAGGGAGCCACGCGGCTGCGGCTGGAGGCGTGAATGTGCCGTTGGCCGGGGGTCGGGGGAGGGTGGTGATGGTACTAATCTTTCTCGCCGTCTGTGTTCCACCTAATCAGAGTGGGGTGTTGGGTCCGGCCGCTTACACTGCCATTTGTTGCTACAACACCCAAGCCTGGTGCCGTGGCTGGCCTGTCCTTCCCACGGGGGCCCTCGCAGGCCCAAGGTCAGAGCTCCGTTTATGTCACTGACAGTACATGGCCCGTGGTGGCCTGACCATGTCAGTCTGCTGGCCTGGTAGTGTCTTCCCACCAGTCTGTCTGTCTCCCGGAACGGGGCCAGGCCAACGGACCACAGCTTGCACCTGCTGAGCTGAGCCCGGCTCGTGCAGGCAGCCGGTGACCCAGTAGGCCCGCCACGGCACCCACGCTGGTGGTCTGCCCGCTGCCCACTCCCCACTGTCCAGCCCCGAGCCCCGTGCGGTGCAGTGATCGCCCCATCCTGGGCGGGGCAGGGCCTGCTGTTCTCCACAGCGGAAGTCCTCAAGATGCCGCTGGACCTCGTCCGCCTGTGGCTGCACGAGGCGGAGCGCGTCTATGGCGACAAGATGGTGGACGAGAAAGACCAGGACACGCTGCGCAGGGTCACCATGGCTTCCACGAAGAAGTTCTTTGATGTGAGCGGCTCTGCGGTGCTGTCCCCCGCCCCTCACCACCCCGCAGAGCCCAGGGAGGCTCCCGGAGGCCAGTGCGGACCCCAGCGGGAGCAGGCAGAGCCACATGGGCCTTATCCGTGGCTCGCGTGTGGAGCAGTGGCCCCAGGCCAGCCCCGTGCGGGCAGGGAGCGGGGGGATGACGGCTGTCTCTCGCCTTCCCTCCAGGAGCTGGGCGATGAACACCTCTTTGCCAAGCCCAACATTTTCTGCCACTTCGCCCAAGGGATCGGCGAGTCCAAGTACTTGCCCGTGACAGACGTGGTGTACCTGAACAAGCTGCTGGCGGACGTCCTGGACAGCTACAACGAGGTCAACGCCGTCATGAACCTGGTGAGGGGCAGCGGGGGCTGGGGGTCCGGCCCACAGGCACCGTGCGCCCCGAGACCCGAGTGGGGCCGAGGCCTGTATCTGTTACGTCATCTGCCACCCCCGAGGCAAAGCTGAACTCACCAATTAGGCACAGTGAGAATTAAAAAAGGAAAGAAAGAAAAAGAGGGAGGGAGGCGGGAAAGAAAAAGAAAGAGAGAAAGCTGTTTGTTTCTGGAAGGTTCCAAGGAGTGTTTTCAGACCCGGGTGGACCGTGGGGCGAGGGGGCGTCTCCCGCAGAGACCTCGGCAGGGCCGAGCTGCGCCAAGGCCCCGCTGCGCCCCCAGGTGCTGTTTGAGGACGCAGTGGCTCACATCTGCCGGATCAACCGCATCCTGGAGTCGCCCCGCGGGAACGCCCTGCTGGTGGGCGTGGGGGGCAGCGGCAAGCAGAGCCTGTCGCGCCTGGCGGCCTTCATCAGCGCCCTGGATGTATTCCAGATCACGCTCAAGAAGGGCTATGGGATCCCCGACCTCAAGGTGAGCCAGCTCTCCTCTTGCCCCCGGGGGCTGCGTCTGAGTGCAACCCACAGCCCCTGCCAGCTGCGGCCACGTGTGGCCTGCGGTAAAGCTGCTCACTCCCAGCCTTACGTCCAGGAGGTCCCGAGTTCGAGCAGCTGGGACTCTGGCCCCGGCCCGTGGACACCGAAAGGCTCGAAGCCCCGACCCAGCCCCCGGGGTTCCGGCGCCACCCCTGAACTGAGCAAAGGACCAGCAGGGAGGACAGGTCCCTGCCTCCTCCATCTGCCGTCTGGGCCAGACCAGAAAATCACAGCCCAGGAAGGGAGAGCTGCTGGCTCTGGCCACGCAGCACCGCTCAGTCCCTGCTGCTGAGCCGCACGCCCACGCACGCAGGTGGACCTGGCGGCCCAGTACATCAAGTCGGCCGTGAAAAACGTGCCCTCCGTGTTCCTGATGACCGACTCGCAGGTGTCGGAGGAGCAGTTCCTGGTGCTGATCAACGATCTGCTGGCCTCGGGCGAGATCCCGGGGCTCTTCACGGACGACGAGGTGGAGACCGTCATCTCCTCCATGCGGCCGCAGGTGAAGGCCCTGGGCATGGCCGACACCCGGGAGGCCTGCTGGAAGTTCTTCATCGAGAAAGTGCGCAGGCAGCTCAAGGTGGGCACACACACGCACACACACACACACACACACACACGCCACCCCAACACACACCTCAACCCACATACACACCTCACCCCACATACACACTACCCCACACGCCACCCCAACACACACACACCACCCAACACACACCGCCCCAACATACACCACCCCAACACACACCGCCCCAACACACACCTCACCCCACATACACACTACCCCACACGCCACGCCAACACACACACACACCACCCCAACACACACCGCCCCAACATACACCACCCAACACACACACACACCACCCCAACATACACACTACCCCCCACATACCACAACACACACACACACACCACCCCAACACACACCACCCCAGCACACACCTCACCCCACATACACACCTCACCCCACATACACACTACCCCACACGCCACCCTAACACACACCACCCCAACACACACCGCCCCAACACACACCTCACCCCACATACACACTACCCCACATGCCACCCCAACACACACACACACCACCCAACACACACCACCCCAACACACACCGCCCCAACACACACCGCCCCAACACACACCTCACCCCACATACACACTACCCCACACACCACCCCAACACACACACACACACCGCCCCAACACACACCTCACCCCACATACACACTACCCCACACACCACCCCAACACACACACACCACCCCAACATACACACTACCCCCCCACACCACAACACACACACACACCACCCCAACACACACCGCCCCAACACATACCCCACCCCACATGCATACTACCCCACACACCACCCCAACACACACCGCCCCAACACATACCACCTCAATAATACCACCCCAACACATACCACCCCAACATATGTGCCACCTTAACACACACACACTCTCACACACCCCACCTCCACGCACACACACCACCCCTACATGCATATACCACCCCTGTGGCCACTGCCACCAGCTCCCATCCCAGCACCAGACCAGGGTGCAAGTTGGCTGCGATCCCCTAGCACCACATGCAGACCTGTCGGGGTGAGGGCCCCAGGAAGCCTCTTTAGACACAGCCCCTCCCCATCATGAGCAGGGTGAGGTGAGCTGACAGACGCTGCTCATTGCCCAGGGACTGAGAGCAACCCTCCGGGTCCCGTCCAGCACCGGCACCCTCCTGAGCGTGTCCAGGGAATCTCTGCCCTGTCCTGGGCCTCAGCCGGCATCAGTCAGGGCCCCTGAAGGCTCTGTGCCTCCTGCTGGACTGGGAAGGGACGCTAGTCCTGCCCGCCTCCAGCCTCGGCTACCCGGCTCCTCCCTCTGCCCAGCCTCGTCTCTCAGAGGTGGGGGCTGGAGTAGGCCCCGCGTGGGTGTCGTTGGTGAGTGTTTTCCCACTGTGGCAAGGGGCAGGTTCCCCTCCGCATGTCACCCACATGCTGAGTGGTGACCCGTGGCCCCACCCAGGTGATCCTCTGCTTCTCCCCCGTGGGCTCTGTCCTGCGTGTGCGAGCAAGGAAGTTCCCCGCCGTGGTCAACTGCACAGCCATCGACTGGTTCCACGAGTGGCCCGAAGACGCCCTGGTGTCTGTCAGCGCCCGCTTCCTGGAGGAGACCCAGGGGATCCAGGTGGGCACCCAAGGGACAGACAGAACCCTTCTACCCGCTGGTTCATTCTCCAAGTGCCTGCACCAGCCAGGGCTGAGTCGGGCCGAAGCTAGGAGCCAGGAGCTCCCTCTGGGTCCTCCATAGGGGGCCTGAGCACTTGAGCTGTCCGCTGCTGCAACCCAGGGAGTGTCACCAGGAAGCTTGATCCCAAGTGGAACAGCCAGGGTTGGATGTCAGACATGAGCACCCCAAGTGGTAGCTTAATGTGCTGTGCCACAACACCCGCCCCCAGAACTAACACTGTGGGCTGTGTCACAACACCCGCCCCCAGAACTAACACTGTGGGCTGTGCCACAACACCTGCCCCCAGAACTAACACCACAGGCTGGGCCACGACACCTGCCCCCAGAACTAACACCGCGGGACTCGCTGGGCCACGACACCTGCCCCCAGAACTAACACCGCGGGACTCACCAAGAACCAGATGTAGAAAGTGCTGGCCAGGACAGCTGTTGCTCGAGGTCCCTGTCCCCATCCCGTGCACTGAAAGGAGCCTGTCACCCAGATCCACCTCATGCCCGCCCCAGAGCCCATCACCCTCGGAGTGTGAGGCCAGCAGTGACCAGCCCGGTCTGGCCTCGCAGCCCGAAGTGAAGGCGTCCATCAGCCAGTTCATGTCCTACGTGCACACCACGGTCAACGAGATGTCCAAGGTCTATCTGGCCACCGAGAGGCGCTACAACTACACCACCCCCAAGACCTTCCTGGAGCAGATCAAGCTGTACCAGAGCCTGCTGGCCAGGAAGAGGCGGGAGCTTGTGGCCAAGATCGAGCGGCTGGAGAACGGCCTCATGAAGCTGCAGAGCACCGCCTCACAGGTGCAGGGGCGGCCGGGGGAGCAGCCCCAGGGAAACTGAGCCCTGTGACCCTGTGTATGCAGCAGGGGCTCCATACGTGCTCGGTTCCTTCAGGACGAGCCCCGTCCCGGGCCAGGCGGCCGCTGCCCGAGCCCACCCTGCCCCTGCCCACACCCACCCGCAGGTGGACGACCTGAAGGCCAAGCTGGCCGTGCAGGAGACGGAGCTGAAGCAGAAGAACGAGAATGCCGACAAGCTGATCCAGGTGGTGGGCGTGGAGACGGAGAAGGTCAGCAAGGAGAAGGCCGTGGCCGACGAGGAGGAGGTCAAGGTCGAGGTCATCAACAAGGTCAGCGCCTCTGGAGACGGGGAGCAGCCTCGCTCAGGGGAGCAGCCTCGCTCAGGGGAGCAGCCTCGCTCAGGGGAGCAGCCCCACTCCAGGGGAGCAGCCCCACTCCAGGGGAGCAGCCCCACTCCAGGGACCCCCAGAGGAAGGAGGTCAGAGCCCACTCTTCGAAGAGGCCCTTGAGAAGAGCACCATAACTAAACTGGCTAGTCCTCTACCTGTAAGCCCTGGGATCCCATGTGGGCGCCGGTTCTAATCCCGGCAGCTCCACTTCCCTTCCAGCTCCCTGCCTGTGGCCTGGGAAAGCAGTCGAGGACGGCCCAAAGCTTTGGGACCCTGCACCCGCGTGGGAGACCTGGAAGAGGCTCCTGGCTTCGGATCTCCACTCCAGCTGTTGTGGCCACTTGGGGAGTGAATCAATGGATGGAAGATCTTTCTCTCTGTCCTTTTCTCCATAAATCTTCTTAAAATAAATAAATATTTTTTTAAAAAAAGAGCCCTCCCTCCCGAAACCACCCACCCACAGCCAAGCGCCTCTCCAACCCACACAAGGTCTGCTGAATAGCACCTGCATTTGAGGGGCTTTGGGGAAAGGGGACAGCCCTGGCTGAGAGTGTCCAGGCGAGCAGGGGAGAGAAAGCAGCTGTAAAGGTGGCTCGAAGCTGCCCGGGCCGCAGGCATGAGGCCGTGTGAGCAGGAGAGGGCCCCGCACCCACCGTGGCCACCTCGTTTTCCCCCAGAATGTCGCCGAGAAGCAGAAGGCCTGTGAGACGGACCTGGCCAAGGCCGAGCCGGCCCTGCTGGCAGCGCAGGAGGCCCTGGACACCCTGAACAAGGTGAGGGAGGGGGCGCAGCCCGCCAGCAGGTGGTCTGAGCGTGGGGGCCCGGCGAGACACGCCCCACAACTTCACCCGCCGCCTGCAGAACAACCTGACGGAGCTCAAGTCCTTTGGGTCCCCGCCTGACGCCGTGGTCAACGTCACGGCTGCCGTGATGATCCTGACGGCGCCCGGAGGCAAAATCCCCAAGGACAAGAGCTGGAAGGCGGCCAAGGTCATGATGGGCAAGGTGGACAGCTTCCTGGACTCGCTCAAGAAGTTCGACAAAGAACATATCCCGGAGGCCTGCCTCAAGGCCTTCAAGTGAGAGCGTGCCCACTGGAGCGGCCTGTGCCCACTGGAGCGGCCTGTGCCCACTGGAGCGGCAGCCCACACACGTGCATTTAGGAAAGACCCATGTGTGTGCTTGGGGGGTGGGGTCCTGCCTCGCCACGTCCCTCCACGCCCCCTCCAGTTCTGCTCCAGAGGCTGGGGTGCTCTGCCTCTCCCTCCCCCAGCAACCACCACGGGGTCCCAGCATCCTTTGCCCTGCAGGCTGAGCCCCGCCCTCCCGCCCCCGCCAGGCCCTACCAAGGCAACCCGACCTTCGACCCCGAGTTCATCCGCTCCAAGTCGACGGCCGCCGCAGGGCTGTGCTCCTGGTGCATCAACATCGTGCGCTTCTATGAGGTTTACTGCGACGTGGCCCCCAAGAGGCAGGCGCTGGGGGAGGCCAACGCGGAGCTGGCCGAGGCCCAGGAGAAGCTGTCACGCATCAAAAACAAGATTGCGGTGGGCGCTCGGCCTCAGGGCCCCCCACGTCACTCCACGCCCCGTGCTGCCGCCCTGGGGGACGCGGGCACACGAGGGCTTCTCCGCGCCAGCCCACGGCATCCGGCATCCTCATCCCCGCCCCCCCCCACTTGTCTTGCCAGGAACTCAACGCCAATCTCAACAACCTGACGTCGGCGTTTGAGAAAGCCACCGCCGAGAAGATCAAGTGCCAGCAGGAGGCAGACGCCACCAACAGGGTGATCTCGCTGGCCAACAGGTAGCCAGCTCTTCCCGGGGCCACCTCCCACGAGGGGACGTGGTGTCCACACAGCCCTGCAGCGGGGGCGGGCTGAGCCGGGCTGGGATGGCGATCCACTGGGCTGCTGGCCGGACACAATGAGCGTCATAAAGTGTTCTTCACATTCTACCACCACTGCTCAAGACCTGCACCCCAGGGTCCCTGTCCTGTAGGCTGCTGGGAGCTGGCGCCAAGCCCAGCACACACCTACAGCTCACTCACTCGCCTCCCAGCCCCGCTTTCCCGGCATGCCCATGCCCCTTGCCCTCCCGCTGCAGGCTGGTCGGGGGGCTGGCCTCAGAAAACGTGCGCTGGGCCGAGTCGGTGGAGAACTACAAGGGCCAGGGGGTGACCCTGTGCGGCGACGTCCTGCTCATCTCGGCCTTCGTCTCCTACGTGGGCTACTTCACCAAGAAGTACCGCAACGAGCTGATGGACAAGTTCTGGGTCCCTTACATCAACAGCCTAAAGGCAAGACGCACGGCTCGGGACGCCAGCTTGCCCGCTTGGCCGCCCGCACGGGTCCCCTGGGCAACGGGTCACCTTTGTCCCCGGGCAGGTCCCCATCCCCATCACCAAAGGCCTGGACCCCTTGAGCCTGCTGACCGACGATGCGGACGTGGCCACCTGGAACAACCAGGGCCTCCCGAGCGACCGCATGTCCACGGAGAACGCCACCATCCTGTGCAACACGGAGCGCTGGCCGCTCATCGTGGACGCCCAGCTCCAGGGCATCAAGTGGATCAAAAACAAGTACGGCAGCGAGCTGAAGGCCATCCGCCTGGGCCAGAAGAGGTGCGGCCGGCCCCGGGCCGGGGCAGGGCGGGCTGGCTGCAGACACGCTGTCCGCACAGCAGCAAAGCTGGCTGCCGTCCTCACTGGTTCCAGAAACAGGGCAGGCAGAAAGAGCTGAGCCCAGGGCTCCCCATCCCCCACTGCACCTGCTCTCCCTTGGGGACTGCTGAGGGTTGGGAGACCTCAGGCCAGGGCTGGTCACGCTGTCTTCCCACCTGAGAAACACTGCCACTGGGACAGGTGGAAGACAGCGTGCCTGCCTACCTGTTCCTGACACGGGACGGGGGGCTGGGCTGGGCACGTGTGGGCCCCCGCCGCTGGCTCGGCCAGCCCCGCCTGGCTGTGCTGTAATGCCAACAGCCCCCACGCCACGCCCGCAGCTACCTGGACATCATTGAGCAAGCCGTCTCGGAGGGTGACATCTTGCTCATCGAGAACATCGGCGAGACCGTGGACCCCGTACTGGACCCTCTGCTGGGCAGGAACACCATCAAGAAGGGGAAGTGAGTCTGCAGCTGCTGCCGTGGCTTCACCGCGGGGTGGGAGGGACGGCCATGTCCAGCCCGGCAGGCCAGGAAGCAGCCGCAGCAGCTTGGAGGGAGGGGCAGTTCTTACGTACAAACTTTGGGAGACTGGATTATTTTTTTAATGTGGGAACGAGGCTGTGAGCCAGCAGCGGCAGGGCCCCATGGTCAGCCATTCCACAGCCCTGCGACGCCCTCAGAGCACAGGCTATGGGCACCTGCCCCGGACCCCAACCACGCCTCACCTACTTCCCGTCTGCCCCCCCCACACACACGCACAGTGTCTGGCCGCCAAGCACCATCAGTGACCCCAGTCTTCCCCAAGACCAGATAGCACTGGCATGAACCCACCACATTTTGCCTGTCTGCTCCTACCTCGGGCTCACCTCTTTATGAACAGCGAGGTCGACTGGGCCGGTGGGCGTCCCTGCTTGCTGCAGGGGTGCAGCTGAGGTCAGGACAGAGGGGCCAGGCCTTGCAGAAGTAGCCACACCCAAGGAGTACAGCCGGGCAGGCAGTGAGCTCAGGAGGGGTCGCAGGCCCCCCGGCACCCCAGGGAGCCCCCAGAATGCCCTGCTAGCGAGATCTGGGGAGAGGCAAGGTGGGCTGGAGGGGCCTGCGGTGTGGGCAGACCAGACCCCAGGGGAGTCTTGCCGGGGGGCCCAACGCAGGCCAGGGGAGCCACGGGGCCTTGGGCAGCCATAGGGGCGGGAGCGGACTTGGGGACCAGCCCGGCCTGGGACCCTTCCTTGCGCTCACACCAGGTTCATCAAGATCGGCGACAAGGAAGTGGAGTATCACCCCAAGTTCCGCCTGATCCTGCACACCAAGTACTTCAACCCCCACTACAAGCCCGAGATGCAGGCCCAGTGCACGCTCATCAACTTCCTGGTCACCAGAGACGGCCTTGAGGACCAGCTCCTGGCTGCCGTGGTGGCCAAGGAGCGCCCGGACCTGGAGCAGCTCAAGGTAACAGGTCCTGGTGCTGTCACTGCCTGGCAGCTCCAGGCGGAAGGGGGTGGGCGGGGTGGGCATGGACACCGCACACAGCAAGTACGCTGTCAGCCAGGACACCTGAGTTCCATCTCCAAGTGCCTGGTTCTGCTCCGGATCCCTGCTGATGCACACGCATGCCCAGGGATGGCTCGAGTGCTGGGTTCCTGCGACCCAGGGGGGCTGAGGGGGAGACAAGGTTCCCAGCTCCTGCTAGCAGCCCAGCCCAGCCCAGCCCAGCCCTGGGAAGTGAACCGGAGGACAGAAGGCTGTGTCCCCCTGACAGAGTGGAGCCCTGCATCCTCCCCAGGCAAAACCAGCCACTCCTGCCAATGGCCTGCACCCCAGACCCCAAACTTGACAGTGGAGGGATGGCTTCATGTAGGGCAGGTGACAGCATGGACCCCAGCTGGCTCTGTGGCCACTTGCCTCGTCTGTCCGAGACAGGCACCTGGCCTCCCCCTGCCATGGGCTGCACCGACTGCTCATGTCCCCCAAGTCCCGCCCTGGCCCAGGGTGCTGCTTCGGAGGGTGGTGGAGGTGAGGCTGGGCCATGACTGACACGGCCTCCGGGGCCCTGCCCACCGCTCCTGCAGGCCAACCTCACCAAGTCTCAGAATGAGTTCAAGATTGTCCTCAAAGAGCTGGAGGACTCGCTCCTGGCACGGCTGTCTGCTGCGTCCGGGAACTTCCTGGGGGACACGGCCTTGGTGGAGAACTTGGAGACCACCAAGCACACGGCCAGCGAGATCGAGGAGAAGGTGCACGGCCCGCCCCGCCCCCTATCTGCCGTGAGGTCCCTGGGGGCACAAGGAGTGGCCCTAGCCTGTGGGTTTCACGTGTTAAGGTGCAAGAGGCTAAAATCACGGAAACCAAGATCAACGAGGCCAGAGAGAACTACAGGCCGGCGGCAGAGCGGGCTTCCCTGCTCTACTTCATCCTCAACGACCTCAACAAGATCAACCCCATATACCAGTTCTCGCTCAAGGTGGGCGGGGCCGGGGCTTTGCACCTGCTCCCCAGGCCGTGGGGCGCAGCCGCCGAGCCCAGCCCCAGCCCGGCTCTCTCGCGGCTGCCCCAGGCCTTCAACGTGGTGTTTGAGAAGGCCATCCAGAAGACGGCGCCGGCCGACGAGGTGCGCCAGCGGGTCAGCAACCTGACGGATGAGATCACGTACTCGGTGTTCATGTACACGGCCCGCGGCCTCTTCGAGCGGGACAAGCTCATCTTCCTGGCACAGGTCACGTTCCAGGTGCGGCCCCTGGGGAGGCCTTGGAAATGCAGCTTCTGAGGCCACCCCGCGCCCCCACGCCCAGACCTAGTGACTCCCGGGGTGCGGTCAGGGGTGGCAGTTTGTCACTTGCTGCAGTGCAGCACAACTGGGCCCAGCAGTGGGGCAGGCAGCAGGCGAGGGGCTCTGGCAGAGAAGGGACATTTGTGGTAGCTAAGTGGGAGGTCCCCGCGCCTGTCCCTGGGCAGGGTGAGGCCGGACAAGGGCCTGAGTGAGAATCGGCAGTCAGGTGTCAAGGGCCACGTGGAAACCTTGAGTTGCCCGAACCCTGCAGGAAGGGATCCAGGGGCAGGACACCCTCAGGAAAGTGGGGGGACATAGAGGCCTGCTCATGGTCAGTGACTGGGCTTCCTCTAGGGACAGAGAGAATGTTCTAGAACTAGGGTGCTAGTTGCCCATCCTCACACGTGCACTCAACACCACTGATTGCTGGAATAGGGCTCACGAGGTGAGAGGCCGCCAGGTGAGGGCAGTGTGGTGTCGTCCCGCCCCCGCAGGTCCTGTCCATGAAGAAGGAGCTGAACCCCATGGAGCTGGACTTCCTGCTCCGCTTCCCGTTCAAGGCCGGCGTCACCTCACCTGTGGACTTCCTGCAGCACCAGGGCTGGGGCGGGATCAAGGTGGGTGTCCTCCAGCACCGACACTGGGGCGTCACTGGATGGGACACAGCAGGGAGCTGCTGGGCCCGCCCGGCGGCCGTGGCACTGCTTGGGTCCTTGGGCCCCGTGTGTCCGCCCTAGGCCCTGGCGGAAATGGATGAGTTCAAGAACCTGGACAACGACATCGAGGGCTCCGCCAAGCGCTGGAAGAAGCTGGTGGAGTCAGAGGCCCCGGAGAAGGAGATCTTCCCCAAGGAGTGGAAGAACAAGACGGCACTGCAGAAGCTGTGCATGGTGCGCTGCATGCGGCCAGACCGCATGACCTACGCCGTCAAGTGAGCGCTGGCCTGTGCCCCCACTGCCCACCCGACCTGCCCACCCGACCTGCCCACCCCAACCTGCCCACCCCAACCTGCCCGCTCCAACCCTGACCTGCCCGCCCCGACCTGCCCACCCCGACCTGCCCACCCGGACCTGCCCACCCTGACCTGCCCGCTCCGACCCTGACCTGCCCACCCCGACCTGCCCACCCCAACCTGCCCGCTCCGACCCTGACCTGCCCACCCCGACCTGCCCACCCTGACCTGCCCGCCCCGACCCTGACCTGCCCACCCCGACCTGCCCACCCTGACCTGCCCGCCCCGACCCTGACCTGCCCACCCCAACCTGCCCGCTCCGACCCTGACCTGCCCACCCCGACCTGCCCGCTCCGACCCTGACCTGCCCACCCCGACCTGCCCGCTCCGACCTGCCCACTCCGACCCTGACCTGCCCACCCCGACCTGCCCACCCCAACCTGCCCGCCCCGACCTGCCCGCTCCGACCTGCCCACTCCGACCCTGACCTGCCCACCCCGACCTGCCCACCCCAACCTGCCCACTCCGACCTGGCCACTCCGACCCCAACCTGCCCACCCCGACCTGCCCACCCCGACCTGCCCACTCTGACCCTGACATGCCCACCCCCACCCTGACCTGCCCACCTCCCCCCAACCCAGCCTGCTGCCCATCAACCCTCGGGGTGTAATTAGTACAACCCCTTATCCTGACCTGTGGGCCCCGTGGGACATCTAGTCTTCCAGGGTGTCACTGCAGTGAGCTCAAAGGCATGTCCAAAATAATCCATTTGGGGACAGGGCCAGGCTCCGAGGGCAGGGGTGGGGTCCCCTGGAGGGAGTCAGGTGCCTCTCACCACCACCCCCCGTTCTCCCCCAGTTGCCCACACGCCCAACAAAGCAGGGGCATCGCAGTCACGTGCAAGCTCTTGCACTCTGGGGAAGAATTGGGAGTGATGGAGAGGGTGGGTTGGGGCGATCCTGTGGACTCGGGGCCACAGGCCGCCTGTGCCCCGGCTAACTCCCAGCCTCAGCACAACTCCATGCTGGCAAACTGGCTCTGAAGGCATGCTGATTCACAGCTGCCAGCCTCCAGGATGCCAACATTCCCACCTGGCCATGCCTCGCCCCCCAGGACACAAGGCAGGGGCATGAGGCCTGACTAGGACCAAGTCCTGGTTATTCGCTTTAGAAAGATCTGTATGCTTGAAAGAGTAAGAGCAAGAATCCCTAAGTGTATTCTGCAGGTGCTGGCAACAACCAGGGCTGGGCCACGCAGGACTCCCCATGGGTGCAGGGGCCTGGGCACCTGGTCTGCCCAGGACTCCCCGTGGGTGCAGGGACCCGGACACCGGGGCTGTGCAGGGCTCCCCCAGGGGCAGCAGGGCCCGGGCACCTGGTCTGCCCAGGACTCCCCCAGGCGCAGCAGGGGCCCAGGTGCCTGGGCTATCCTCCACTGCCTTCCCAGCACAGTAGCAGGAAGCCAGATGGGAAGCAGAGCAGCTGAGACCTTTAACCCATGTCCATGTGGAATGCCAGGGATTGCAGGTTGCAGCTTTACAAGCTATGTCACAGCATTGTCCCGTCCAGCAGGACAGTCAACAGGGGTCACAACCAACCTAGGAGAGATTGGGGGACAAGAGACACGAAGAATGGACAGCAAGACAGGATGTCTGATCAAGCTGTCAGTTTATTGATTTCTGAGGGTTTTTATATTGTTCAGTAACTAAGGCTCAGGGAGGAAAGGAGAAACTGGGACACAAGCCATGGTCTCCAGACCGACTGTTCTTGAGCAGCCACCATATCCACAATAGTAACCAGCATATCAGCAATAGTATAGGTAATCAATAACAAGATGTAGGCAGGTGCAGCATAAATCACATTCTAAAACAGTTGCTACAAACAATTGAAGCTAAGCATGTGATTAGTTTCATAACTTCTTTCCCAAGCATCTAGCCAGCCGAGGGTTTTCCACTGGCCCACAGTTCTATATTCAAAATGGCTTCATTGTGGCTACAGGACACAGCTCCTGGCAGCATCAGCCCTTACCTAATTCATTCACCCCAGAGAACACCGGGGTGTTCTGGCCCGATAAGGAACCCGTGGCTTAGTGCCAGCACTGCCCAGCACCTGGGTGGGCATCGGCTCTCAAGACAGCTGAGCAGAACCAGGCTAAGGGAGAGGCGGGAGTCCTTCCCATCCTGGCTTTACCCAGTGCTGCATCAGGAACCACAGAGGCTGGCGGGGACCAGGCCAGGATGCTCAAAGCAGTGGAGGCCGCTTGGGGAAAGCCCCGAAGGGCAGGGAGGCAGCCGCCTGCTGACCCCTCCCCAGGTCACAGGAAGGTCTTGGAGTGAGGCGGCAGCCCCCCAGGAGACCCAAGGCTGACTGGAGGGGGAACACTGAAGGTGGTGAGCTCTCAGCCAGGGACACAGGCCGGGACGTGGACCCTTCGAGTCCAGCTCACGTGCTGCCTGGGGCCAGGACTGGCAGCTAAGATCCTGGAGCAGGTAGGTCCACCCCAGCAAGGGGCTGACCGAGCACGTGGTGCCCAGGAACTTCGTGGAGGAGAAAATGGGCAGCAAGTTCGTCGAGGGCCGAAGCGTGGAGTTCTCCAAGTCCTATGAGGAGAGCAGCCCTTCCACCCCCATCTTCTTCATCCTCTCCCCGGGCGTCGACCCCCTCAAAGACGTGGAGGCCCTGGGTGAGTGCAGTGGTCACGCAGGGGACGCCACTCAGGACACGTGGGAGGACAGCCAGGAGGGGCGCCACGCAGACCACACAGACCACTGTGGTCATCACAGCTGCCCTGGGGCCTGTGACCTCGGGGACGCCCCTCTCGGAGGGACAGACACAGACGCAAGGATAGAGGCGGTTGGGGGTGACCGACTCAGGTAAGGGGTGGGGGGCACGGAGAACATTCTGGAACAGGGAGATGGCAGCAGCAAGCGGGGCGACAGGCTTTGCACTGGGGCCAGCGTGTGCAGCCACTGCAGTCCCCACTCTGTGCTCACGTCCCTTTAGGGAAGAAGCTGGGGTTTACCATCGACAACGGGAAGCTGCACAATGTGTCCCTGGGCCAGGGGCAGGAGGTGGTGGCCGAGAACGCCCTGGACGTGGCAGCTGAGAGTGGACACTGGGTCATCCTGCAGGTGCCTGGGCGGGGAGGGGCGCTCGGCAGGGAGGGCAAAGCCCTGCGGCCCCTCGGGGCTCTGCCGGGTCACAGGGCTGAGCCCGCTCCCGGCCGCAGAACATCCACCTGGTGGCCCGCTGGCTCAGCACGCTGGACAAGAAGGTGGAGCGTTACAGCACGGGCAGCCACGAGGACTACCGCGTGTTCATCAGCGCCGAGCCCGCGCCCAGCCCCGAGTCGCACATCATCCCCCAGGGCATCCTGGAGAACGCCATCAAGATCACCAACGAGCCGCCCACGGGCATGTACGCCAACCTGCACAAGGCCCTGGACCTCTTCACTCAGGTGGGCAGGCGGTACGCCCCAGGGGAGGCGCCCAGAGCACACCCTGCTCTCCCCGGGGTCTCCATTCCCAGTGACGGCAGGGAGGTGGGACAGCGGGCAGCTGGCAAAGGTCAGCAGGGTCTGGGCCAGGCGAGGGCCTGGTGCAGTGAAGCCAGCTCAGGCTGGTAGGGGCAGGGGGCACGCAGGCTTCTCCAAGTCTCAGCGGTGGCACAGTCACCACCCTGTGGTCAGTGGTTATCTCTGGGCAGAGGCCAAGGCTGGGGGACATGGGTGCTGGCAGGTCCTGGCTGCCAGTCACTTGTGGAGTGGGAGGCCGTGTGGAGAGCAGTGCCGCCACAAGTTCAGAGCAGTGGCCCTTCCGGGGCCTTGTATCCTGGGACTCATCTACGACCACACTGCCCAAGACCGCCCTTGTCCCCGGGGCCTCAGCCACACCGACCCTCCCAGCCCTGTCTCTGCCACTGGACACGGAGGGGCCCATGGGCTGGCCACCACCACCCCTCCTCCCTCTCTTCCTTGTCCATGACCTCAGGATGGGGGCGTCCACTCCGGCATTGACACGTCCATGCTCAGGGCCCCAGTGGAGTGCCTGGTCCCAGATGCCCAGCCTCAGGCCCCAGGGAGAGGGGTCCATGGGCGAGCCCAGCTGCTCCAGGAGCTACTCCCTTCGCGACTCGTGGGTCTGCTTCTCCGGGTGGCAGAAGGGCTTGCCTGGCTCCTCCCCTTCTGGACACCTGTGTGCTGCGTGCACAAAGCAGGGACACAGCTGGCACAGAGCGAGCCCTGGGAACAAACACTGGACTTGAGGTGTCGGGGGAGCACGGGCATTCCTCCTGCCTCCTGCCCCATGAGGTGCAAAGGGACGGGGCACTGCTGGTCCCGCGGCTGGCGAGCCGGGGCTCCACACGCCGTCCCCGTATGAGAGCTCCCACCACGCCCCAGCTCCCGGCGGTCCTGGCCCTGACAGAACCTGCGCCCCCTGCAGGACACCCTGGAGATGTGCACCAAGGAGATCGAGTTCAAGTGCATCCTCTTTGCGCTCTGTTACTTCCACGCCGTGGTGGCCGAGAGGCGCAAGTTTGGCGCCCAGGGGTGGAACCGCTCATACCCCTTCAATAACGGGGACCTCACCATCTCCATCAACGTACTCTACAACTACCTGGAGGCCAACGCCAAGGTGAGGTGTGCCTCGGTGTGCCACCCTGCCCGGGGCTGCTCCTGATCGCGTCTCAGAAAGCAGGCCTGGCACCGTGCCCAGCCCTCCACCCCAGCCCGTCGCAGTCCAGGGCCAGTTCATCCTGGAGTCTGACTCCCCCAGTAATGCCACCGGGTTGTGGGTGCCAGGGCGTCAGCACCTCCGACTGGGCCAGGCCTAAGGAGGGGGCCCCAAACAGCTCCTGGAAAGAAGGGGGTGCTGCTTTCCACAACACCAACTGCTAGGAGGAAGGAGGGGGACAGGTCACACACACACGTGGCTTGGGGCGACAGGCAAGCCCAGGGCAGGGACACAGGCGGCCCGGAGCCAGGTAGGCACAGGGCAGGGGACACGGGCGGCCCGGAGCCAGGTAGGCACAGGGCAGGGGACACGGGCGGCCCGGAGCCAGGTAGGCACGGGGCAGGGGACACGGGCGGCCCGGAGCCAGGTAGGCACGGGGCAGGGGACACGGGCAGCCCAGAGCCAGGTAGGCACGGGGCAGGGACACAGGCGGCCCGGAGCCAGGTAGGCACAGGGCAGGAACACAGGCGGCCCGGAGCCAGGTAGGCACGGGGCAGGGGACACGGGCGGCCCGGAGCCAGGTAGGCACAGGGCAGGAACACGGGCGGCCCGGAGCCAGGTAGGCACAGGGCAGGAACACGGGCGGCCCGGAGCCAGGTAGGCACAGGGCAGGAACACAGGCGGCCCAGAGCCAGGTAGGCACAGGGCAGGGGACACGGGCGGCCCGGAGCCAGGTAGGCACAGGGCAGGGGACACGGGCGGCCCGGAGCCAGGTAGGCACAGGGCAGGAACACGGGCGGCCCGGAGCCAGGTAGGCACAGGGCAGGAACACAGGCGGCCCAGAGCCAGGTAGGCACGGGGCAGGGGACACAGGCGGCCCGGAGCCAGGTAGGCACGGGGCAGGAACACAGGCGGCCCGGAGCCAGGTAGGCACGGGGCAGGAACACAGGCGGCCCGGAGCCAGGTAGGCACGGGGCAGGACACGGGCGGCCCGGAGCCAGGTAGGCATGGGGCAGGACACGGGCGGCCTAGAACATGAGGCTTACCCACTCACGGGGAACCTGCCAAGACAGCTAGTGTTTTGTGGAAGGTGACCCTGCAGCTGCTCAGCTTCAGCCCCGGGCTCAGCTGCTGCACATCTCACGGAGCTGCCGGAAGAGCCTCCACAGGAGCGCACATGTGGCCCTGCCCTCCCTGGGCTCTCCTGGGGCTGGCGTTGCCATGGCCTCTGAGCCAGGCTCTGAAGGATGAGGGGCTGGCACAGGGGTCTGGCCGACAGGCTCCAGACGCCAGGTGCGGTGGGGCACAGCCGAGTTGGGTCACAGGTGGCGGCCTCCACATGTTAGCGGGCCCTCGGGACCCGGAGCCCAGCTTGTCAGCAGGTACCCACGAGACCTCACGGCCAAGAGCCCGTGCAGCCTGGCAGAAGCAGCAGTGTGGGGGCCGTGAGGCCCGCTGTGACCGGCCCGGCTGCCCCAGGTGCCGTGGGATGACCTCCGCTACCTGTTCGGCGAGATCATGTACGGCGGCCACATCACGGACGACTGGGACCGCCGGCTGTGCAGGACCTACCTGGCGGAGTACATCCGGGCCGAGATGCTGGAGGGCGAGGTCCTGCTGGCCCCCGGCTTCCAGATCCCCCCCAACCTGGACTACAAGGTGAGGGCGGTGGAGGCGAGGAGGGCAGGCTCCCGCGGGCAGTCGGGGACAAGCCGACCCTGAGCCGTGGGCCTCTCGGCAGGGCTACCACGAGTACATTGACGAGAACCTGCCCCCCGAGAGCCCCTACCTGTACGGCCTGCACCCCAACGCCGAGATCGGCTTCCTGACCGTCACCTCGGAGAAGCTGTTCCGAACCGTCCTGGAGATGCAGCCCAAAGAGAGTGACTCGGGAGCGGGCACGGGCGTGTCCCGCGAGGAAAAGGCAGGCGCCCTTCCCCCGTCCCCGGGCCGGAGGGCGTGCACGTGTGTGAGAGGGCACAGGGGTGTGTGACAGCGTGTGCACATGGGGGCGGGGGCAGGGCGGGGCCTGGTGTGTATGCGCAAGGCAGAGGACCCCTTGAGCTGGCACAGTGGCACACTCGCTTCCGGCACTGCTGGCAAGCCCCTGCCCTCTCCAGCCATTCGTAGCGCTGCAGCGCAGGTTGCAAAGGCAAAGGCAGAAAGGCCATTTCCATCTGCTTCACGCCCCAAACGCCAAAAGTAGACAGACGGGCCGGGCCAGGCCGGAGCCAGGAGCCTGGGACTCTCTCGGTCTCCTGCTGTTTTCCCAGGCGTGTGAGCAGGGAGCTGGGTCCCGAGAAACTGGGACTTGAGCTAACCCTGGAGCATGCACTGCAGGGGTGTGGTCGTGGCACCAGAGTTGGCTCAGCAACTTTTGTCACACACCAGCCGAGGACAGGGCTGCATGGGAGCAGACCAGAGATCTGATTCAAAGTGCCTGACGGACACAGGCCCCGTGGTCACTCCTCGCGGGGCGTGACCAGCGTGACCCCTGCACACAGCACCCAGGGGCAATGCCCCCCGAGCACCCATGGCTGGTGGAGGGAGGGAAGCCGGCGCGTGGGCTTGTCGGCTGGCAGCACCAGGCCCAGCTGTGCTCAGGTGTTTGGGCCCGCAGGTGAAGGCCGTGTTGGACGACATCCTAGAGAAGATTCCGGAGACATTCAACATGGCCGAGATCATGGCCAAGGCCGCCGAGAAGACCCCCTACGTGGTGGTGGCCTTCCAGGAGTGTGAGAGGATGAATATCCTGACCAATGAGATGCGGCGCTCACTCAAGGAGCTCAACCTGGGGCTGAAGGTAGCACCCCCACGGACCGTGCCCCTCCCCACGCGGCAGGCCAGGCCCCATGCCACGTCACCCCCAATGACTGTGGCATTGCCCAAGTCAGCAGCCCAGGCCCCACGCTGTGCTGATGGCTCACACCAGGCCCTGCGAGGACAGTGCCACTGGCCAAGCCAAAAGCCCAGGTCCCATGCCACGTCACCCCCACTGATGGTGCCACTGCCCACACAGGCAGGCAGGCCAGACTCCCATGCCACATTACCCCCAATGACTGTGGCACCGCCCAAGCCAGCAGCCCAGGCCCCATGCCAGCCCCATTCATTGATGGCTCACACCAGGCCTCCTGCACCTGGCTGTGTCCTCCAGGGAGAGCTGACCATCACGACTGACATGGAAGACCTGTCCACTGCACTGTTTTATGACACTGTACCTGACACCTGGGTGGCCCGCGCCTACCCCTCCATGATGGGCCTGGCGGCCTGGTATGCCGACCTGCTACTGCGCATCAGGGTAAGCGGCATCTTCAGGGCCTGAGTACCTTCCCGGACCCCCATGTGACCCCAGAAGCTTCTGGAAGCTTCCAGAAGTTGTTGCAGCTCTCAGAGCAAATAGCTCTTGATTCACAGCACAAGGACCAGGGCTGTTTGGGGCCCGAAAGACCCTAGAAGTCAGCCCCCGACCCGTCTCCCCCCTGCTGCACAGCCGGCTAGGCCGCCCCTTGGGGTGCCCATATCCTCCGCCTGAGTGCCTAGCTTCCGCTCCAGCTCCCTAAGTCAGGGAGACCCCAATGGGTGAGCCAGCAACTTCCCTGTCTCACTGCCTTTCAAACAAATCCTGTTCATTTAACAAAGTGGAGCTCAACACAGCAAGGTGCCATCCAGAAGGTGGTGGCTTTGCTGATGGCCACACGCCAGCTCGCAAGGCCCTCAGCAACCACCACTCCCGCCCAGGAGCTCGAGGCCTGGACCACAGACTTCGCACTGCCCACCACTGTGTGGCTGGCCGGCTTCTTCAACCCACAGTCCTTCCTCACGGCCATCATGCAGTCCATGGCCAGGAAGAACGAGTGGCCTCTGGACAAGATGTGTCTGTCGGTGGAAGTGACCAAGAAGACTCGCGAGGACATGACCGCGCCACCCCGCGAAGGCGCCTACGTGTACGGGCTCTTCATGGAAGGTGAGCCCCCAGACCACAGGGGGCCGAACTCTGCCCCCGCTCCGGGTAGCTGACCTGGGGCCAGCCCCCACCGGGTCATCCGTCCTCCTGCCCGCCTGACCAGGGAACAAGCCTGGCAGTAGCCATTCTCTGCGTTTATTTTGGAATTCCAGACAGGAAATGCAAACATCATTAAATAGGGTAGAAAGAGCAGTGGGGGCAGGGTGGCCCAGGCGCAGGGCTGCTCCCCGTCGGGCAAGACAGGGCGACACGAGGGCCCTGCGTGCTGCTGGCCTGGAGTGCTGGGGCTTGCTGGCAGGCAGGCCCGGGCTATCCCCGGTGTCGGGCAGGCCGCTGTGTCCTCGCCCAGCGCCAAGGAAGCAGTTCCTGTGCCCACGCAGCGCGCAGCCCTCATGGCCAGTGCTCCCCGGGCTGGTGGCCACCCAGGGCCGCCTGAGCCCCCACTGGGCTGTGTTCACAGGAGCTCGCTGGGACGTCCAGACGGGAGTGATTGCGGAAGCGCGACTGAAGGAGCTGACACCAGCCATGCCCGTCATCTTCATCAAGGCCATCCCTGTGGACCGCATGGAGACCAAGAACATGTACGAGTGCCCCGTGTACAAGACGCGCGTCCGCGGCCCCACCTACGTCTGGACCTTCAACCTCAAGACCAAGGAGAAGGCGGCCAAGTGGATCCTGGCGGCCGTGGCGCTGCTGCTGCAGGTGTAGTGGGACCCGCTCCTGGGTGCAGATTAAACAGCTGTGGTCCACCCTGTGCCCCTGCGCTTCTTGCCAGGCTCCCCTCAGGACCCAGACCTGACGGCGGGGCAGGCTGACACCCCCACTCCCCTGGCAGCGGGGACAGCAGCTGCTTGCCAGGCTGGCTCCCGTCCCCACCTCTGCATGCCCCAGCACACAGGGTCCTGATGGCCGCCTGGCAGCCACCCCAAGCATCCGTACCCAGGCCTGGGGTACTCCCATCTTCTCCCCTGCCCCCCACCCCACCATCCTCAGCTGGCAGGGCTGCCCCAGGGCCGAGGCCGCGCTCACTTCAAATGCTCTTGGAGGTGGATCTGTGCACGGAAACCCTAATCCATGTCGGTTTCCCCCGATGCACGCTTGCCACAAGCTTCCTAAAGAGTCCTCAACCAGGACTTTCCCGAGAGGTCCCAAGCGTGCACTCTGTGAGACGGGGTCCCGGGACCCGCAGCCGGGGCTGCTCTGTGTGGGGTTGGGGCCACTGAATGCCAAGCCTCCAGGCCTCTAGTGGCCACACTGTCCCTTGCGGGGTCAGGACAAAGGGTGGGCAGAGTCTACCACGCCCAAGTAAGACAGCTCTCAGTGGGAACCGTGACACTGTCCCCGTGTTTCAGGCTAAACAAGTCATGGCTGTGCTCTGGGCACAAAGCTCGACTGCTCCTGGGGTGGCCAAGGCTGCCAACAGGCCTGGGCCACGGGCCCCTCAGCACCAGGAATGCCCTCCCAGCCCCACTGCTGGCCAGGAGAGGGCGCTGCTGCCAAGCCAGCCACGGTCACCAGCTCTCTCAATCCTTGGTGATAATCGTTAATGTGTTCAGTTTGGGCTGCAGGAGCTGCAAGCCTGCCCCCCGTGTCCCAAAGGTGAGGGCCTGGGGAAGCTGCCCCAGACAGCCCTGAAGGCCACCAGACGCCACAGCGTCCTGCCCACATCACACACACAGGACAGCCTGACACCTGTTCTGAAGGCTCCCACCTCCAACCACCAGCCCCCTGGGCCCAGCCAGGCAGCAGGAGGCAGGCACGTACAGTGGAGCTGGCGTGGTCCTTTCAGGCGCAGGACTGCTGGGGGCTTTCTCAGGGGACACGACAGGTGTGGACAGGTGTGGACAGCGGTCTGGAAATGAGCTCCTGGCCAGGACTGTCTTAGGACTCCTGCCCACGTGGGCGCAGAGCAGGACATGGACCATCCTCTGCTGCTTTCCTGTCACATCAGCAGGGCGCTGGGTCAAAAATGAAATGACAGAGACTCAACCGGGGCCCAGGTGGGATGCTGGCACCACAGGCTTAAACTTGCATGTGGAGGCAAGCTGCCCAGCAGAAAGAACTGCCCAAGTTTTCAGAGAGCCTAGAAAGTAAGGTTCACTCTTGAAAAAGCAGATGGCGGGGCCCGGCGCGGTGGCGCAAGTGGTTAAGGTCCTCGCCTTGCACGCCCGGGATCCCATATGGGCGCCGGTTCTATCCCGGCAGCCCCGCTTCCCATCCAGCTCCCTGCCTGTGGCCCAGGAAAGCAGTCGAGGACGGGCCAAAGCTTTGGGACCCTGCACCCGCGAGGGAGACCCAGAAGAGGCTCCTGGCTTCGGATCGGCATAGCATCGGCCGTTGCGCTCACTTGGGGAGTGAATCATTGGATGGAAGATCTTCCTCTCTGTCTCTCCTCTCTGTATATCCGCCTTTCCAATAAAAATAATAAAATCTTGGAAGGAAGGAAGAAAGGAAGGAAAGGAAGGAAAGAAAGGAAGGGAAGGAAGGAAGGAAGGAAGGAAGGAAGGAAGAGAAAAAGCAGATGGCAAGGCACAGAAGCCGATGAAGCTTCCAGCCGGCCCGGGGGCAGCAGCTGCGGGCTCATCCTCGGGTCCCTGCTGGCCTGGGGGCGGCAGGCCTGGGCCGCCTCCCGTAAAACAGCTGAAGGAAGATCTCTGCCCTTCCAACTAAAGGTAAGACTCTACAGATGTGTGGATAAAACACGGACTGATATGGCAGTCACTGGGGCCGGCACTGGTGCGGCGGTCAGCTGGCCGCAGTCCGTGACACCTTCACCCCAGCTGAGCCCAGCCGTGCCCAGGCTGCTCCACTTCGGATCCAGCTCCCGCCAACGCCAGCTGGGAAAGCAGCCAGACACAGCCCACGTGCTAGGTTCCCGTCACCCAGAGGGAGACGCGGATGGAGCCCCTGGCTCCTCGCTTTGGCCTGACTTAGGACTGGTCGTACAGGAACCAGAGGACGGAAGCTCTCTCCACTCTACCTTCCGAATAAATACTTTGAAAATGTAAAGAATATTTTAAATGAGGCCAACGCTTTACCCACTGTGGCAAAGTGTGTGCAGCTTCACCTGCTGCACTGGCATCCCATACGGTGCTGGCGTCACTTCCAATCCAGCTCCCTACTACTGTGCGAGGCAAGCGGTGCAAGCTGATCCAAGGCCTCGGGCCCTCCACCCACGTGGGAGACCATAAGAAGCTCCTGGCTTCAGACCGGCCCAGCTGAGGCTTTCTGGAGAGTGAACCAGCAGACCAAAGATCTCTCTCTCTTTGAAATAAATAAATCTTAGGAAAAAGGGGAAAAAAAAAAAAAGACTGCCTTCTCGGTCTCGCCCACAGCAAGGAATCCCCAGCAATGTTTTCATCTGGCGTGGTGGGTCACGGCGTGGTCGTGGGTGTGGTAGGGGATAGCGTGGGTGGTAGTTGTCGGTGGGGCACAGCGTGGTGGGGGACAGCGTGGTGGGGGACAGCGGGTGGGGGACAGCGTGGTGGGGGACGGCGTGGTGGGGGACAGCGGGTGGGGGACGGCGGGTGGGGGACGGCGGGTGGGGGACGGCGGGGTGGGGGACGGCGTGGTGGGGGACGGCGTGGTGGAGGACAGCGTGGTGGGGGACAGCTTGGTGGGGGACAGTGTGGTAGTTGGTGTGGTGGGGGACAGCAGGTGGGGGACGGCGTGGTGGGGGACGGCGTGGTGGGGGACAGCGGGTGGGGGACAGCGTGGTGGGGGACAGTGTGGTAGTTGGTGTGGTGGGGGACAGCAGGTGGGGGATGGCGTGGTGGGGGACGGTGTGGTGACTCTATCATATGGACCTCCTGGTCTGACTCACCTTCTAACCTCCCAACCTCCTGAAACTCCACTAACATCTATTAAAATGACAGAAAGCTATGCAACAAAAATAGACTTTTCCCAAAGTGCTAGGATGAGAAAGCAGCAGGCAGAAGCAAGAGCCCTCACACTCTGGGCCAACTTGAAGTATGCACCAGTCAGATCCGTCCCTCCCCTCCAACATCCCAAAGAGCTGCTCAGTGGCCTCCAAGCCCGGGGGCTGTGCTGGAGAGACCACCGCAACATCCGTCCCGCCTGCCCCATCTAGGCATCTGTGTGGCCGAGGGGCTCCATGCAGAGTGATGGGGTGCAGGCACAGAGCACACGTCTCGCCGCTCTGGCAGCACCTCCAGCTCAGGAGCTGCAGCCAACCAGGGCAGGGAGGGCCAGGCCAGTGACAGGGAGGGCCAGGCCAGTGACAGGGCAGCGAGAGGCAGGCCAGTGGCAGGGAGGGCCAGGCCAGTGACAGGGAGGGCCAGGCCAGTGGCAGGGAGGGGAGCTAGGGCAGGGAGGGCCAAGCCAGCGCTCTGAGCAAGCAGCACTCCCCTCCACGGCTGCACATCCAGCGCCTGGTTTGGCTGCCGCACCGCAGTGCAGAACTTGCCTCTCTGCCCCTCAGCCCTAGAGAAACCTTCAGAAAGGGGAAAGTATAAAGGGACCACCACATTAGGGGGCCCTGAGATCACATCCTGCCAAGCCCACTGGGGGGCCCGGGACCACGTCCTGCCAAGCCCACCAGGCAGCCTACATTAGCATCTAGCCACCCATGCCCACCGCACAATGCATGCAAGCACTGTCCCTGCCCGTCCAACCTCAGAAGAAGTTCTTGATAAACGGCGTCACCATCTTCACCCAGAGCTTCACCTGCCGGCTGGGCTGCTGGAAGGTGGCTGCAGAGACCACACCCGACCTCAGGTAGAGCCGCTCCTGCTCCTGAGGGGAGAACACCCGGCCGTCAGACGGGCACACACCGGACCACGGCACGGCAGCCAGAGTGGAAGACATGCCTCAGGTGGGGGAGCGCTCACCACTCGTGGTGGACAGTTATAAATTACAGATAAATTTAAACCTCCTATAATTCTTTAAAGAAGTTATTTTTAGGCACTATTTTGTAATCCCTCCACTTTATAAAAGAGTTATTTATTTTTATAGGAAAGGCAGATTTACAGAGAAGGAGAGACAGATCTTCCGTCTGCTGCCTCAGTCCCCAAGTGGACACAGCAGCCGGAACTGAGTTGATCCAAAGCCAGGAACCAAGAGCCTCGTCCAGGTTTCCCACATGGGTGCAGAGTCCCACCGCTTTTCCAGGCATGTCAGCAGGCAGCTGGATGAGAAGCAGAGCAGCTGGGACGAGAACTAGTGCCCATACGGGATGCTGGCACCACAGGCAGGAGCAAGCCCCTGCCCTTCCCCAAGCCCACTTCTGACACAACTTTCTGTAACTGCGTGATCTGAAGGCAGCAGGGACAGCTCGAGCACTGAGCCCCGACACCCACGGGGAGCCCGACACCCACGGGGAGCCCCGACACCCAGGGGAGCCCGACACCCACGGGGAGCCCGACACCCAGGGGAGCCCCGACACCCACGGGGAGCCCGACACCCACGGGGAGCTCGAGGCTTCTGCCTGGCCCAGCTGTGAGCACTGTGGGCGTGTGGAGAGAGAGCCAACGGAGGCGAGATGTCTGCGTCTCCTTGTCCCGCCCTCCCGTGCAGCTGCGCACTCTCCCTCACATGCAGGCTCGTTCCACACACGTTTTCTAAGCTGGAGGTACAGAACACGGGTTAGGTCACCCACTGGGCACGTGGGGCGCCCACATCCCACTCTCCCTGAGGTCAGGCTCCTGGCTTCTGCAGACCTTGGCACACAGCAGGCACAGACCTGGATTCCTGCCCCCGCAGGGCAGATCCCTGGCATCCGGGGCAGTGCTCTGGCCTTGGTGGGCACCTGGCAAAGCAAACTGCATCTCCAGAGCTGGCACAATGGCACAGCAGGCTGTGGCATCCCATATGGGCACCAGTTCAGTCCTAGCTGCTCTGCCTCCCGTCCAGCTCGCTGCTCACAGTCTGGGAAAGCAGCAGTCTGGGGCCCCTCAGCCACACGGGAGACTCGGAGGAAGCACCTGGCTGCTGGCTTCAGCCTGGCGCAGACCTGGCCATCGCAGCACCTGGGGAGTGAACTAACGGGGAAGAGCTCGCTCCCTGCGTAACTCTGTTTTTCAAATAAATAATATTCAATTTTTTTCTGTGAAAAAATGTGTATTAAAAGGAAAGAAGAGGAGCAGGCAAAACGAGTGTGGGTCAGCCAGGGATGGAGCCCCACCCGCACGCCTGACAGGCACCAGCTAAGGGCCCCAAAGATTTGGACCCCTGCCACCCACATGAGAAGCCCAGAGGGAGCGCTGGGCTCTGGCTTCAGCCTGGTCCAGCCCCGACTATCGCAAGCATCTGAGGAGTACACCAGCAGATGGAAGATCTCGTTTCCTCTTTGCTTTTCAAATAAATAAATACAAATTTCTTTAATTAAAAAGAGGCAGGACCTGGTGCAGGAGCCTAGTGGTTAAAGTCTTTACCTTGCACACACCGGGAATCCCATATGGGACCCGCTCTAATCCCAGCAGCCCTGCTTCCCTTCCAGCTCCCTGCCTGTGGCCTGGGAAAGCAGTCGAGGACGGCCCAGATCCTTGGGACCCTGCACCCGCGTGGGAGACCCAGAAAGAAGTTCCTGGCTCCTGGCTTCGGATCGGCACAGCACCGGCTGTTGCCGCCACTTGAGGAGTGAACCATCGAATGGAAGATCTTCCCCTCTGTCTCTCCTCCTCTCTGTGTATCTGACTTTGTAATGAAAATAAATAAATCTAGGGCCTGGTGGCATGGCCTAGCGGCTAAAATCCTCGCCTTGAATGTGCCAGGATCCTATGTGGGCACCGGTTCTTATCCAGCAGCTCCGCTTCCCATCCAGCTCCCTGCCTGTGGCCTGGGAGGGCAGTCGAGGACGGCCCAAAGCCTTGGGACCCTGCACCCGCATGGGAGACCCAGAAGAGGCTCCTGGCTTCGGATCGGCATAGCATCAGCCGTTGCGCTCACTTGGGGAGTGAATCATCAGATGGAAGATCTTCCTCTCTGTCTCTCCTCCTCTCTGTATATCTGATTCTAATGAAAATAAAATAAATCTTAAAAAAAAGCGGCGTCACAGCAGCAGCAGGGACTTCTCCCCCCAACAGCCTAATGCCCTTGGGATTCAGATTAGGAAAGAGAAAGGAAACACTGAAGTATGTGGCTTGAGGCAGCAGCACAGGGCGCGGCCCACCTCAACACTGCCCAAGGCTCAGGGCGCGGGTGCGGCCCCTCCTTGGGACCAGGGCAGGGCGCTCAGAGCTACAGCCCCACGTGCAGGTCCGGGGCTCCCCTCCTCCAGAGCAGCACAGCTTCTGCCAGGCCTCCCCGGTCCAGGCCGCGGTCACCAGCTACCCTGACCCAAGACAGAGCACCCCTGGCAATGAAGCCGTCTCCACTGGCTGCCAAAGTCTGAACAACCCACTGTGGAAGGCTGCCTTCCCCAAGCCCGGCTGCGGGGCCGGCTGTCACCCAGGCCTGTGGGGACACCCAGGGGGGCCGGCTGTCACCCAGGCCTGTGGGGACTTCCTGAGTCACTTGCTATAAGCGCCCGCAGGAGGAAACCTACTGAATCAACCCCGTCAACCACCCCCGCTCTCCTGGGCCAGGCATCCACAACTTCCTCTCGGCTGGGAAGCCTTCCTGGCTCCACAGGTCCAAGAACAGGGCAGCTTTCGGCCCCTTCCCCATCGGCAAAGGCCCCCGCTGCCACAGCAGCCCGAGCCTTGCAGAGCGAGCCCCGCAGTGTGCGGGTCCCGACCAGAGGCGGCCCCACTTATCAGGAGGGGCTTACTAGTCTACAGACTCCCCAAAGCACTAAGGGATCTCGGCGACCTGCTGCTGCATCCCCGACTCCCTGCCAGGCCAGGCCCTGCAGCGGCCACGCCCGGCCTTCCTCCCTGGCGGTCCCCGTGTCTCCCACGGTCCCAGCAAGTGAGGGCAGGAGACGGGGCTTGGGGCTGCGTTTCCCCTCCCCCCCAAGACCCCCTCACCTGGTGGAGCTGCTGCTGCAGGGCACGGCTCTCGGTCACGATGGCAATCTGGGCCTCCAGGTCCCGGTGCACTGACCTGTACCCAAAATTAGGAGAGCCAATCAGCGTGAGGCAGGGCAGGCTGCTCCCCGCCAGGTACAGCCAGAGGCCTGCAGGGAAAACACACGTGCAAAGAGGCAGTGAGCACAGCTGGGAGGCCCTCGCACTCTCAACCCAAGAGCAAAGCGCCTGCCCCACCCCGGAGTGCTGAACCGGGACCCCTGGACGTCCTGGACACGAGGCCGTCCCGCCCTGGAGTGCCGAACCGGGACCCCTGGACGTCCTGGACACGAGGCCGCCCCGCCCAGGAGCCCGCCCCAGGGGCCACAGAGGGGCTGCAGGGCTGCCGCTGCTCCCAGCCCCCAGCCAGCACAGCTCGCTCCACCACTGGACTCTGATCGAGTGTCCAACCAAGACCCGAGGCCGGATCCTTCTCAGGGCCCTGGTGCTGCTTCCAGGGTCCTGCCTCTCTGCTGCCCACCCCGACGGCTGGGGAGCCTCTGAGGGGGAAATGGTTCATTCCTACCCAGGGCTGGGATCCACCAAAACCAGGGGAAAGCCCCAGGGGGCTCCAGGGCTGAGTCCACAGCTCTGGGACTTCTAGATGACGTTCCCTGCCCAAGGCCCATGAAAAAGGACCTGCTGGGCCTGGCCCCAGGCCTGCCCACCCAGAGTTGGCAGTCCCTCGAGAACCAGTCAGAACACACTGGGGACACCTGTGCCAGGACCGCCAGTGACACCTGCGCCAGGACCATGGGCAACACCACGTTCTGTACCCACATCCAGGCCCAACCACAGGACAAGGTCCACTCTGCTGCTTGGCCCCCATCAGAACTCCTCCCAAGACGGCCATCTGCTGCCCGAGATGGCCTCCCACAGGGGACCCAGACATGGCTCTCGGGGGCGTGGGAACAAGGGTCCCAGCCCCCCGAATCCCTGCTGGCCGCGGTCCCCTGCCCTCCTCCCAGCAGAGCCTCTCCACGGAGCCTCGTGGGCCAGTCAACATGTCACTCGTTCCACTTCTTGCTCCGGGAGAACACTCCCAAGGGCACCTTGGGCAGCAGCCAGAGGCCACCCCGCCTGTCCCTGCAGCGGGCTCACGCCCCACCCCAGGACAGTGCCACGCCCGGGCAGTCCTCCCCAGGGACTTCACGCGCACAGCCCCAGGCCCCACTCCACGCCGTTTCCCGTACTGTGAAGCCAGCAGAGATGCGGTCCAGCCTTCCCTGGACAAGATCCATGGAGCATGAGCGCACTCGGGCAGGCACTGCGGTGCAGCAGGACAGGCTGTGGCCTCCTACCCTGGAGTGCCTGGTTCAAGTTCCGTCTACTCCACGCTTCTGGTCCGCCTCCTGGCTCACGTACCCGGGAGGCAGCAGACAATGGCCAAAATGTCCCCCCATGCGTCCCGACACGAGAAGCCCAAATGGAGTTCCTGGTTGCTCGCTTCAAACGCCCAGCCCGGGCTGCTGCAGACACGTGCGGAGGGAACCAGAGAATGGAAGAGGGCTCTCTCCCTCTCTACTGCTTTAAAAAAAGACTACATGTATCTGGAAAGCAGAGTGAAGACAGCGGGAAGCCGGGCTCTCGCCCCTGCTGGCTCACTCCCCACGTGGCCAAACTGGCGGGGGCTGGGCCAGGCTGAAGCCAGGAGCTTCTTCCAGGTCACTCACACGGGGGCAGGGCTCGCCCTGGTCCATCCTTCACTGCTTCCCCAGGTCCATGAGCAGGGAGCCGGATGGGAAATGGAGCAGCCAGGATACAAACTGCCGCCAGGGCCCGGTGACGTGGCCGAGTGGCTAAGGTCCTCACCTTGAACACGCCGGGATCCCATATGGACGCTGGCTCTAATCCCAGCAGCTCCGCTTCCCATCCAGCTCCCTGCTTGTGGCCTGGGAAAGCAGTGGAGGACGGCTCAATGCTTTGGGACCCCTGCACCCACGTGGGAGACCCGGAAGAAGTTCCTGGTTCCTGGCTGCGGATCGGCATAGCATCGGCCGTTGCACTCACTTGGGGAGTGAGTCATGGGACGGAAGATCTTCCCCTCTGTCTCTCCTCTCTGTATATCTGACTTTGTAATAAAAATAAACAAAATCTTTAAAAAAGCGAAACAAACAAAAAAAACTGTCACCAGTATGGGATTCTGGTGGATGCAAGGCAAGGATTTAAGCACTAGGCTATTGCACTGGGCCCCAGATATTTTAATTTATTTATTTTTGTTTATTTGAAAGTATAACAAAGAGGAGAAAAGAGACAGCGAGATATCTCCTCTATTCTCTGTGGGGCCCAGCCAAGCCGATGCCAGGGGCCCGGGGCAGTCTCCTCCAGTGTGGCCCCGAGCACCACAGCGGTCACATGCTGCCTTGCAAGTCCATCAGCAGGCAGCTGCAGCAGGATCCCGGAGCCCAGGTGCCCCAGCGCGGACCTAGTGTCCTGGGGGCCGGCGGAGCCCCCCGCACCACAACACCTGCCCCCTCCCCCATGAGGATTTCAACCGCAAAACCCATCAATTCTCTGCTTCACCGGGAACCTGGGGCCAAGGTCACAGGGGTCAGTTCCACCAGCCCAACTGTGCAGCACAGCATCTCAGCCTGAGTCACCACAGCCTATGTGATACCAGCTGCCACCAGCAGCACCCGCACTGGACGCTGACCCAGCACTGCCTCTGACCCAGCACAGCTGCCACCAGCACCACTTGCACTGGACGCTGACCCAGCACAGCTGCCACCAGCACCACCTGCACTGGACACCCCCTGCCCCATCTGACCCAGCACACACCACATACATGAACCAGACACCCCCTCTGCCCCGTGTGACCCAGCACACACCATACAAGGACCCCCTCTGCCCGTGTCCATTTCCCAGCAAGGACTGCACATGCCCACATGGAGTCCATCCACTGGCCAGTGTCCCGCAGGTGAGTGGGACATGCCTACGGCGTAGGGACGTAGCTATACGCCTCCTTCACTGTGTGCGGCTGCTTCATTCCCAAGTTCCACGCAGGGCATCGTGCAGCCCACGTGCAGGGAAGGCCCAGGGCCAGGATCATGTCCCATCCCCTAGCCACAACCTCACATCGAGCTCCACGCGCCCCCAGGAACTCACCCTGGCCCTGGGCCTGAGCCTCCTGCTGCCCGCCCACCTCATCCCCAGATGGCCATGTGGTCCTCCTGAGACATGTGGCAAGCTACACCCTGTGTGTCTACACAAGAGGCTGGCTCCCCAGCACTCGCCTCCCCTTGCAGGAGGCCCAAGCCACCTCCACTCCTACCGTCCACAGCCCCAAACTGCGTGCTGGCCCGTGCCTATGGGGCCCAGGGCTTCACAGTGGCCCCTCCTGTGCCAGACCCCGGTCTGGGGATTCCCTGTCCCCGGCAGCCCCACCTCACAGACAGCTCCCATCAGCCAGGCCCCAGCACCAGCCCTGGCCTCCCTTCTCTCCTCTGCACGCTCCCACTGAGCAGATGGCCTGGGGTGGGGAGTGGTACCCAGACAGCGCTGGGCACCCTGCAGAGGAGAGGAACCCAGCAGATAAAGGTGTGAAGGCAGGGCCCTCCCGTGCGCTTCCCAGGACTACGGGCGTGGTGGCAGAAGGCAGGGTCCTCGCAGCACAGTGCGGCCCAGCAGGCCGAGGCCCATGCCTCCGGGCCCAGCAGACAGGGCGGGGCCGTGGCTCTGCCCGACGGGAGCACACCGTTGGGCACAAGGCCACGGGGCCAAGCGCAGAGGCCATCATTAGCAGATCCCGTCAGAGGACGTCCCCCCACCCCACACTGGGCTGCTGGTGCCAGGACACCGCACACTTCCGGGTCCTCCCTGAAACGCACATCGTGCGCGCCGTGGGAAAGGGCCAGAGTGGCAAGAAGGGAAACAGGGCAAGCACCAGCCCCAGGCCGGCAGAGCCGCAGGGACAGCTCACACCCGCCCCTCCTGTCCACTGTGCCTGGGCAATGCTGGCCAACAGAGTCCCTGGGCCTCGGCCCCAAGTCCTCCTCTGCACCAGCGTCGACCCCATCAGGGTCCCCAGCCACCACACACCAGTGCCTACATCCGTAGGGGTCTGGGTCTAGTTTGGCTCCTGGAACCACAGCTCCGGGCGAGGGACAAGAACAGGCCACAGGACGCCACCAAGCAGCTGCCTGGCAGGAAACAGGGACACCCATGCAGCCTGTGCCCCCAGTCCCTCCAGAAGGCAGAGACCCCAGGAGCAGCCCCTGGTTGCAGCTACGCTGCACGAGGGCAACACCACCGCACAGGGCCTGACTCATGCTGCCTGACTCATGCTGCCAGACCGCTCACCCCAGCAGAAACCGACTCAGACCTGTGGCCGGCAACACGGGTCAGGAAGCTCACTGTTGACCCCAGGCGGGGGCTGTGAGCACCTGCCGTGTCCCTGGAGGCTCAGCAGGCAGGAGCGTTCACACCCTGTCTGCTGGACTTGTCAGGATACAGCCAAGGTGAGGGAAGGAACGCTACACAGCGAACTGGCACCCCGCTGCCTGGCACAGCCCCCAGCCCGCACACAGCCTGGGTGGTTCCTGGGACCACCCTGCTGGGCAGGCCACGTGCATGCATTGCTAACAGTCCACTTTACAGGAATCGCGGAACCAGGGCCCTGGGCTGAGGCCAAAGGTAAAGGCAGCCCAGCCCACAGGGCCTGTCCTCCCCAGGGCCTCCGGCACCCTTCCTGAGCACCCTTTGCAAAACCAAGGCCAAAGAAACCATTGTGTGAGAGCAACAGCTTAACCTGCTCCAACAGGCCACACACTGTGTTGTAAGCAAAGCACACCCCTGCTCCGGCACGCACTGTCCCACAGGGATCCTAGCTACGGGGGCAGGACCACTGTCCCACAGGGATCCTGGCTACGGGGGCAGGACCACTGTCCTACGGGGATCCTGGCTACGGGGGCAGGACCACTGTCCTACGGGGATCCTGGCTACAGGGGGACCACTGTCCCACAGGGATCCTGGCTACAGGGGGACCACTGTCCCACAGGGATCCTGGCTACGGGGGCAAGACCACTGTCCTACGGGGATCCTGGCTACGGGGGCAGGACTGCTGTCCTACGGGGATCCTGGCTACAGGGGCAGGACCACTGTCCTACGGGGATCCTGGCTACGGGGGCAAGACCACTGTCCTACGGGGATCCTAGCTACGGGGGCAAGACCACTGTCCTACGGGGATCCTGGCTACAGGGGGACCACTGTCCCACAGGGATCCTAGCTACGGGGGCAAGACCACTGTCCTACGGGGATCCTGGCTACGGGGGCAGGACTGCTGTCCCACAGGGATCCTGGCTACGGGGGCAGGACCACTGTCCCACAGGGATCCTAGCTACAGGGACAAGACCACTGTCCTACGGGGATCCTGGCTACGGGGGCAGGACCGCTGTCCCACAGGGATCCTGGCTACGGGGGCAGGACCACTGTCCCACAGGGATCCTAGCTACAGGGACAAGACCACTGTCCTACGGGGATCCTGGCTACGGGGGCAGGACCGCTGTCCCACAGGGATCCTAGCTACGGGGGCAGGACCACTGTCCTACGGGGGCAGGACTGCTGTCCCATAGGGATCCTGGCCATGGGGGGCCCCGCTGTCCTGCCGGGATCCTGGCTACAGTGGGAGCAGGGAGCAGGCGCATCCTATTGGCACCGCTACCATACATCCAGCGCAGAGTGGCCTGTGAAGCCACTGGCACCTGAGTCCAGGCAATGCCATGCCCACGAGCAGCCCGCTCCAGGGGTGGGCACCGTTGCATCCTGTCTCTTGTGTGTTTCCAGGGGCCAGAGCTGCCCACACAGCTGGGACTTGCCCTGCAGGGGCTGGGGAAGGGAGGAATTGTCTAGTGCCCAAACAGACACACCCCAAGAGGCACATGGTTTGCACCCAGCACAGGCCCTGCACAGGAAATGCTCCATTGTACCACCCATCCAAACCCACAGCCAGCATTCAGTGCCCACTCACCCCTCACTCAATCCAGGCTGACTGAGGAAAGCTCACAGGGGCCACGGAAGGTGCTGACTTGACCTCAGGATGGAGGTCAGCGTTACAGCACAGTGCAGCAAGCCTCCACCTGGGACGCCAACATCCCACAAGAGCGCTGGTTCAAGTCCTAGCAGCTCCACTTCCAGTCCACCTCTCTGCTAATACACGTGACAGACACAATGAGACCTGGACGGATGTCACACTCCTCCGCCTGGCCTGGCCTGGCCCTGGGGCACGGGCTGTCCCAGAGGGGGCCTTTGCTCCCAAGAGCCCCCACCACGCACCTACCTCCTTCAACCCTCTCACACCCGTGTGTCCCAGGGCCAGCCACGGGCCCTCCCCCACCCTCTCACCAGGCTCCGGGACAGAGGTCCTGGTGAGAGCAGGGCGGGAGGCAGGGAGGGGCAGGGCACAGCAGTCCGGGAAAAGGTGAGACACACCAGAAAAGCCAGCTGGGTGTTTCTGTTTCAGTGGTAACTGGGGAGTCGCCCACAATTATCAGCACAGCTTCAGGGAAATGACCTATAGCGCAGTCAGAGCCACATGGCACTTCCCAGGCTGCACACGGGGCTGGGGCCGAAGCCAGGGCCCTCCCAGGCCCGGCCGAGCAGCGGGCAGAGCAGCTGTCCAGCTGTGCCGTGTGGGCTCCAGTCCGCCATGCTGCTACACCCAGAAGTAACAATGCCAATCTGAAAAGCCTTCACCCACACCCCTGCCCCTGGCTGGCCTGGAGAGGCTGGCAGGCGACCAGTTCAGCCCAGGACATGCCAGGACAATACCTACAACACAATGGGACTCAGCACACATTAAACATGGATGCTGCGCCCTCACCCCGCCCCCCCCCAGACACCCACGCAGCAATATACCATGGGGTGCAGGGGCTGGGTTCCCAAAACTCCAGGGCTGACTCAGCCCCCCCAAGAACTAGACGCAGTGAACCAGGCCAACCTGCTGCTGGCAGGGGGAACAGAGGAGCACAAGCTGGGCACCGACGACCTCAAAAGGCACGTTGGCACAGCTGGAGACAGCCATGAGGAACACCCGTGGGCCACAAAGGAGTGCCTGCTTCCAACCCAGCTACCCGCTGACAAGCCTGGGGCGCTTGGGCCTCCGCCCAGCAGGCCTGGACGGAGCTCCGTGCTGGAGCTTGGACCAGCCTGGCTACTGCGGTCAACTGGGCAGCAGACCAGCACACACCAGACCCTGCAGTGTCATGTCTGAGAACACACGCGTGCTGGGCCACTCTGACCCTTCCCTGCCTGGGAAGGTAGGCCGTGACTTCAGCATCCACACGCCCCAAGACTGGCACCCTGGCACAGCCAGCAGCTAGCTACAAGGCTGCTGGCAGAGGCACCCATAGCCACACATCCCACGGGGCTAGTCCGCACACATGGGCCAATCACAGCAAACACGCAGGGCAGGGCTGTACGCCGACCGCCAGGGAGACAGCTCCCTGTGCTCGGGGACAGACACAGCGTGAGGAGAGGGTGTGGACCCAGGAGGCGCCTCGGAGTCCTGCCTGCTCCCCAATAGGCAGGAACCCTGTGACGGAGACGACACAGAACCACCACGCTTCCCTGCAGTGAACGGGCGGCAGCACCAGGAAGGCAGGTACGCGTCAGGTGTAAAAAGGAGATTTCACCGGAAGAGCTCAGCACTCAGACGGGGGAGAGCTGTAGGCCAGGACCATGGAAAGGCGCCCCACGGTGCCCACCGGGGGACAGCACCAGCCAGCAGGACACCCCCACTGCCCGAGATGGGAGCGCAGTGCCCCGCCCTGTGCCGGGCAGTCCTCTGGCCAGCGGTCACACACCTTTGGCATGGAACGTCCAGCCCCTGCGCCGGTACTCTTGCAGCCGGACCCGCGCCTGCTGCCCGAGGCTGCACACCTCGCTGTAGAACTGCCGCTCGATGTGCACGTAAGCCGCCGGGATGGCCCCCGCGACGCCCTTGGCTCCGAAGAAGCCATTCACCTCCGGGGAGGCCAGCAGGATCTGGTACTCGGCCCGTGTGCCCAGGACCAGGTCCATGTAGGCCTGCGTCAGGTTGAAGTAGCCCGTAGTGAGGTAAACGCGGGAGCCCCGTTCGGCCTCGGTCAGCAGCGTCTCCGTGACGGTCTCGTCGATCTGAATCCCAAACGGCTTCATCTGGACCAAAGGGTAGATCCAGGTGTCGGGGGCCGGGCAGCGGTCGCCAGCGGCTGCCGTGTCCTGCCGGGGCGACAGCGGGTCGCGGTGGAAGGTCTGTGCGTGCAGCTGCTGCTGGCGGGCCCGGGCAGAGTGCAGCACGCTCATGACCCGCTGGTTGGCCGCCTTGCAGTACGCAGCCCGGTCACCTACAGGGAAGACAGGGACACCGTGAGCCACGGCACGCCCGTCCGCCGGAGGCCCTGTCCACAGGAGCCCACGCACAAGCAGAGGAGGCATGACACAAAGCTCAAAACAAGGGTGGACACGGTGGCTCAACTGGCTAACCCTCCACCTCCAAGCACCAGTATCCCATATGGACACTAGCTCAAATCCCGGCTGCTCCACTTCCCACCCAGCTCTCTGCTTACGGCCCGAGAAGGCAGCAGAGGACGGCCCAAAGCCTCCAGCATGAGATCTGGAAGAAGCTCCTGGCTCCTGGCTTGGATAGGCTCCGCTCCTGTCACTGAGGCCACTGGGGAGCGAACCAGCGAATGGATGCTATGCCTCTCTTCTCTGTAATATATGCCTTTCCAACAAAAACAAATTTTTTTCAAAGATTTATTTATTTTTATTGAAAAGGCAGATATCCAGAGAGGAGGAGAGACAAAGAGGAAGATCTTCCATCCGAATGATTCACTCCCCAAGTGAACGCAACTGCCAGTGCTGCGCCAACCCGAAGCCAGGAGCCAGGAACTTCCTTCGGGTCTCCCACATGAGTGCAGGGTCTCAAGGATTTGGGCTGTCCTCCACTGCTTTCCCAGGGCACAAGCAGGGAGCTGGATGGGAGGCAAGGCCACCGGGATTAGGACCCGCACTCATATGGGGTCCCAATATATACAAGGTGAGGATTTTAGCCGCTAAGCCATTGCGCCGGGCCCCAAAATTTTTTTAAAAACTCAAAAGTAGGTACCCAGCACAGCAGCCTAGATGAGAAGGAAAAACCATGACTATTCAGGAACTTATGTGATAAGAAGCAAAAAAAGAGTCCCACCCATCCTTTACTGATGAGATTAAACTGCACCCAGTCCTTGCCTTGCATGAGCCAGGATCCCATGTGGGCGCTGGTTCTATTCCCAGCAGCCCCGCTTCCCATTCAACTCCCCACCTGTGGCCTGGGAAGGCAGCTGATGTTGGTCCAGTTTTGGGACCCTGCACCCGCACCTGGGCTCTTAGCTTTGGACTGGCACAGCACCAGCCGTTGTAGCCGCTTGGGGAGTACATCAATGGATGGAGGATCTTCCTCTCTGTCTCTCCACCTCTGTCTATCTGTCTTTCTAATAAAAATAAAATAAGTATTTAGTTTTAAAAAAAGGCTCCAAAGCAGGCACCATGGTGTTACAGGACCATACACACTCTGCGGTCAGCTGGAGCTGCCGTACGGCCAGGACGGTGTGAAGGGCTATGTTAAACCTCAAGGAGCAGCGTTCTTCAAACACAGACATGTGTGACACCAACAGTGAGTGAGGGGTCAGCAGGGCACGTGCCAGCTGCAAGCCCCTCGGAGCTGGCTGCACCACCTCTACTCCCGCTGCCTGCTAGCAGCCCAGGGCAGAGCCAAAGACAGCCCAAGTGCTTGAGCCCCACACTTCCAGTGGGGGACCCAGAAAACACTCCTGGCTCCTGAGCTCAGTCTTATCCAGCCTGGGCAGCTGGGGCCATCTGGGAGTGAACCAGCGCATGGAAAACTTCTCTCTGCCTTTCAACTAAATGAATAATGCTTAATTTAAAACAGAGAGATCAAGCATATAGCACAATATCACAGCCAAAGGAGGGGCTCAGCCACAGCTGGAGGGGCAGGGCAAGGCCGGGAGAGGGACCACAGAGAGGCCATTCAGATTTACTCCAAGGAATGACACCGTGCAGCAGACTGCACATTCAAGGGCTGACCATTTTATTTAATTCAAGGGGCAACAGCAGGTCTCTGTCCAGGCTGGCTGCCAGTGACAGCAAGGAGGGAGCAGCAGCAGAGGCAGGTGGCCTGGCCCCACATGGCAGCCCCCAAGAAGCTCTCAGTACCACGTCCTCCCTCGGCCCTATGTGGAAGCCCCCAAAAGCCCTGGGCACCTGCCGCCCCACCCCTGGCCTGAGCATGGTCCACTGCTCTGTTCATGCTGCCCACTGACCGAGCCCACAATCACGTTCTTGGCGGGCCAGATGCTTCCTATTTCACTTTAGTCTTTATGAATAAAAAGGAAAAACTGTGACTATGCAAGTACTTATGTAAGAAGCAAAAAAAAAAAAAGAGTTCCACCCCCATCATTTCCCGATGAAAGCAGACGCCGCCAGCACTAACTGCTCATGCTGGCAGCACACAGCAAGCTGCACCAGGGCCTCCGGCTGACACTGCAGCCTCAGCAGCCCTCAGGGACCACAGCTGGCCAGGACAGAGGACACAGGACACACAGCACCCATGAGGGTGAGGCCCGCTTCTTCCGCACGAGCAGAGCTCGGAGTGCACCAAGCCCATTCCCCTGGGCGCCCCAGGAGGCTGCTTCCCATCAGGGCCACACACCCCATGCCAGCCTTCTCCCACCGGCCCTGCCCCCCACCTGTCCTGGGCCTGGCCCGCCCACTGCGAGGGCCCTACCTTTGTAGGGGTGCACCATGCCATCCACCACCTGCACCGTGTTGTCCCCCTGCAGCTGCAGGGACACGTCCCCCACAGCGTCCACCAGCTCCGTGAAGAAGTCGGCGATCTCCGCACAGTCCTGCAGGAGCACGTAGCGGTCCTGGCGGTTGGTGAAGTAGGAGTCGCTCAGGTTTGCACTACAGGAAGAAGCAGGTGCGGACTCAGGCCAGGGCATGCAGGGCCGCAGCCTGGCGACCGGGCTCTCGGGGCAACTGGCCAGGAGATAACCAGCTCAGAACGCCACGAGAGCTGCCAGCAGCAATGGCCGAGGGGAGGAGACGGGGCAGAAAGGGTACTAGGGTGGCACAGAACACTGAGCCACGAGTCCCTCCCTTCAGCCTGGGCACATCCTAGGGGCAGCAGGACCCGGACCTCCCTCGGCTCCCGCATGGGATGTCCTGTGCTGTGTCCTCACCCCCCACGGCACGGCCTCCCTGCTGGGGGCCGAGGGCATGGCCGCTGGCGCCAGGGGCCGCTCACCCGCTCAGGATGACGCTATTGTCGAACAGGTAGACCTTGATGTGCTGCAGGCCAATGGTCTCGTTGAAGCGCTCGGGCATAAAGAGCCGCAGCAGACCACGGAGGTTTGGTGTGTGGAAGAGGGAGACGCGGACCTGTTCTGGAAACTTCTGCAAGAGTGGGAGCAGCATCGTGCGAGAGTTCTTCCTGCCTGGAAGCGTAGGAAGAGAGGACACGGGGAGCGGTTCGCACCGGGACAGACGCTTGCTCGCAGCAGGGGATCGTCTGAATGGGCACTGTCCGTCCGTCAGACACACCACCCGGCGGCGTCCAGCCAGGGTCCCCGGGCACCTCTGCATCTCGGAGCAGCCAGAGAGCTCTGGGGGGTAGGCAGCTGCTCCTGTCGCCACACCACAGTGCCCGGCCCTGCTGCCCGCGGCCCTCACTGCCTCCTGGCTCTCGGCTTGGCCGTGGGCCCCACAGGCCGTTCGGGAGCTGTGGCCTGACTCTCAGGGAAGAGAGGTTCTCTCCCAAAGGCCAAGGGGCCATGGGGACACGGCCACAGCCGCCAGGCCGGGGAAAAGAAGGGCCTCAGGGGGCAGGCCAGGACCCTGACCCAGCCTGCCCAGGCCGTCGGTCCGAGGGGGCAACCGTTCTCTTTCGGCCTCCTCCTATGCAAACCCAGCCCGTAACTCCACCCCTGTTCTCTGCCACAGGCTCCATGTGCAGGCAAGCCAGCAGTTCGCCACCTGGGCAAAGTCATGCCCTTCAATAAACCCAGTGTGGCTGGGGAACAGAGAACTGTTTCTGTGAGCTGGTCAGGCCACCTGCCACAGCAGCAGCCCCGGTGGGCACGCCCAGCACTTGGAGGCCAGCCTAAGGGGTCTTCACACGTCTTGGCCTCAGGCAGAGGCCCAGGCCCGGGCCGGGCAGAGGCGGGGAGCCAACTGCACCTCACACCCCTTCACGGAGGCCCTGAGAGGAAGAGGGGCAGGTGGCAGAGACCCACCTCTCGAGCCACGCGTGAAGTCCAGAAGGATGGAGACCTTGAGATCCGAAGGAGACTTGGTCTGGAGAGATTCTTCCAAGGTGCCCTCCAAGCAATCCACCTGACAAGGAGGAACCCACACACCGAGTGAGACCCCGGCAAAGCCTGCGGGCCTGCAGACACACGCCAACACGGCCCATGTGAGACCCTGGCAAAGCCTGCGGGCCTGCAGACACACGCCAACACGGGCCCATGTGAGACCCCGGCAAAGCCTGTGGGCCTGCAGACACACGCCAACACGGGCCCATGTGAGACCCCGGCAAAGCCTGCGGGCCTGCAGACACACGCCAACACGGGCCCATGTGAGACCCCGGCAAAGCCTGTGGGCCTGCAGACACACGCCAACACGGGCCCAGGCGTGCTCTCTGAACCCACATACATGCACAGTGCCTGGAAGCCAGTCCTGCCAACCTCCCCACTGGGCACTATCCAGCCCAGCCTCTGGGCTAAAGGGGACCCCAGTGCCCACCTTACTCGTCTGCTCAAATCCGTCACTCTATGCTCACAGTGCTGCACAGAACACGCCCACACCACTCAGAGGCAGGAGGTGGGGGACAGAGCAGTGACCCACACTGCCACACACTCCCAACACCCACAGGGCTGCCCAGCTCCTCACAGCGACCCTGGATAGGAACAACACTTACTGGTGCCCGAGTCCTCCCCCAGGCCAGGGTGAGCAGCCAGGAGGCCCTGCTCTGCACACTCAGCCCAGCCGAGCGTCAAGGTCTCCATGCACCCACAGGGCAGGCCCAGCACCATGGCACCTCCCCCCGACTGCCCTGCTGGAAGTGGCAAGTGTGGCAGTGACACAGCCAGTCTAGGTCAAGCAGAAACAGTGTGGGCCTGGCCTCTGTCACCAACCCTGGCAAACCCAGCTGGTGCCCATCTGCACGCCAGCACTTGTCTAGCACAAGATCAGTAAACCGTGGCCGGGAAGGGCCGATCGGTGAGCCTGTGGGCTCTGGCAGCCAGATGGCCTGTCCCAACTACTCACTCAGCTCTAACGTGCAAGCAGCCATGGCACAGACACACTGATGAATGAACATGGCTACGTTCCAATAAAACTTTATTTATGGACACAGAAATCTGAACTTCCCATACTTTACACAAACCACAAAATGTTCTTTTGTTTTTTTCCAATCACTTGAAAATATGAAAGCCATTCTTACTTAGCTTGCAAGCCATCCACAACCTGGCAGCAGGCCACACCTGGCCTGTGGCCACTTGACCAAACCCTGGCAGATAGAGCAGTCCAGAGGCCCAGCACCAGGGGAGGAAGCCCCCAGCTCTCACCGTGCCTGTGCCTCCACGCCCCACCTCCGGGGTGCCCAGGCCTCCACGCCCCACCTCCGGGGTGCCTGTGCCTCCATGCCCCACCTCTGGGGTGCCCAGGCCTCCACGCCCCACCTCCGGGGTGCCTGTGCCTCCATGCCCCACCTCTGGGGTGCCCAGGCCTCCACACCCTATCTCCAGGGTGCCCAGGCCTCTACGCCCCACCTCCGGGGTGCCCGGGCCTCCACGCCCCACCTCCGAGGCGCCCGGGCCTCCACGCCCCACCTCCGGGGCACCCGGGCCTCCACGCCCCACCTCCAGGGTGCCTGGGCCTCCACGCCCCACCTCTGGGGTGCCCAGGCCTCCACACCCTATCTCCAGGGTGCCCAGGCCTCTACGCCCCACCTCCGGGGTGCCCAGGCCTCCACGCCCCACCTCTGGGGTGCCCAGGCCTCCACGCCCCACCTCCGAGGCGCCCGGGCCTCCACGCCCCACCTCCGGGGCACCCGGGCCTCCACGCCCCCCACCTCCTGGGCAAGGACCACACAAGCAGGCTGTGAGGCCGAGGCCAGGAAGGCAGGCCCAGCCCGCCTGACACCCAGCAGGAGGGATGCTGCGAGGCTGGCTCTCTACCGCACTCATGATCACCCGGGATCTTACCAGCTCCTGCTCCAAGGGGCCTGTCCCCAGGTAGAGGGACGCCATCACGACCCGTCTCCTCGCAGCCTTTATCTGCCCCTGGGAGGAGAAACAACACAGAACTCACACTCCCCTTCTGACAGCTCCCCAAGAAACTACAATCCTGCACCCCACCCCACACGCTGACACCCCATGTCGTCACCAATCACTACAGGCTCCCTTGGGAGAGGGGAGAGCGGGCTTCAGTGACAGACAGCATGTGTCACGGCAGAGGAAGCCACCTTTCTTAGGTAAGCACCAGTTCAAGCCCGGCTGCTACACTTCCAACCCAACTCCTTGCTAACACTCCTGCGAAGGCACAAGTGGAAGGCCCCAGTGCCCAAGTCCCTGCCAACCACACAGGAGACTACAAGGAGGACCCGGCTCCAGCCTCAGCCAGCCTCGGCCAGCCTTAATTCCAGCTCCAACGCTGGCCAGCCCCAACCCCAGCTCCCCCAGCCCCAGCTCCCCCAGCCTCGGCCAGCCCCAGCTCCCCCAGCCTCGGCCAGCCCCAGCTCCCCCAGCCTCGGCCAGCCCCAGCTCCCCCAGCCTCGGCCAGCCTCAGCCAGTCCCAGCTCCAGCCTCAACCCCAGCCCTATCCTTGGCCAACCCCAGCCCCAGCTTCGACCAGCCCCCGCTCCCAGCCCAGCCACTGTGGCCATGTGAGGAGTGAACCAGCACGGGAAGATCTCTCTTGTAAAGCATCTTGAAAGACAGGCGTCACTTGCAGCGCCCACAGCTGTGTCCAAGTGCTAAGCTCTGAGTGCCAGCGCTGCTTTTTCTTTAAGACCTGTTTATTTACATGAAACACAGAGCCACAGAGAGATCCCACCCACTGGCTCTCTAAGTGGCATCACAGCCAGGGCGGGCCAGGCTGCCGTCTGGGTCTCCCATGTCCGTCTCCCACTGCCCGCCTAGGCACACGAGCAGGGAGCAGCCAGGGCGGGCCAGGCTGCCGTCTGGGTCTCCCATGTCCGTCTCCCACTGCCCGCCTAGGCACACGAGCAGGGAGCAGGGCTGGACGTGCGGCAGCCCAAGCAGCAGGTCAGTCCTGTGTGCCACAGTTACCACCCCATCTGTACTTCTTCTTCTTTTTTTGGAATGGCAGATTTACAAAGAGAGACAGAGAAAGAGCTTCCATCTGCTGGTCCACTCATGTGGCCACAACAACTGGAGCTGAGCCTATCTGAAGCCAGGAGCCAGGAGCCTCTTCTGGGTCTCCCACATGGATGCAGGGTCCCAAGGCTTTGGGCCGTCCTCCACTGCTTTCCCAGGCCACAGGCAGGAAGCTGGATGGGAAGTGGAACAATCAGGACATGAATACACACCCATATGGGATCCCAACTCCTGTAGGTGGAGGCTAGCCTGCTGAGCCACTGTGCCCCAGGGCCTAGCAAGTTGATTTTTAAGCTGATAACTGCGTGTGGTCTGTGTGAATTATATTATAAGCATTCAAAAGGCTCCTGGCAGAAAAAAATACTTCTCACCCCTGAAGTAAACATTCATAATCCTTTCTTTCTTTCTTTCTTTTATAGATACTCATTTATTTTGAAAGAGACAGAGAAATCTCCACCTGCTGGTTTCCTTTCCAAGTGGTCACCAGAGCCAGCGCTGCCCAGGACAAAACCAGGGACTTCTGGGTCTCCCACATGGTGGCAACCCTCTACTGCGGCCCCAGCTACTGGCAGAGCTATACTACAAGAGCAGAACAGGCACCACAGCGGTGCTTGGTGTCCGACAGCAGCTTTCCCGGCCACCACTTAGAGCCCGGATTTAAAAGACTCAGCTTGCCTGCAGGGTTGCTGCGTCCAACTGCTGCCTGTGCGAAGTGGAAACCACGCTCACAACTCAGTGTGCGTGGACGCCTGCAGGAACACTGCCCAGGCGCGTCCAGCAGCACAGCTCCTCCCCACCAAGCACCCAGGGCCACCCGTGACAGGTGGCTCCTCACAGCTGTGCCCCGCCCCCTTTTAAAATTATACTTTTGACGATCTTTACAGTTAATTGGGGTAAAAAGGTTCAAGGGCTGCAGGAAAGTGGGTAAGACTATTATTTCCATGTTGTCTCCTTCATGTTTAAAGGGGGGCATTAAGGGAGAAGCCCCACCCAATTTCCCACCCTCCCCAGGTCCCACATGTAGGGTATGCTCCGAGGTTCTTGTTCAAGTGGTTTTGATAGTTCACCAGTTATAAATTGCTGCCAATCTTGCCACTCCAAGCACTATGAGGTCTTTGAAGAATCCACTGATTGACATAGTCCATCATAGAGTCTCCGTTTGCTCTGTATTTCGCTGCCAACATATAGCTGAGATGGTTGATTGACCTGTTCTGTCTTCTCTCTTTTCTTGGTTAGGGTTCTGAGTCCAGCATTTTGATTGGCAAGATCTCCAAAAAAACTTTGTCTGAGGTGTTCTCCGACCAGATTCTTGAATGTACTAGCAGGTACAGGGCCCAGCTCAGTCTATTGCCCCATCAGCTGGTGGCTGCGATCGCTAGGTTGGTTCTGTTTTCAGCCCCGACTTCCACTGGAACCAATGGGTGTTGCAGTCCAGCCTGGTGCTGCCCAGCACATTCTTGGCCCTCGCTTAAAGAAGAAGGAGCTGCAGCCTAGTTGGAGCGACCCACAATAACCCCCACCAGGGCCGCCCCCTACCCTGGTTTGCCAGTATGTGTAGCAGTAATCCAGTCTGTCCCACACTCCATTCCACCCCTGCCCCTGTCCTGGCTTTCGTGCCCTCCGGTAGAAGTGGTAACCCAAGAGGGATGAGCCCACTATTTCTTCCCCGGCCTCTCCCACTCCCGGATTATGCGCTCTCCAGGTAGTTCTGTGGTTTGACTTGCACTAGCCCCCAGTACCACCCACTTCAATTTTGTTTGCACCAGTAGGAATAATCAGCTCAGCCCGGCTTTTCCCTGATCTAGTCCACATGAGGCTACAGGTGTTGTAGCCCTGCTTAGTCTGGACTGCCCCCATCCCAGCTCATGCTCTCCAGCAGGAGTAGCTGTCCAGCAAAGGAACCACCCCTTATCCCCCTGCGGCTCCGCCCCCTCCCTTCCAGGTTCTTACACATGCTGGTTGGGTGCTGCGGTCACTTCTGGCACAGGCAACCTCACCTTGGCACTCTGTATTGTGCACTAGTTTTTGTTGTGACCGAACTCGGCTTGACCCACGCTGTTCTGGTGCCTGGATTTGCCAGTGGATGATGTGAACAGATTCAGCCTGGTCTGCCCCCAACCGATGCCAATTGTATGCCAGTAGGTAACTTTCCATGGCCTGTTTTGGGCTGTTTCCTATCATGTTTCTTGCGCTTACCTGCCGGGTCTGTGTCCTGCCAGAGCAGTTGCCCAGGCTCCTCCATCAGAACCTCTCCCAATGCCAGGTTTCACGCTTACCAGTGGGTCCATGAGCCAGCCCTACTCAGTTCACCTGCTGTCTTAGCAGGAACAGTAACTTTTCCTGACTGGCCTTCAACCCAAATTGGTCCTGGCTGTTGGATGTTTCAGCCCAGCCATGGCTCGTCCATACCCACATATGGCTCACACATGGCTCAGTAGGGGTTGAGACCTTGCCTAGTCCATCCCACATCTGCCCTGGTCACCTTGCCTAGTCCATCCCACATCTGCCCTGGTCCTCCAGAACACCAGAGGGTGTTGGAGTCTGGTCCGGCTCAGTGTATCCAGTCCCAGTCCACATTTGTGCCAAGGGAGACTACAACCGTTTCCCGTTCAGAACGCATCCCCCGTTCCAGCCCACACGCTCCTTGGTGGGAACCTCAACCCAGCTAGGGTTGTCCCCTTAGCTCCCCAACCGGGCCTGTTCCCAGCCATAGATCACATGCATGCCAGTGGTTGCTCTGGCTCAGCTTGGCTCAGCCCCTCACCTGTCCCGACCTCTGCCTTAGACAGTGTGGCTTAGTGTCCCTGACTCACGCAGACCAATAGGTACAAGAGCCTAGCTCGGCATGACCTGTGCTCCCTCCTGGTCTCTAGCTATGCTTGTGGGCTAAGGTTTGCTCAGTCCTGCCCGGACCACCCTGTTCCATTACCAACTGACACATTAGCCAGCTGTTGGAGCTACTTTGCCCAGCTTGTCCGACCCCCAGGTCTGGACCACATGTTCACCAGTGGGAGCTATTACTTGCCAGGGGAGTTTCCCAAGTTCCTCCACTTGATCCACTCCCATCTACAGTTCTCATACATGCCACTGGGTTTGGGCCAGTGCCCGGCGCAGTCTGGCCTTCCATTTGGCCTTGTATGAGCTGGTGAACGTTGCAGCCTGGCCCACCCCACACCCTATTCAGGATGCACATTTGGGTGCTGCTGCCCTGACCAGTCCAGACTGTTGGTTACCTGTGATTGATGGCAGGCTCCTTGGTCACACCTAGCTTAATCCATCACCACCCCATCTCTTGAGCTAACCAGTGGGGCTAGAATTTGCACAGGGTTTGGCCCACACATCCCTCACAGAATCTGCACCCGGTTATGGTTCTTGAGTGCTAGTTAATCTACTGGCCCTGCTTAATGTGACCCTTCTCCTGATCCATCATCATGTCAGGTAACAGGATATGATTCTGCAGGACAAGCCCCAAGCCATAGCTTCTGCATGGACTGGTATTTGGTGGTTAGCACTGTTCAGTGATTACAAGTTTTCAAAGAAAGAGTTACTGTCGTTCGGTATCTTTACGATTCCTTCACGTCCTAGAAGCACAGTGGGTTCAACCTGGATCTACCTAAGCAGCGATTCAAAGAACCAAAACCCTAGAGCTCCCTTTGGCCAGCAGTGCACCAAATGGGCACTGGCCGCCCGGGGACAGCTCACCACGTGCACATGGTGGCTGTCATCTGGGATCCAGGCACGAGACGCACCGTCCTGAGACCCACCAGCAGCCAGGAGGCTGCTGGAAGTTTTAGCTCCCCACATCTGTAAACTGCCGCTGTGCACAACAGGGTGACAGGTGGCTCCTCACAGCTGTACCTCACCCCGTGCACAGCAGGGTGACAGGTGGCACCTCCCACCCACACCTCCCACTCCTGTGCACAGAAACACTGCATCCGAGGAGCACATGGCACCCTGTGCACAGCCAGGACCTCCCCGCCTCAGCCCCAGCCCCAGCCCAAAGCTCCCAGCATCCCAGAAGCAGCCAGCAGAGAATACAGCGTTGCCAAGGTCAGCCCCAGAGGACACACGCCCCAGGAGTAGGGGACACAAGTCATGCCTACTGCCCTATTGTGAGGGGACCCCAGCCCAGCCCACGCGATCCACATGGCAAGATGGGCCTCTTGCCTTGACCAACGTCCAAACACACAAGCGGCAAGGAATTAGGCCCAAGGGGCAACCCCAACCACTCCCCCAGGCTGGCACCCCCGTGGGGAAACGAGGAGAAGGAGCACAGACGAGGTGTGAGGCCACCGAGTCCAAGCACCCGGGCTTTGACACAGGAAGGAACCGCCATGGAAGAGCAAGTGGGCGTACTGGCACAGGCCGGGCAAGGGGAGGACAAGGGGCACGGGCACAAGCCTGTAACGAACCAGACAGAAAGCAGGCCAAGTGCAGCTCCACAGATGAGAGCACCAAGGAGCGCCAATGGGCCGCACACCGAGCAAAGAACGCTCCTCCCCCAGGACGGCCCTCCAGCCCACTCTGCGGCCCAGCCTCGGCCTCTGCCCCTCCCCACTGTGCCTGGGAACTCCGGCTTTATGCTCTTACACATTACTTCACTCCAACCAGCAGCTTAGCTGCCAACTAGACGTAGCAAGCCAACCTGTTAACATGCGGGAAGCTGAGTCCCTAGAAGGACCGGCTGACGGCACCCAGAGCAGGAACGCATGCTTCAGACAGAGCCCATGAGCGACCCACCTCCCCAGGCCTCCAACACCCCTTCACACCCTGCCAGAGGGGCCCACCGCCTTCTCCTGTGCCTACTAGCCTCCAAGGGGCACGAGCTGTGGAGCCAGGGTCGGCGAAGAGGCGTGAGGGCCTCCTTCCTCGCCCATCCTGTGCAAGCCAAGGTTTCGCATACAACAGCAGCTCCCCCACACACCCAAGCATCTAAGGCCGGGCCACATGCTCACGGCTCCTGCCCTCAGCCCCGCTCCCGGAGCCCCCTCACGCCCGAGACACTGAGGTCTGACAGGTGGGCCAGAAGACCACACCAAGCCGAGGGGCCGGGGCCCTACCAGCCTGACCCCCCACTCTGCCTCCAGCTCCCTCACGCTCCACTTGCCTTCATGAGTTCGAAGAACTCGGCAGGGGAAGACAGCACCCGGACGTGGGAGCTGGAGACGCCGAACTCTGGGACCAGGTTCCGGATCCACTGGAACCGGTGCACGCCGTCTGGACACAGGCAGCAAGGTGGGGAGCTGACATGCGGGACCGCCGGGGACAGCAAGGGCGCTAGTAAGAGCCATGGCGACCTAGGCGAGAGCAGAGCAGAGCAGAGGGTTAGGCTCGGCAGCTCCTGCAGAGGCGTCTCCGGTGACGCGAGCGGCTGCTGCAGCTGCCGGCGGTTCCGAGGACGCGCAGAGCCCAGGCCTGCCGGGCCCCGGACAATCACTGAAGGCTTTAGCACTCAAAGGCCTCCGGCTCGGACAACCTGCCCGCTACCTGCCCGGCTGAACCCAGGCTGCAAGCTAACTCCAAACACAGGAACCACTGTCAGAACCAGCACAAGTCGGCTCACAGAAGCCACCGCCGACTCACCATGCTGGTGTGGGGCCATACGCAGGGAGCTGGAGGGACACGTGGGAACTGGCCCCCACTTGGGACGCGGGCCCTTGCAGGCAGAGGATTAGCCAGTGGAGCCATCGTGCTGCTCCCAAGCTGTTACACTGCTTTCTTTTTTTTCTTCACATGGAGATCATTTTACTGTCCTCTTTTCCCCGAAATACACTAAACAGACCCGTAAATAACTTGGTGGCAATATATTCACATTTAATAATTCAATATTGTACAGGCTCTCCTGTGTCTGATTTTCCAGCCAAACAAAGTTCACCAAGGCAGCCGGCCGGGGGGTGTCACAGCCTGGGAAGGGAGTGGGTGACCTTCATGGTGGCTGACACCCAGTTCCCCTTCTTGCCCTTCCCGTTCTTGCCCAGGGCGATGAACATGCCAGGGTAGAAACAGGTGGAGCACCACAGGCGCCGGGCGCTACCAGGGCTGCACAGAACGGAGGGCGGAGCGAGGCACGGCCGGGTGGGGACCCTGCGCAGCGGTGCGTGCGCGGGCGTTAAACTGTTCCTCTCCTAACCCAGCTTCCTGCTAACACACTTGGGAAAGCCCAAGGACCCAGGCCCCTGCCAGTCACACACGTCAGCATGAAGTTCTGGCTCTTTGCTTCAGCTTGGCCCAGCCTTGGCTGCTGTGGCCATTCGGGAAGTGAACTAGCAAAGAGACGCGCTCTCCCCGGCCTTTGGAATAAACAGGGGCCAGCATGTGTCACAACACACTAAACTACCGCCTGCAATGCCACATCCCTTATCGGAGCACCACTTGAAGTCCCCCTGCTAAAGTACCTAGGATGATGGCAGAAGTTGGCCCAAGTGCTTGGGCCCCACGTGGGGGACCTGGAAGAAGCGCCTGGCTCCACATCAGCCCGGCTCTGACCATCATGACCATTTGGGGACAGAGCAGCTGGATGGAAGATCTCTCTGTCTCTCCTTCTCTCTCTGTAACCCTTTCAAATAAAAATAAATCTTAATTCTTTTTTTAAGATTTATTTATTTGTTTATTGGAAAATCAGATATACAGAGAAGAGGAGAGACAGAGAGGAAGATCTTCTGTCCGATGATTCACTCCCCAAGTGAGCGCAACGGCTGATGCTATGCTGATCCAAAGCCAGGAACCAGGAACCTCTTCCGGGTCTCCCACGTGGGTGCAGGGTCCCAAGGCTTTGGGCCGTCCTCCACTGCTTTCCCAGGCCACAAGCAGGGAGCTGGATGGGAAGTGGAGCTGCTGGGATTAGAACCAGCGCCCATATGAGATCCCGGCGTGTTCAAGGTGAGGATTTTAGCCGCTAGGCCACGCCGCCGGGCCCTAAATCTTAATTCTTTTTTAAAAATGAGTAAATATGCATGGCAAGTAATGAAGCTGCTATATGATGAAACTTACAAAGAATTAAAGCAGCCCTGCCTGCAGAAAGGCCAAGAGAGCCCGCAGGAACCAGGCGAGTCTGGTAGAAGCCACCCAGGACCCGCAGGGCCTCCGTCCAAGGAAGAACCCAGAAAAACATGATCTCTTTAAAACTGAGATCGGGAGAGAAAAGCGAAAGAGGTCAGAGAACGGAGACCACGCCAGGAGGTGCCCAGAGGATTCCTCCGCCATCAGACATTTCCCCTTGGCAGAGGGTCACCAGGCCATAATGCCTGCAGGGCCCGGGCTGGGAGGGCCACCCTCCCCTGGCCTGCACACAGTCCACCCACTGCGCCCTGCAGCACTGCAGGCAGCAGCAGGACAAGTCCTCCCGCAGGACCCCCATCGGGACCCCTTGTGTTCACAGAAACCGTGTTCCAGGAAGATGACTTCACTTGCGTGCCTGGTCCTCCCAGGGCTCCGAGGCGTCCACACAGACGCCAGATGGCTCCAGCTGCACTTCCCAGAAAGCCTGCCCATGTGTCACAGCCGACTCAGCGCCAAGGAGACCAGAATCAACAGTGCAGGTGCCGGCCTTCGGGAGCTGGGAAGCAGGACTGGGCTCCGCCTGTGCCCTGGCAGTGACCGCACTCAGGGCCAGCGCTGGCCATTTAACAGATGACTGCTGCCTCGACCTCCCAAACTGTGGGCAGCTCCACTCCTGCCACGCCCCACAAACACCAGCTCAAAACCACACCAGCCCCCAAGGGTCTCCAGACCAGTAATATTCATGAATGAAACCAGCCTTGTGGCAGGAAGCCTTCAGGAGCATCTGCCCCCTCCCGCTTCAGACCATACAGGAAGGGGGGGGCACAGGGCCAGTGCCAGCCTCAGGTCAGGCCTTGGAGCATCTACGCCACAGGGGAGGCCTCAGACAGACACACCTGCAGGCCACCGAGAGCACCCCAAGCAGACATGCACATTAACTGACGACCCAGCCTCCCCGGAAGGCTCCGCCAGGGGCTCAGTCCCTGCTGCCTTCCTGTGTCGTCACAGAGGGGCTGTTCTCAGCAACTCACTTGTTGTGGAACCAACCCAATCTCGGACTGGCAGTGTGGCGTCCCGGAAAAGGGAGGTACACAGACAAGCAGCCCCCCGGGGACACCCCAATCTAACAGCCAGGGCCTGCAGGTGTCCCACCACAAGGCACATCGGCACCCTGGGGGTTACTCCCCAGCTCTTTGAGAGAGCTCCCGGGAATCTTCCCAGAAAAGGCTTGCCTCCGCCCCCCCGCCATTAGGGGCCCCTCCACACAGCAACCCCCAGCCCCCAGGGAGCAGCCACCTGCACAAGCAGCCGCCCTTGCTCAGGCAGGCACGCTAAGAACGGCATTCCGGGCAGAAAGCTGGCCCGCAGGGTCACGTGACCAACCACACAGCGCTGCACCTGCCACGCTCACCACTCAGGGAACCCAACACGCATTTCCACACCAAGACGCGCCCCAGAATCATGGCTTTCTAATCTCGTGCTAGGTAACACCTAGCTCCCACTTCTGGTCCCCGGGGAGGGAGGCGGGGCGGGGGGACCTCCAGGAGTGCCTGCTCTTTCCTCTGGAATGCCGGGAAGTGCTGAAATCAGAGCTGGCATGGAGCAGGTGGCTTCCCACTGTACCAGGGGCGAGGATGCTGAGCTGCGCAAAGCGGACATCAATGCCCGCAGCCTCTCACCCCCAGGACACCTGATTCTGGCTAGTCAATCCTACAAGTGAAGGCTTGCCTTGGAAGTTGAGCCACCTGCAGGCCTCCGCCCTGAGGGCTTGCCCCAGGGGAGGGCTGTTCCTGTCTCCTAGAATGGTGGGCACAGTGGGCATGGCCAAGGGGACATGGTTGCTGTCCTGACCACAGAGCAAGGACACAGTCTCTGTCCTGAGACCCTGTACTAGGTGGCGAGGAAGCAGATAGCAGAAGCCCACCAGCTGCCTGTTCAGGCAGGACAACCCCCCCGCCCCCCGCAGGCCCCCATGAGACAGGGGAGTCTCAACGGATACAACTCCCCAAGAACCAGCCACCATGCCTACTACAGCAGAGGTCGCATCCCTGTCCTGTGAGGAGACCGAGTGTGCCATCTCACCACACACCCAGGGAGGGCTCCCAGTGGAGACCCCTTAGCCTTCGTCACCTCAGACACCCCCTCCACGCTGCTACCCTGAGGTCCCGGCACCCACCTCGCTCACGCCCAACAGGATCCAGGCTGCAGGCTCCCAGCACACAGGGACAGTGGGCCGGGAACAGGGGAGGTAGGGCTGGAGCCTGTCCTTGGGTGCCACCCTGCGTCCACCACATGGGGCTCTGCACACAGCACCCGTGGCCCCAGCTCTGTGGCTGGGAGCCAGTCCTAATCCATACAAAACAAGAACAGAACCACTAGAAGGGCAGCTGAGCCCACTGGGCTGCCCCCCGGGGTCAGAAACTACTTCTTTTAATTAAGATTTATTTATTGTTATTGGAAGTCAAATATACAAAGAGGAAGAGAGAGAGGAAGATTTTCTACCTGTTGATTCACACTCCAAGCGGCCACGACGGCTGGAGCCGTGCCAATCCGAAGCCAGGAGCCTCTTCCAGGTCTCCCACGCGGGTGCAGGGTCCCAAGGCTTTGGGCCGTCCTCCACTGCTTTCCCAGGCCACAGGCAGGGAGCTGGATGGGAAGCGGGGGCTGCCGGGATTAGAACCAGCGCCCACATGGGATCCTGGTGTTTGCAAGGCGAGGATTTAAGCAGCTAAGCTACCACACCAGGCCCCAGAAACTACTTTTCAAGAACCCCCCACCAGATCCCTGTAAGTCACACTCAGGGAAGCCAGCGGCCCCCTGCTGAGAACTCACAGTCATAGCACTTCCTGACTAACGCAACACCTGACCCCAAGAAGGGAAATGAGTGTGGATTCCCGGCGGTTACAAAAGACCCGGCCTCTCAACTCCCACGGCCCAGGCCAGGCTGCCGCTGCTGGACTCTCCTCCCAGCCTGAGGAAACCACGCACACCCACGCCTGCAGGTCAGCTCTCACAGCCACACTCGGAACCGTCACCATGCCTGCTAAGACTGAGTCCCCCGTGCTGCTCCCCGCGGCTCCGCAGCAACTGCTGTGCAACACCCCGCCACCCCTTTTACAAGGTTTCACACGGGGCTCACACACGGCTGACCCACCCAAATCACCACAGCCCCAGGCTGCTCTGCGGTCCCTGCACCACGCACAGCTCCGAACACGCCCTCCCACTGTAAAAACCAACTGGAAGTACTTGGGAAAACGACGCTGTAGAGCTAAAACCCCCGTTCCATTCATTTGAATGT